TATGCTTTAGGTAGGATACTTACTACTTCAAGAGAACTCACATAAACCTGCAGAGTTCAGTGTTTTCAATTTTATAAAATTGTTAAAAAATAATATGTGTTTTCTTGTTTTATATGAATCTGGTCTTGTCTTTTGTATTAAAATGTAAAAATATGAATAAATGTTAATAATAGTTAGACATTTTTTGTTTTATAATATCACCCTACTGGCCAGGAATGTCATCTCCAACAAACTTGAAGTGGTCCACAGTCCACCAGTTGACAGGACATAGTTGTAGCAGGTTTTGTGGCTCCGAGCATCGTAATTAGTAAGCAAAGTGGAAAAAACTGCTCTTTTTATCGCTAAGGTTGCAGATCCCTGCTCTAGAGTTAAGATTTAAGTTGGCATTCTTGATTTTAAATCAAATATTGAACTTTTCTTCATTCTTCATTCATTCTTCTTTATTCTTCATTATCAGTTCTGTTCAATTCAGTTGATTTTAAATAGTGCCAGTTCATATAATCTCTTTACAAATGCAAAAAGGAGTCCGAATAAAAGCACCAGCTTAGATTAATTTTATTTAATCAAAACACTGTACACTAGTCTGCTAATAGTTTTCATGTCAGGATTTTTATTGCTGTATTTTTCATGTAGAAAGTGATCATATATTTGTTGTTTTCATCTTTTATCATATTTTAGGATTTGATGCATTCGTGTGTTTAAATTAAAGCTAAACGGCAGCATGGTGGACTCTCAGAAAAAAATGTGCTGCTTGGAGATGGTCTTAAACCTTTACCCTTCAGTGTGGTTATCTGTAATCACTTGTTTTGTATTCTCTGCTCCATGTTCAAAATGGTGAACATCAAAACACCAAACTGCCCAGTAGCTGATAGTTCACATAAAAAGCTTCAAGACAATAATTAAGACCAAACAGTTTGTAACGTAACAAAATGCAAAGAATAATATTGTATTTTCCACCATACACGTTGCAGTAGTCCAAATTTGTCTAATAAAGTGGAAAAAACATAAATAAGTCACTTCGCCGTATAAGTCGCATCTATTATGCGTCACCGCTGACAACATGGAAATGTGGGCCAGTGTTGTGCCAAAAATCGAATGGCTGCCAAATGGCAGCTGTGGGAATGTGCACGGGAGGACTTGAACAAGAAATTAACAAGATTAACACTTAAAAACAATTATTTGTTTGCTCAACATTATAGCAAAGGTGTGTCTCAGTTGAACTTTTCCTTAATAAGTGAACTTTAATCGTCAAATCAGCTGCATTTCGCCTGGGCGGCAAAATGCAGCTGATTTCATGTTTGCTCCAGGAGTTCCAGAGCGAGACGAAGGTGGCTTTGTATGGCAAGCCAAGTGTCTCATTAATAGCCACTTTTACCTATTAATGAGACGCTTGGTTTGCCATATTAGTCGAGGGCCCTCTAGTGGCTGAAAATTGTAGTGTTCAATATTTTCCATGTCAGAATGAATGAAATCGTCAGATCTCAGCCAAAAATTGGGTTATAAACATGGGAAAAAACAAATACGTCGCTTCACTGTATAAGTCGCAGTCATGCTGATTTATGCAAAAAACTGTGACTTATACAGCAAAAAATATGGTAGGCTCTTTTAATGTGCCAACAAAACATGTTTATGTATAATAAATAACAAACTATTTATTTTTTCAATGTTTTGCTTATCTTATCCCATTCCAAAGGCGTGTGCTCATTAAACCTTTGCTTTTTACTGAATCCCTCATGAAAAATAAATTTGCTTCAGTGGACTAGAAGAGTAGCAACAGGTTTGTCCTCGGCTGTAAAAAGAACAAAACAGCATAAGCACGGGCCGACTGCAAAGCAGAGACATGTCAACACCGAGGACATCCTCTGTCATTATGACTGTGTCCTCCCTCCTGTTATTATTAACCCACTAGCATAAAGCTAACAATTACAACATGGAACATGACAGTGAATGCACCTTGAAATGATGAATTTACAGCTCGGGCACCAGGATTCACCATCAGCAGCTACGACATCAAAAGCCTTCTTATTTTTGTGTTTCAGGAGTTGATGATTCATAGCTCAAAAACACTAGCTTGAGTTTTGCTCGTGTGTGTGTGTGTGTGTGCGTGTGTGTGTGTGTGTGTGTCCGTGTGTGTGTGTGTGTGTGTGTGTGTGGTCTTATCACCACTGTGCTTTATCAGCATTAGAGCACAACATTTAGATGGGCTGCAGTAACCTGATCCCTGCAGGAGATTGAGCTAAATGTCAGTGAGCCACCTTCAGCTCGTCCGGTTTTACAACAGAGAGGTCCAGAACAGAACAACGGTTCAGAGGCAGAGCAGATCTTAAAAACATCTGCCACACAGCTTCCAGATGTTTACTTCAGCTCTAGAGTTACAGAAACCTTCATCAAAACAAGAACAGGCTGACGAGAACGACACCAAACAGACAAGTCGTCGAGTGTTTTCAGGATCAACATTTGCTCTGATGTGACCAGCTGCACATGACAGGATGATAAACTGATGAGCAGCTGTTTCTCATTTTTAATCTTTGTTAATATAATTTTTAAAAATCCAGGCTAAAAGTATATTGTAGCAGAAAGATTTTCAATTGTTTTATTGCAGCGATTCAAACTCTTGAATTATGGGCCGGACCTGCAGTTTTCAGATAAATACGGGTACTCCAAGTCCTACCTAAATCCATTTTATTATTAATTAAATTATTAATTTAAATTAATAGATATTATTCAATTACAATACGTTGGTTTGTTCTGTCCGTGGTGTCCACCGGCTGATGCTCAGTCATTGCCTGAGATCAACACCAGCTCCCCGGAAAGAAGAAGAACTACATCTTTATTTAAAAATTAAAACTTAGACCTAGTTTTAATACTTATTTCAATATCTTGAATCATTTTTATGTTTAATGTTGACACAGTGTTGTGCAAAAGTTTTAAATCACCTCTGACTTCTTTACTTTTGCCTCTAAGTGTCCCAGATATATTGAAATTTTAAGTGGTTAGAGTTTGCAGTCCTGGGATGGACTTGCGACTTGTCCAGGGTGTCCCCCGCCTCTCGCACAGTGATGGCTGGACATGGGCACCAGTGACCCCCGTGACCCAAAAAGGAAGAAGCGGGTAAAAGATGATGGATGGATGGATGGAGTTTGCAGGCTTTTTAAAGAGTTATTAGCTTCTTTTTTTTTTTTACTTTTACTTCTTTTACATTACACCATGGATAATTTCTATCGAGTGGCTCCAAGAATGCAGTGAACAACTAGAAAAAAAAAACTTTTTTTTTTAAACAAACAAAACAAAAAGCTGATGTGGCAGCACAGTTCACCTGAGGACAAGTGCTAGAGCTAGACGCTGCTGGTGAGTGAAGCTGAGGGACTGAAAGGACGGAGATGACGAGAGAAGGAGAGACACCTGAGCAAACTGACAACTGAGAACAGGTGTAGGGGGCGTGGCAAGGCCGAGGAGCAGAGACCAACTGGAAAAAATATTAATGAGGAAGGTGCCGCTTGTGGCCCGGAGGAAAACACAAAGGCTGATCCAATTCAAACACAAGTAACAGAACTAACACAGAAAATAAAACATAATAACCAAAAGGGAATAAAGCTAAAAATAAACACAACAGAATAACAAAAAGTAGCCTCAAAACAGATCCCAACAATTTCTGCTTCAAAAAAAATAATAAAGGTGGCAGAAACAAGAAGAAGAGCTGCAGAAACTAATAAATCACCTACAGTAGATGAACATTATCTGAAAGCCATGTCTTCAGGAAATAAACAAGTGGGAAAAGGTCCAAAAAAGAGCTGAAACAGAAGCGGAGAGATGCACCATCCTTCAGCTGATTCATCTACTGAAACAGCTAAAAGCTCGGCAAGGTAAGTTTCAGCTATCGGGTCCGTGTGGACCCCTTTGTTTCGTGCTAAAATGCTGTTTTATATGTCAGACTGTTTACTTTGGTTATCTTTATTGGTTCAACTGTAGAAATTGGAATATTTGTGTCTTTGAAACTGGCTGCAAATTGTTGCAAGCTGCAAGCTAAAATTAACAAAGAAGTAGCTAATATTAATAAAAGACTAGGTAGAACCTAAAAGTAGCAAAAGCTGGCTAAAGGCTAACTGTAGCAGAACAGCACACAAAATTTCTCGATTTGTTTCAACGTGGAAAATGTCTGTATATAAAGTTAAATATTTTAAAAAGTATGAAAGTTATAAAAACAACAATGTGGAGCCCAGCCCATGGATGAGCTGATTGTTTACAAATGTAAACAGCTTAAGTAGCACAGCAGACGAGTTAGAGGGCAATAAAACATGAAAAAAGGGGAATCAATAATGCAGGTTCAATTCAACTGGTGGCCCGAGGGCCACAGCAGGTCCACAAGTGAGCTCAGTCTGGCCCACCAATGAATTAATCTGAAATCAAACTAAATTTAAAAATGTAAATTAAATTACAAAATGACAATAATTGTAGGATTCCTGGCCCCTGAGCTGCTGGCTTTAGTAAATGTGTTATTCAGCTGAATTATTGTCTCAAAATGTTCAGGACTGAAAGTGAGTGGAAAAAACAACCAAAGTCCAAAAACAAACCAGGGAAGCCTGAAGATGTTTGATGGAAACCACTTTAGAAGAGCATCAAGATATCAGAGATGACTGCCGTTGGTAAAAATAAGCACCTTTCCCTCCAAGAGTCTTCTCGCTGGCCCGAGCGTCCATTTGTCTACAGACACGTGAGCCCACATGTGCATCAGTGTCCCTGCCTGTCTTCTTTTTGTCCTGACCGTGCACGCTCTCTTCATCACATCTTATTTCCAGCTTGCCGAGCTGCTGGATCCCTCTGCAGTTGTTGCCCTCGCCCACCCCACTCACCTCCCTCTCTTCCTATTCTTCCCCACAGGGCACCCCCTGCCCACCTGTTTGCAGCGAGCCCGTCCAATAGGAAGTGAGAGCCATGGGGAGCGCGCACCAATGAGGCCAGTTTTTCGTCTGTATAAAACTTTTCAGGAAAGTTTGCCGGGTCGCACTTTCTGGAGGAGAGCACCAGCCCAGAGAGAGTGCAGGCGTGGAGGGGGGTCACCAGTTTTTTAATCCCAGTCCCACACTGAAGAAAGTGGTGGGTGAAAACTGCTTTTTTTTTTAATTTAGACTTTTCTAGTCTCAGTTTTATCATCAGCTTCTCAGATTGATGTGAGAGTTTCTGTTTTCCTTCTTTTATCCCTTTCTTCTGAAGCCTCTCCGTTTCTGTGAGAATGGAGAACTCGCACACCAAAGAGTCGGCCGACGTTCTGGCCTACTTTGGGGTCACCGAAGACACCGGCCTGCCGCCTGAGCAGGTGAAGCAGAACCTGGAAAAGTATGGCTACAACGGTGAGGGAGAGCAGGATGGATGGATGGATGGATGGATGGATGGATGGATGGATGGACTTAGTTTGGAATGGATGGATGGACTTAGTTTGGATGAAAGATGTGAGAGAATTGAAGCACAGAGGGATGAAGAGGAGGAAGAGAGAAAAATTGTAGGATTTGAGGACTGTGTGTGTGCGTTTGTGCGTGCATGCGTGCGTACGTGCATGTGTATGTGTGTGTTTAAGGAGTAAATGTGTTGTCCAGTTTCTGGCGACTGATATAGGTTTTAGATTGAGCATTTCTGAAGAAAAGGTGAACTTGTTATCAACAGATGTTTCCAGCAGCACTCTCTCTGCAGAGTGAGGAAGTAAAATGTAAATAAAACTCTAAACTCATTCTGAATCCAACTAGGTTTAAACAAACCAAACATTATCGGCCTCATCTGTTTAGCTTAAAAGCCATTCCCTTCCAAAGCACATGAAGTCTGAAAATAACTGGCGTAAACAGCACAATTTAAGTGAAATGTGGAAAGGTTACGAACAATTACTATCTTACCTGTCGTAGATAGTTCTGTTTGGAGAAATATAGTTAAATGCTGACCAGATTGATGGGCTAACAGCTAGTCTGAGCAAAGTTGAGTCCGACGTGGATTACTGCTGAATTAAAACATCATTAAAAAAATATTCATAACAGTCTGAGTGGACAATAATTTAAAAACCTTAACACCGCAGTGAGTTCTGCAATACGTTGTTTTCCAGTGGAAATGAAACACTTCTACAGGAAGTGACCCAGACTGCACCAGGAGTGCTACAGCTAGCTGCTGCTTCCACTATTTGCGCCAGAAAACAACTAAAATAGACATAAAAGACCGAACAACGTGAAACAGAAGACTGTGTGAAGGTTAATTAAGTATATTTGCTTGAAAAACTATGAGTTTTTTAGAGTGGAGATGTTTTAAATCAGCAGCCATTCTGTTCGGTCTTGGTCTCGCTCGGATTAGCCACCAGCTTGTCAATCCGATCAAAATTTCTCCAAACTGGGTTCGTTCAAAGAGCTATCTACAGCAGGTAAGATATTTACGACTCATAACCCTGACACAGCACCCCCCAGATTAACAGATCTGAACGCCCACGTTTTGTTTTATCACCTTTTTGCTGCGTTAGAACACGACAAACCTGCAGAGGCTTCATTAACTCTCTCTCTCTGTCTCCACCAACAGAGCTGCCAGCAGAGGAGGGTGAGTCCTGTCACGCACCTGCCCGTCACTTACTGCATGTCCATCAAAGTTCATCTCTCAACACCGAGCCTCACGGACACACCTGCTCCACTCACTTCCTGTGTTGACAAGCGACACGGACATTTGTTTAACTCCCGTCATTGGCTTCTTGTTGTGCTGTTTGTGTGACCCAAACTGCTAATAATAGGCTCACATCACACTTTGCTCAAGAAGAGGCTGTTTGTGCCCGTTGATGGGAACAGAGATCACTTTTTAAAATCCCAAAGAGCAAAGTCTCAACTAACGGGACGATATGAGCGTCGTTACCCTGAATTAGTTTGCACGTAGTTTTTTAATAACTTTAGGATTTTAACACCTTCGTACAAACCAGGTGAACACGTATCATTTGATGTTTGCTTTTGTCTCAGGAAAGAGCATCTGGGAGTTGGTGGTGGAGCAGTTTGAGGACCTGTTGGTCAGAATCCTTCTTCTGGCTGCGTGCATCTCCTTTGTGAGTCTTTTGTGCCCATTTGTGTTGACTTAGTACAAGGAAGGCATCAGCAGGGCTTTTATTTTAAAATTCATCTCGTGATGTTTTATTTAGTCTCTGATCTGGAGCGAAACATCATGCTCCCTGATATTTATTAATCTGAGCTCCGTTAGTTTCCCCTCTGAGCTTCCACGTTGAAACATTACAAACTTTGCTAAATCGTGGAATGGTAGAGCTATTTGTTCCCAAAAGAAGCATATTCCAAAGCGATTACTAACCCAAATTCAAGTTTAAGAACGTCAGGGTTCGCCTGCAGAGCTGTAGCTTTATTTTTATACACATACATTTTACCACAGCAACATACAAGCTGGCGTTTGAGCCAGTCTCTTACTGTGCTGCTACTCCTGGAGACTAGCGTGTGACTCAAAATTGTGAGAAAATTGCAAAACAAATAAGAACATTTTCTGTTGCAGTTTTTACATGGCCACAGAAATCACAACCCATGCTTCTCAAGCATGGCTTCAAAGCTGTAATCTAGGCCGGGGGTCTGCAACCTCTAAGCTCAAAAGAGCCATTTGTACACCTTCATTCATTAAATTTAATTAAGTGGGAGCCGAGATGGAAAGGTAGGGCAGCCCACTCAGGACCAAAAAGTCCCAGGTTCAATCCCAAGTCATGCCCACTTGTTGTGGTGTCACATCTTGTATTGTCTCTGAGCAAGACACCCAATCCCCATTTGCTCCCTGGGTGCTTACATAGCTGCCCACTGCAGAGAACCAATTTTGCCATTGTATGGGAACATACAAAGATGACAACACATAGCACTTTGCTTTAAATGTGTCCAGACAACAACCTGCTACAACTGTGGTTATCAACTGGTGGCCCATCAGACACTTTTTGCTGGATGGGGCTTTTGTGGCCAGTAGGGGTGACATTATAAAGCAAAAAATATCTAATGATTTTTAACATTTATTAAAATAAAAGACAAGATTATTTAAAAGACGGGGAGGAAAAAACATTTTTTACAAATTTTTTAATAAAAAAAAATCTATAAACTATGCAGACAGTTCTACATATAAAGAAATAAACCATCAAGTTAAAATATGTGCTACTTCTTGTACTCATTCCAATGTTCACATATTTGCAAAAGAAATGACAGGAAAACTGTTTGAACTCATCCTTTTTTGTTATTTGTAGAACAACAAATCAGTAAGATTCAGTTTTATGTCAGTTTTGGTCAAAGCTTGAGAGAGCTGCTGCAGAGGGACCAAAGAGTCGCGTGTGGTTTCAGAGCTGCAGGTTGCCGACCCCTGATCTAGACCATGAACCATATTTCAACACCTGCCTTGTCCTGAAGTACATGTTTGAAATGAAAAATAGGCAGTTTTACACCTGTATTTTTAAACTAATTAATGGGCACAGTTGTTAGACCTGGACATGCGGGGCTGTAGCTCCAGATGTTTCCCGTCACAATAGAGTTCCTATGCAGCTCTAGTGCTCAACAAATGGAGGTGGGTTAGAGATGCCTGCAAGAATTTTTTTTGAACATGTTCATAGTTCAAGACTGCAAGCTGCTGCGACTCAGTGAGGACCCTTGCAAAAACATTTCAAGACAATTTGGAGGAATCCCTTGCAAAAAAAATTTCAAGACAATTTGGAAGAATCCCTTGCAAACGCCAGATAGTTGTTAAAAGTTTCAGCCCATACTGGCTTTGGCACGAATGTACCTTTGTTCGACGATCCATGCCGTGCAGTAGTAGATGTGCAACCAATTATTTCCATCCTGTGATTCCGGAGTTGATTTTTTTCGACAAATCAGGTTGATATTAGAGCCAAAGTTGTCAGCAAAGACCTCAGCGCTCTGTCCAAGCATTGCTTTCTTCTGACGAGCCGACAAGCTCCACCATTCAAATGGCAGAGCTGAAGGTGCATCACTGAGTACATGTTTCTCAAAGCTGTTGATGGTTTTAAACACGTTGACATATGAATATAATTTAGAAGAAGAAACCTGATCATTAAAAAGACAGATATGTTCTTGGACAAGAAGGGAGCTGTCAGTGAGTGCACGGACACGAGGAAAATACTGAATGAATTTCGGAGAAGCTCTCATTTGTCTGTGTCACTCTTGTCCCTACCGGCTGCGGTTTTATTAAGAAGGACACGTTGCTCACATTGTCTTAATCCTCAATCTTTGCCCCCCGGTCTCCATGCACAGCTGTCACTGTGGCCCTAGAAGGCCTGATGGCTGTGTGTGTTAAAAAGAGAGAGAGAGAGAGAGAGAGAGCAAGACAAAGAGAAAGACAGTGCGCAGGGGCACATATGCATAGCACAAGTTTTATTTTAAGAAAGTCTCAAGCCAGGACGAGAAACTGTATCCTTGGACAAAGGTCAAGGATGACAGGAACGAGGGATGGCTTGTAGCAGCAGGGCACACAAAAAGACAGGGGGCAGAATGGAGGACGGGGGGTGCAAGGATTGAGTTGCACAATGGCTTTTGTTTGTTACAGTGACAAACGAGCAGATTCAGAGTGGTATATGGTTTCACTGAATGCTGCAGATACATGCTCGTCCTATTCATACACACAGGAATGCTGCAGCACGGCGACGTGCTGACAGACTCTGAGCAGATCGATTGTGTCTTTGGAAGAGGAGCAACACAAAGACAGACTGAAGGGAGGCAGCATTTGGGCCTTATCTAAAAGAAAGGGTGAGAAAAGATGAGGGATGTAACAAATGGAAGGAGGATTACGATGCGGAGGGAGACACTGAAGTGCTCATGAGGATAACGGGACGACTCTTACTCTTTTTTCCCCATCTGTGCTTCGCTGACCTGCAACTAATCTGTGTCGGTGTCAACACAGAGCCTTTCCTGAACAGATCTGCCTTTGTACGGAGGGACTCGGTCTCACAGGGGCGCCCACGTGCCGAACTATATGGAGAAGAGGCACTGAGCCACCGATGGATCGCACTTCTCATAAAAACTGACTTGTCGTAATAAATTTATGTTTTAGTTTGCAGTAAAAGATAAAAAGTCACATAGAGGAACAGGTGCAGCATCAATTTAAAGTAAAGAGCTAATATAAGCCATAAAAGACCCACTGTTGGATCCAAATATTACAAAAACAGACTTAAACTAACAGTGACAGTCTATTTAACTCTACCAATACATACATATATTATATTACATATACTGGGTGTGCGCCTGAATGACAACCTTAGCTGGGGCAACAACACCACCAGCCTGATCAAGAAAGCTCATCAGAGACGCTACTTCCTCAGGCGGCTGAGATGAGCTGGACTGTGAAGCTCAGTCCTCACCTCCTTCTACAGGTGTGCAGTGGAGAGCATCCTGTGCTCCAGCATCAACGTGTGGCATGGAGGCTGCACAGCTGCAGAAAGAAAAGCTTTGCAGAGAGTGGTGAAGGCTGCACAGAAGTCTGTTGAAGTCAGTCTCCCCACCATCACAGACATCTACACCTCCAGATGCAGGAAGAGAGCCACCTGCATCATGAAGGACCCCACTCACCCAGCACACACACTTTTTGCCCCGCTCTCCTCAGGAAGTAGATTGAGGAGCATTAATTTGATGTCTGCAGGCCAGTGATTGGCCAGAGAGTGACATCATGAGTTCATCTCCTTCACAAGAATCCAACACAACTTTTTAAAATCCTTGCAACCACAGTATTCATTTTAGTGTTTCTCTTTTTATAAAATATCCATTAAAATGGCAACACTATTCCAGATGTTTCTTTGCGTTTCGGCTGATCTCAGATGGAGTTAGATCAAATGGACTTGATTTACTGGCGAAGAAATAAAAGTGGCATCAACTTAGCCACAGCATTTTTGAAAACAATGGTAAGGAATGTTGAGTGTTTTTGACTTTAGTTCTCTTTTATTTAATTGTTGTTGGTAAGTTTCGAGTGGCTGAGCTGTGACGTCCCGCTTACTGGTACATCAAATAAAGCCACTGACATCGTGAACAACCTGGTCGGGTTGAAATAGAGCAAAGGGTGCTGAGACTGGACGATGCAAAAGCAGCAATGGAGTTTAATCCTGACCAGATTAAAAGAAACAAAAACTAAAGTGGGTTGCCGTCATTTTAACACAACTCTGAACTAGAGATTTTAATTTCAAAACGTTTTGCACATTTGTCAGTTTTATGTCACACGATTAATTCAACAGAAATGTTGGGATGTTCTTGTTGAAAATGTCCCAGGTTGCACATGCAAACTATCATAGCATTCTATAAAAAATACACATGAAATGCAAACCAGGATGTCATGTAAAGTTTATGAAATAGCCGTTGCAGCGTTTCGAGATGACAACAGTCCACTTTTTTTTAAATTATTATTATTTTGGTTAAACGCCGTTTCTCTAAATGGTAGACATTTGAATGTTTGTCTACAACAGGTGGGATTTTATTTCCTCAGGACCACAATTTTCAACCATTTCTTGTACTTGAACTATTAAAAAAAATAGTTTTTTTCTTAAAAAAAATATATATATATATTGCCAAAATTCACTTTTCTTCAAGTCTTGTTAATAATTTATCTCTGGTTGAACTGATACAGACAATTGTTGTTTTAATCAATAATGATCAGTAATTAAAAGTTTTCAGATTACAGTAGTTTGTTACATTTCTAATGAAAGTATCAGACATGTCACGCCAACGTTTCAAACAAAATTTTCAAATAATCCACTGGTGCTTGAAGTATTTAATGGGAATAACTCTGAACTACCACCACACCAGATTTTAGCTCAATACCTGGAAGCTTCCCTGAGTTAAGAGTCATTATTGTGTTGGCTAATATCCATTAGCTGTGACGGCCATCTTAAATTGGGTTAAACCACCTGCAGACGTACATGTAATGATTACTTTCTTTAGAGTTTCATAAAGATTGATTCAATTTTTCATCAAACATTTTGCAAACACACAGATAAATATATGATTGTCCACTTCTCCTGCTGCCATAAAGGACTAATTATCTATGGTTTTGTTCTAAAATAAACTTTGTCTGTGTGTGTGTGTGTGCCAGGTGCTGGCTTGGTTTGAAGAAGGGGAAGAAACCGTCACTGCCTTTGTGGAGCCCTTCGTCATCCTCCTCATCCTCATTGCAAATGCCATTGTTGGAGTGTGGCAGGTCAGTGCTCATACACACACGTGTGCAGACGCACACACACTTGTGCAAAGAGGAACAATTGCGGACACAAGGACACGCGGCGGCCCGTACTCTCTGTATTGTACGCACACACTTAAATAGACTCTCAAACTTAGTAACAGTCACGCACAATAAATCACAAACGCCGTGACCTGCTGGAGCCTCGTGTCCTTCTGCAGAGCACACGCTCCCACCGGAATGACAGGTTTGACATAGGTGCAAGGTGGGAAGGTCAAAGGTTAAAGGCAAGTGGAGGAAAGAGAAAGGCTGACGAGCTGCAGCCTGAAGATTCAAGTAAAATGACAAAAGGACAATCATGCAGATTTGAGGTGTGTGTGGGGGGTGGGACTGATGACGGGGGCTATGTGTGGGGGGGGGGGGGGTGCGTATCAACCATTAGTCATTTGGAAACTATGCACAAGGATTCACACATTGAGGGTATGGAGGAGAGCGGAGAGAGGGAGGGCAGCTGGCATAAGTTGGGCTTTACACTTTGAGGCGGTTGGGGGCAGCCTTGAAGAAACCCCCCCGACTGAACCGAACATCAGTCCACCATCACAGTCTGACGCTTCCACTGGTGGTCGTTTGTAAACTTCAACTCAGACTGGTTCTTTTGTACTAAACCAGTTCATGACAAAAATCACATCGGGGAAAATAAAATGGAACCAGGTCCAGTTCAATTCAGCAGTTGTGAACCAACCCAACCAAAACAGTCTGTGTCAAAATGGACAAAAGACAGAACTGTCATCTAACCACCTCTGCACATTTATTTAAAGATTCAGAACAAGCAGGGGGCAGCAGGTGACAGAAAATCTAACTACACGTGCTCAATGAATGGACAAGCTTCTGTTCCACGAACTGTAGGCTGATGGTTGTATTGTGGTAAAAGTATCATGAAAAGCTGAAACATTGTGGTAAATGGCATGAAACAGGACAGGGGATCAAGCAAAATGTAGTCATTGGCAATTTACACAAAAAACAATGTTACTTATAGGAAATAAAAAAATCCTGGAATAATAATGACCCATCATGAAACTTATTTTTGCAATGGATTTGCTCCATCCTTATCCATCCATCATTATATCATCATGACTACACAACAAACATTGTCAAGTTCACTGAATTATACACATTAGACATAAAAAAAACCTCAGTGTTTTCTGTGTGCATTTTTTGTTTTGTTTCTTGCAACAGGAGCGCAACGCAGAGAGCGCCATTGAGGCCCTGAAAGAGTACGAGCCCGAAATGGGAAAGGTTTACAGAGCAGACAGGAAGAGTGTGCAGAGAATCAAAGCCAGAGAGATCGTTCCTGGGGACGTGGTGGAGGTTTCTGGTAAGATTCTTGCTTTTTAAACTTACTTTTTGTATCTTTACCTCCTGCATTTTGCCTAAAAGTTGTGAAAACGTTCCTAAATGTTCCTGTAGAGGAGGCAGAACAGTGAGTAGATGACTTCCAACAACTCCAAATAATCCCACAGTTAGAACATGAATCAGGTGTGTTGGAGCAGAGAAACAACTAAAACATGCAGGATGGGGTTCCTCAAGGACCAGGATTGAGAACCCCTGAGTTAGAGCACGAGTCCCAAGAGCTGGGTCAGAACCCCTCTGTGGGTCATGAAACACCAAGGCAGGGGTCTTCATTTGAGCTTTACTTCAAATATAAAAGCAGAACTCAGAAATAATGAATGTTGCATGTTTTTACTGTTATTATATTCATTCAGTCTGCATGCACAGCAGTCTTACAACACTGTTTAGTCCGTTTGGCAATTTTAAACAAAAATAATAAGCAAACATTATCAACGTCTGTGATATTAAGCATTTTACTGGGATTTTTTTTTTTAACTGAGGAGACATTATAACAAAAAATGTCTGAAACAAAGTTAATTTTATTAGCTCATGCTGAATAGTTTACAACTTTTATTAAAGATTCACAAATTCTTAACAAATGATTGTTCAGACTAATTAATGACTCCTCTGATTTTACACAAGACAATAACTAAGAAAAACAAGCAGAGATTGTCGTTAGCTTTTTTTAACTCTAAACTTAAAGTTTCAATGTGAAATTAAAATGTTTGTTTATTATATTTATTGAACTATACATGGCTTACACACCTAAACGTGTCCCAGTATTCATTAAAAAACACATTGAAGGTGCCTTCAATGTGTTTTTAAGAGTAGAAAGAAGCTAAAAGTTTAATAATGCTCATTATTTATGCTGCAGTTTGATAAATGAACTGATTTAGTGTCTAAAAAATAGATTTTTACAAATTCCAAGTTTAGGTTTGTTGCAGGTGACCAGTCCAGACCGAAGTTTGGACAAAAAGACCTCATGAATGCATAAACATAAATAACTTTTTGCTCATATTATCAGTGGAACTTTAACATAAAACAGCAGGATGCTTTTCTTTCAGTGTTTTATTAATTAATTAATTAATTAATTAATTTATTTATATTTTGTCCGATCCCTGTGACAAATCACATGGGTTGTTAAGTCCGTGAACATTGACACCAGTCTTTTAGCATTCATCCTGCCCTCAAGGCCAAAAGGTCTCACTTTTAAAACTGAGACCTTGCGGGTCATTTTGACCCAAGGGCAGCAGGAGGATTAAAGCAATCACTTGAGGAAAAGGGGTGTTGAGTGCAGGAGAGAAGAGAAAAAGGCCTTGAAGGCCTTTTATGTGGACTTAGTCCTCTGTTTCTCCCCGTTCCACCTGTTCTTCTCATTTCATGATCTCCCCAAGGCCTCCCTTTCCCTCCAACTCTCACTGCGGTGTCAGCTTTCAACAACAACACCATCCATCCTGAGTGATAAAGCCAGTCAATCAGCCCCGCACCCCTCCATCCGCCGTCCAGCTGTAAAGCTGCTGTCACATTGTTATGAACTGTAAAGCTGCAAAAGAAATAGATCAAATCAAAACGAGTCCATGTGGTTTAAGTGAATAAAGCGTTTGATTTTGTGCCTTTATCTGTGCGCTGTTGTGTGGACAATAGTTGGTGACAAAGTGCCAGCTGACATCAGGATCATCTCCATCAAGTCCACTACTCTGCGTGTGGACCAGTCCATCCTGACAGGTCTGTTTTCAACACAAACAGGAGACCGTGTTTCTGGTGTCTTGTAGTCTTCCCTGACCAATCCACCCAATCTCTCTGTCTGCAGGAGAGTCTGTCAGCGTGATCAAACACACGGATGCTGTCCCAGACCCCCGAGCCGTCAACCAGGACAAAAAGAACATGTTGTTCTCTGTGAGTCTCTGACCAGCCTCCTGCCCTCCTTTACTATCTCTTGACATTTTGATTGCCATCAAATCTGAAGAACTCGTTCAGGCTCCTGTGTGCATCTCCTTTTATTGTACACCTCCAGCTCATTTAATAACCATTACTGCAGCCATTTCATTGTGATTATAGTTATAAAACTGCAGGTTTTATTAATTAAAAGGTCTTTCTGACGTGAACTGATGAAGGATTGTGACAGTTGTTCATCAGAAAGGTGCCATTTAAGCTATTTTTATGTTATAACTAGTGGCGCACTTAGCCTCTATTTGGGGGTGCTCAAACACCCCTAAATTTTAACTCAGCACCCCTGAAAATAAAGAAACCATCATTACAGTTTTGTTAGGAAGCTCATTTCGCAAACCTTAGATTCATCAAAATATTGAATAAGTTTGGAATAAATGATGACAGTCTTAAACGGATCAGTAAAATCTTTTTTTTTTTTTTTTTTTTTGCACAAGTTGGATCCTCAACGCCATCTGTCAATCAATCCAGTAGGCTCGTCAGTAACTGACCAATCAGTGATCTCAATTTGACCCGAAGTGAAACGCCCCTTACCTGCAGGAGCTCCACCCCCTTTTCCTCCAACAACAATGGGTTTCGCATTGCAATGATTTTACACAAAGTGTTTATTAGGTTGTGTAATGAAAAGTGGAGCACTACGTCTGTAGAATCTTAGCCGGCGCTAGCTTAGTGCTACATTACTGCCGGTAGTTGTCAGGGTAGGACGTGTCAGAGAAGCGGCGCGTGCCCTGTTCAAACAAGGAGAGCCGTTGGTCAGGCTACTCTTTGTTGTAAACATAGATGTTTAACAACCCATTAAAATACACCAGTGTGTCCCCGCAACATTATAAATGCTTCTAACGCCAATGGCCACTGCGTTGTTCAAGCCAAGAACCATTCCAAGCACTGGGGACAGACTCTAGAATCGCCCCTGGTCATAACTGCTGCTACTCTCTGCTGTCGAAGGAATTTAGCAGTTCAATGTTATTTTTCTCACCACTAATGGTATTTAAAAGTACATTTTCTTCAGCAGAAAATGCTATAAAAATTTTCTTGCATTTTATGGCATATTAAATTGTCAGGTTGAGTAAAGTGCATCATCTGAGGAAATATTCATAAAGGACCATTTGAAAGTTGTACAATAGGCTGGTTGAGCTGTTTTCTAAAGGATGTCTTCTTGTCTGTAACTTCTAACCAGGGCACCAACATCGCTGCAGGTAAAGCCATCGGCATCGCAGTTGCAACTGGTGTCTCCACTGAGATCGGGAAGATCCGTGACCAGATGGCAGCCACGGAGCAGGAGAAGACCCCTCTGCAACAGAAACTGGATGAGTTTGGAGAGCAGCTTTCCAAGGTAGAGGAACACAAAACCTACCTTATAGTCTTAAAACTAATTTTATATTTTGCTAGAACAAATATATATTTATTTATGCAAGAACACGAAAAGAAATTGTGGAGATACTCATGCTGGGCCACGAGGCAGTAATAAAAAGTTATGTCAAAATGCAGAAGAACAACAAAGCATGGCTGGTTTTACAGCAACAATTGTTAGTTCTTCTTCTGCTATCATATATATTTTATGTTTCAGCGTACCTGTACAGATATCAGTGACAGATTGAAACAAATTGTTGCAGAAAATAAAATAAATAAGTAATAAATAAATAATAACAGCTCTGTTGTTTCTAGTGAATAAGGAAATAGTTGCCGTTTGTTCCCCAAAAACCTTTAAAACCTTTATACATACTAACCCATTACCCATTTTAAATATAACTTTTTTAAAAATAACAGTATCAGAGAAAATAACTAGTACATGTAAACATATGCTCATAGACCCCTCCCAAACAAAATGATGACCCTGTGAATTAATATTAAAAAAAAAAAAATTAAAAACCTATACAAATAAAACTAGACTCATGTCTGGCGTATTTCCTACAGGTTATCTCCCTCATTTGTGTGGCTGTGTGGATAATCAACATTGGCCACTTCAATGACCCTGTCCACGGGGGTTCCTGGATCCGTGGTGCCATCTACTATTTCAAGATTGCTGTGGCTTTGGCTGTGGCTGCCATCCCTGAAGGTAAACCCCAGAGATTAACGTCTGTTTGACGCAGCCCATTGGGTTACCTAACGGTGTTTGAAACTGTTGCTTATCACGTGCAGTCAACTTAACCAGAATCGTCCTGGCTAAATTACAAGAGGATAATTGAACACTTTAAATTAAAATGTGTTCTTTCATCTCTGCTGGGAGTGAGGGTTAGATGTCACAATTCTTTTAGCTTTAGAAGCACAATTTCTAATGTTTGACCTTTCCTCACCATCCCTGAGCAGTGTTGAAAGCATATTGTGCTCTGGTATTTCTTTCCATCACAGGCCTGCCTGCCGTAATCACCACTTGCCTGGCTCTGGGTACACGTCGTATGGCCAAAAAGAACGCCATCGTCAGGAGCCTTCCCTCCGTGGAGACTCTGGGCTGCACCTCCGTCATCTGCTCCGACAAGACAGGCACACTCACCACCAACCAGATGTGTGTCACCAAGGTTGGTCTGATCATCAAACGCCAGCTTTCAACCCAACTCTGAAATGATGAATGGCGACGCAGATCAAATCTGTAAACTGTGTCTTATGATCTGTTTCTCTGCAGATGTTCATCATTGATAAAGTTGACGGTGACAGTGTTGCCCTGAGTCAGTTTGACATTTCAGGCTCAAAGTACACCCCTGAAGGAGAAGTGTAAGTGACAAATCCACACTAAAACACCAAATAACTTTTTTCAGCAATACAATATTTTGATCCAATTTGAGTGCTTAAGTTTAATAAACTTTTTTTTTTTACTTTTCTAATTAGCACAAAGAATAATGCACACATGAAATGCGGACAGTTTGATGGACTGGTTGAGCTGGCGACCATCTGCGCTCTGTGCAACGACTCTTCTCTGGACTACAACGAGGTCAGCAGAGCATTTGCAATGTTCTATGCCGATGACACTTTGGTTTACATGCTGTCGTAGCGTCTTAGTAATACATTTATCTAATAATTTCTTTCTTTCCACGCTATAGTCCAAGGGTATTTATGAGAAAGTGGGGGAGGCCACTGAGACAGCCCTGTGCTGTTTGGTGGAGAAGATGAACGTGTTCAACACTGAAGTGCGTGGTCTGTCCAAGGTCGAAAGAGCTAACACCTGCTGCTCGGTAAGTTCATTAAAACAACTTTGAGCAGGATATGTAAGTTAACAGATCAGTTGTACTTTAAACTAACCCATTCATAACATAGACATTATTTATTTTTGGAAAAGGATCACATTATATAATTATATGAAAAAGCTAGACTTTGTGTAGGTATAAAACCAGCTCTCTGGCGTTTTTCAGTTCCAAAGAGTAATTCGGCATCGTTCAACACATTTTCAGGGTTTTACTCATTGGCCAACTTGATTTTCATGCACTCTATTAATCTTTACATCCCACTCCAGCAGTTGTTATTCTGTTTTTCATTTTCTTTTGTCAGAATTTTTTGATCTGGGAAAGGCGTTTCACTTAACTTGACTGTTTCAGATGCAAGTCGGAAAACTCATAGGCAATAATACTAATACAGGCTATATGATGCAGTATTTGTGACAGACAAGCAAATAATTAGTTTAGAAGCACAGCCAGTTATTTTGGTTTAAAATTTGTAAATCAAAAAATGAAGACTCATTTACATTTTGGCTATAACGCTGTCACAAATAAACTTTATTTACTTTGTTATGGTTAAGCATACTTTGTTGGGACATAAAAGTAAAAAGGAGTAGCATCTCCACCTAGCTTGTAGTAACTCGTGCTACTTGTTTTATCACCAAGCATTCACATTAGCTGTACAGCCTCTCTCCATCAGGATTAGATCCTCTATTTTTAATCTAGAACATATGAGCTGTATGAATTAACTTCTGCAAATTTCAGATTAAATCCACTGCTAACGCGGTGTGCTCAGTTTTTCTCATGATAGACTGATTAACACATAAGACATGATGGTTTATCGACATGTTACCAAGATTGAAAACTTGGGTTTTAGCAGAGGGCGATTTCATCTTATATTTCTTATGACTTTTCTACAGGTCATCAAGCAGCTAATGAGGAAGGAGTTCACCCTGGAGTTTTCCAGAGACAGAAAGTCCATGTCAGTCTACTGCTCACCTGCCAAGTCGGCCAAAGCTCCTGTCGGGAATAAAATGTTTGTCAAAGTAAGGACATAAAAATAAAGAATGGATAAAAAACTAGTAAAGAAACAAATTTGATTCGGAATGTTGAAGCTAACTTTATTGGTGAGAAACTCAAACTGTTGTTTTTTTTACATCATTAGGGTGCTCCTGAAGGTGTCATTGACCGTTGTGAGTATGTTCGCGTTGGCACCAATCGTGTACCACTGACTGCCCCAGTCAAAGACCAGATCATGTCAGTCATCAAGGAATGGGGCACTGGGCGGGACACCCTTCGCTGTTTGGCTCTCGCCACACGTGACACACCTCCGAAGAAGGAGGAGATGAACCTGGAGGACTCCAACCATTTTGTAGAATATGAGGTGGGTGAACTAGAACCAAGTTTTGAAACAGATTTCGCCCAGATTTGCATTTACTATTTTTGTTTCTTATTTCCAGACTGACTTGACCTTCGTTGGTTGTGTTGGCATGCTCGACCCCCCTCGTAAAGAGGTCATGAGCTCCATCGAACTGTGCAAGGCTGCTGGCATCCGTGTCATTATGATCACTGGTGGGTCTACAAGTCCACTCATCACACCTCAAACTAAACTAAAGAGACTAAATCTTTTTCTTTGTGCTCTCTTCCAGGAGACAACAAAGGTACTGCTGTGGCCATTTGCCGACGCATTGGCATCTTCTCTGAGGATGAGGACGTCACTGGGAAGGCCTTCACCGGCCGTGAATTTGATGACCTTTCTCCATACGACCAGAAGAACGCTGTCCGAAAGGCTTGCTGCTTTGCCAGAGTAGAGCCGTCCCACAAGTCAAAGATTGTTGAGTTCTTGCAGGGCTTTGACGAGATTACCGCCATGGTGAGAGAGAAAAAAGGAAAATAGATGTTTGATGAACCAACACCTTAAACGTTAATGAATTAATGATAAGTCTTTTCTGTTCCACTGTCCTTCTATGTTTTGCTAAGACCGGCGACGGAGTGAATGATGCCCCTGCCTTGAAGAAGGCGGAGATTGGCATCGCCATGGGCTCTGGCACTGCCGTTGCCAAGTCTGCCTCTGAGATGGTCCTGGCTGACGACAACTTCTCTTCCATTGTGTCTGCTGTTGAGGAGGGCAGAGCCATCTACAACAACATGAAGCAGTTCATTCGTTACCTCATCTCCTCCAATGTAGGCGAGGTTGTCTGGTGAGCACGTTATACCGCACTTTGCATGAAACACTCAAAAGAAACATTGTTGCCACAGGAAAGAACTCAAGTGACTTGATTTGTCTTTTCCCACTCCTTCAGTATCTTTCTGACAGCTGCCTTGGGTCTGCCAGAGGCTCTGATCCCCGTCCAGCTTCTCTGGGTCAACCTTGTGACTGACGGTCTGCCTGCCACTGCACTCGGCTTCAACCCTCCAGACCTGGACATCATGGGCAAAGCCCCCCGCTCCCCAAAAGAGCCCCTCATTTCAGGCTGGCTCTTCTTCAGATATCTGACCATTGGAGGTAGTCTCTCTCTCTCTCTCTTTTTTTGGGTGGGGGGGGGGTCCCATCCGTTGAAGCATTTAAGGCGATATTCTAATCATTCCTACTGACTTCTGATATCGCTTCCTCCAGGTTATGTTGGTGCTGCAACAGTGGCAGCAGCTGCTTGGTGGTTTTTATATTGTGACGAGGGCCCAGCGGTCACCTTCTACCAGCTGGTTGGTTTTAAAATCATTCCACAACTATTCTCCCATAGACAAACAGAACTGTTGAAATAGTTCAGTGTCAGTCTAGGCACCGTGAGAACTTAATTTGTTTTTGTCCCACCTGTTAGTCTCACTTCATGCAGTGCAGCGAGGAGAACGAGGATTTTGAAGGTATTCGCTGTGAGGTGTTTGAGTCTTCCCCGCCGATGACCATGGCTCTGTCTGTGTTGGTCACCATAGAGATGTGCAACGCTCTGAACAGGTAGGACTGTGCTCTAAACCACGCTGTATACCTGGGGTTCTTGTTGTTCTTTACAGTGTAGCTCATTAACTGGTGCTGTTAGGATCCAGGTGGAAATGTTGTGGAAGTGTGTCACTTCATTCTCCTCGTTTAAAAGTTGCAAGCTGTTTAAGTCTTTATCTTGAAGCGGTTCTGGAGCTGATTATGCTAAAGTTTCAGGTTATTATCTTGATGCATTGCTGCACTTTAGAGGTTAATTCCACAGAACATGTTCTCCAGGCCTCCATTTCTGCAGTCTTTTGTTATTTTAATTTTTCCTCACATATATTTTCACCTCCAAACAGACTTTTCTATGTGGTTTTGGACTTGTTCGTCCTACTTATACCTCCCTTATCCTCCACCCTCAGCTTGTCAGAGAACCAGTCTCTGGTGCGGATGCCCCCCTGGAGCAATGGCTGGCTGATGGGTGCCATGACCCTCTCCATGTCTCTTCACTTCATGATCATCTACGTCGACCCCCTGCCCGTGAGTCCTCAGCTTCAGCAGGAGCGACTCAGACATGTTATATTAGCGATCCACTGTTTCAGACTTTAATTTGAACATTTTAAATGTGAACACGCTGCTCCTCTGATGTGCAGATGATCTTCAAGCTCACTCATCTGAACGTGGAGCAGTGGATGATGGTGCTGAAACTTTCCTTCCCGGTCATCCTTCTGGATGAGCTTCTCAAGTTTGTGGCTCGCACATATCTGGAGGGTGAGCTCAAAGCGTGACCCGTGTACCAAACATTTCCCCATTGTTTTACTGGTTTTAGGCACATTATTATTTTTTTCTTCTTCTTTTAAGTAAAGTAACAAGCAGAGACTTGTGTAATCAATTGTTGCAGCTAAAAAAAACTGAACCAGAGCAAACACTTGTGGTAATCTGGAAGGGATCACGTTTTGTAATTTAACATGAAATTACATGTTAAATGTTGAATATTTCAGCTAAATGAGACAAGTTTTCATCTAGTTTCTACTCGTCAGTGAGTAATGCATTGAATAAAACACAAGTTTTATGCAGCAACATTAAAAAGCTGAAGTGAATTGATGACTGCAAAGAACATGATGTAAAATCGTATTTAAGATGAATGAATGAGGAAATACATGACTTTGTTCTCATTTAACATTTAAACTAGTTTATTAATAAAATGCTACAGATGATGTTGCCTCCCTATTAAATGCTTGTTAACCTCTCCCTCTTGTTTTGTTCCTGTCAGTTTTAATCATCTCCCACCTTCGTTATCTCTAATCTGTTTTACTTTGGTTTCATTTGTCCTCTCCTTGGTTGCTCCTCCTCTCTTTTCCCTTCATGACAATCCAGTCTAAACCCACCCCCCCTCCTCCACACCCCTATAACACAATAAGGTATCTCTCCTGACTCAGGTTAAAGGTTTCCTCTGCATTGTGCATCCATGCCTCTGGATCGGAATGCACAACAGCATTGCACACGTGATGTTTTATTGCTGGATGCAAGAAAATGGTGAATTAATCCCTGAAGTGACCTTAAAATTGGACTAAATCACAGTCAGCATGCTGCTGATGCTTTGCTTTGACATTTACATCCATAAAACCAACAGGGTGCATTTTACTAACAAGCATTATAACAATATTCCTGGACTAGTCCTAAAAATCAAACCTTACTGCGTTCAAACAAACACTGAAGCTTGACTATCGTTTTATCCTTCATGCATCATCAGAAACTAGAAAGAACTAACTAGTTGGACATTTTGGAATAATAATAAAAATCAAACAATCTGGTGTCTGGTCAACAACACACAAGAAGAAAAAGTGGCCTCGGCTAGTTGAGTTATATGGCAGGCCATTTAAACATATAATCAGACAACGCTCCTGTCTCTTGTTTTGCTTTTAGACATTAGTGGCACCCTTTCCATTAAAGACTAGTTTCTTATTGGCCAGAAATAAAAAGACAAATTCCTACTAGTAATAATGTCTACATAACGGACAGTACATTAAAAATATATTTATAGTTTAATAATAACGATCCTTATCCTTTCAGTGATCTTTTTAACACTCGACTGGACGTTTCACAAGTATCCATAATTCTCTGCAATAAGAAGAGCTCAGTTTTTTTCTTCTCCACAATCGTTTAAAACATCCTCTTAAGACAGATTTTCCCTTAAATTTTAATTTTCCCTTCGTGTGTATTGAAGCTACAGATATTCTCAAAATACCCTTCCTGTTTACAGTAAATGAACACTGTGGATACCCTAAACAAAAGTCTTATGAGGAGAAACAGACTTTTCAGACACTTTTAGTCGTTACTAGACTCGATTATTTATTTCACCTGTTTAAAGTTAAAATTATTCCTTTAAAGTTTCAGTTCTTTTTGGACAATTGTGATTACATTGTTGCTAGTCATTACTTCATATTGTTTATCAAAATTAGTTTTCTAGGGAATTTCTTGTACCAGTATTTCAAATTACAGTAAAAAAAATATCTGAAAGTTTTTTTTTTTTTTTTTTGTATCTTGAGGTGGAATTGACAACAAAAACAGCCTTGTAGATTTCAGCAAAATTGTGGACAGAATGAACAAAAATTAGGCACTTCATTTTGGTTTGGAAGAATTATGGATGCTAGCTTTGAAGATGTCTTATATGACTTGCTTGCCGTAAATCTTGGCAGCAAATAACTTGTAATCCCAAGCAGGAAAAAGTAATCCTGATTAAAAACTTCCAATAGTTCTGTGAATTACTGATTAAACAAAATTAGAAAATCTTGATTGAAAGTGGATTATTTTGTTTTTGTTTGCGAGTAAAGCTGTTCAGAACCACCTCAGGGATCAAACCGATCTCAAATCAGTAAAACTCAAACCACCACGTTCTCCACAATGTCCAACTTTATCTAACATCCTCTAAAATGACTCGAATTTTCACCCCAAACCCATTTTAATTATCAGTGGGGCTTTCAGGAGAGAACTGACAAGTCTTTGCTTTGTCCATCCAGGAAAGGTTTAAAGCTCGAGCGCAACAGAGCGTCTGAAGCGAGGCGAGACACAGAGGGCAGAGCGGCGGCGCTCCGAGTCACATGATCAAAACATCAAACACACAAAGCATCTGTAAATACACCCAAAACAAAAGCTGCAAACTTTTTTCTTTGTCTGTGTATGTCCAGAAAATAATATAAAGCTAAGGTATATTAAAGCTTTTCTGTTTATTCTATTCTTTAAAAAAATAAAAAATAAAGATGTGTATTAAAGAAACTGTGAATGCTTAATTATGTAATGTGTCTTGTTCAGTCAACACTCCAGAGTACTGGGCCAGGATTTAAGAACATGTCATAGCCTTTACAGGTATTTATGACCTTAACACTTAGGAAAAATAATGTGCGTTAAAATAAAACAAAAACCGCAGTCATGTAACCCTGAGGTTGCGGGTTTGAGTCCAGGTTTTGTCGGGAAGGACATCTGGTGTAAAACAATTCGCTCGTGGTGGCGACCCCTGAAGAAGCGAGCACCACAAAGAACATTAAAATAAAAAGATGTTCCTCCTTTTATTGCATATTTTGCAATTTGCACCTCATGATGCAAAACCCCCACATTTTAACCTGAAAGTTGTTATAATAAACACAGGAACGTTACCAAAACAAACATCATAACCATAATTACATATATCAAAAATACATAAAAATCCTAATTGAAAACAGTTAATTAGAAGAGTATCTGCACCAGTTTAGTCATTATTGCACTGAGTGCTGTTAGATGTCCGTCACAAAGATGCTGAGGATTACTGATTACATCATAATTATTAACTAGTTACAAAGCAGATTCAAGTGTTGAACAGGTCAGTGTTTTGCTGGAATCACGTCAGTTTTATAAACAAACTGTTTACGTTAGTATTGTACAGGAAGAAACGTGTTACGATGCAATTCAAAAGACAGCTTGAGAAAACTTCATTGGTAATTAAAGATTGCTTTGGTCATTAAAGGGAATGTTCAGAACTTTAGAAGTGGGGGGGTTTCAGTGAAGACAGTATCTTACCTGTAGCTCTTTAAATGACTTTAGTTTGGGGACATAATTAAATTCTCAGAAACAAGTGGATTGTTGAATTCCTTAAACTCCACTTTTAAAGACTTCACAGTACACGGTTTTAAAAGTATTTACATTTTCTTTGATTTCACATTTTATGGTAAATTACACGATTCCTTGCTTGTCTGCAAGCAGAAGCAGCTAGCCGTAGCACTTCCTGTGCAATGACGCAATGCAAAATTGATGGCAGTGTTAAGGTTGTTGTAAAGTGGCAGCTCAAACGAACCGTTAGATCATCAGTCCAGTCAGAATTCAGCTATTTCTCCAAACGAAGGTTGTTCAAAGAGTTATCTACAACAGGTAAGATACTTACTGTTCATAACCTTCCCACAGAATCCATATTCAAAAGGTCTGAACTGCTGTTTTAGGCAACAGTTTATGTGACTTGGATAAAACCGTCCTCTGTGACAAAGTGTCCACGAGTAGATCGAGTCATAACCCAAACTCCAGCAGCAGTGACTCCAATCATCGCTCACTCCAGTCATCGCTCACTCCACCGTCCCTGGATTTTGAGTGGTTAGCTGAGCTCTACTGGTCTCCTTCGAGTTCTTTAATATTGCTTCTTTGGTTCCTAAAACTCACGAGGCATCAGCGGGCTGAGAATCTGCTTCGCTGGCGCCGCCCTCCAGGATTTCCTGGACTTGTTCCAGACTCACAGCCTGTCGAACCAACTCCATCTTCACCTGAAAGAGGAGAGAGGCCACGTGTTTAAATTGATTTCAGGCTCCCGGTGAAGCTTTTCTCCATCGTTTCTTCCTGTACCTGAAGCGACTGGGAGAGCTGGACGAAGTCTCTCTGGACAGCCTGGCTGGTGTCGAGCTGAGAGCGCAGACTGATCACTTGGCTTCGCAGCTCCAGATGCTTTTGGTTTAGAGTTGCCTGACAGCCACACAGACATCGGTGTGAAAACCCACAGAGAGATTAAGCATGGCTGAAGTTGCATCAAATAAAACCTTAGAGCTACGTCTCATAAATTGGGCATTAGTCTAAATTATGTGTTAGAAATTTAATAACGATGAGTTTAAACAGGGTGCAGTCCAATCTATTACATTAGACGATGGTTTAAATACCCTAAAATAATGAAAACTAATCAGTTTTCCATTTTAGATGATAAATTTATCTCTAATTGAGTCTAGCTAACCACAAAGGCCTCCCATACAATCAACACTTCAAATTTGACCAATAGAAGGTGTATAATTTAACATTAAAAGAAGGGTAGATTTACTTTTTCAGCGCTGAGGGCTTTGTTGGTGTTCTGTAGGTGAGTGAGCGCCACCCGCAGGCCGTCCAACTCAGTGCGACAGGCCAGGAGCTGCGACTGGACCTTCTCCGTCTCCGTCCTCAGAGTGGAAAGCTGCACTGTGGACACAATCACATCACAACTTGATGATTTGTCCTGTTCAGAACACATTTGCTTACGTTGGTGTCAGTTTTAATTTCAACAAGGAATAAGATGTCTCCCGACAAAAGACTGGTTTAAAAGGTCAATAAAGTAGAAGTGGTTCACTCACCCTCTAAAACTTCTGCAATCGGCAGCAGCCGGGAAGCATGAAGGGGAATAATGAAGCACTTTCAGTGTTGAAGGCAGCCAACAAAAAAAAACATGCCGTATTTTTATGACTATAAGCGCATTAAGCGAACAAAACAGTCCGATAAGTCAAATTTTATTCAACTCATTCACAATAATCACAAAAAATTGGTTCCAGATCAATAAGCACAACCAGAATTAATACATAAAGGATTTTAAGTGCACCTTTTAGTCCAAAAAATATGGTAATATAAACTAATCCACCGACCGTTCTCCTCCGTCCGAGTGTCCAGCTGCTCCCTCAGGTTGACAATCTCAATGCGAAGGCGCTCCTCACAGTGCGCTCCCTGCAACATCGGATCAAACCGTGTCAAACCGTCTGTACCCGTCATTAAAACTCAGTTATGATTTAGTAAAACAAAAATCTTAAGCTGCATCAAGTCAGTATGTGAGAGGTTTCACTCATTTAAAGATCCCCTAATACCGTATTTTTCGCCATATAAGTTGCGCCTTTTTGTATAAATTTGCAAGTCCTGCGACTTATACACCCAAACGACTAATATACATTTTATTAACACCATATTTATAAACCAATTTTTGGCTGAGATCTGACGATATTCATTTTGACTTGAAAAATATTAAACATTACCATTTGTAGGCACTAGAGGGCCCTCGAGCCATATGGCAAGCCAAGTGTCTCATTAATAGTTAAAGTGACTATTAATGAGACACCTGGAGCAAACGTCAAATCAGCTTCATTTCGCTGCACCGCCCAGGCAAAATGCAACTGATTTGATCATTAATGTGCATTTATTAAGGAAAAAGTTCAACTGAGGCACCTTTGCTATAATGTCCAGCAAACGAACAATTGTTTTTAGGTGGTTATCTTGTTAAATTTCGAAGCAATGCTCAGCGAGTCTTCCCTCTGCGCGCTCCCGCGAATCGATTTTTGAAATGCAGCTGATTTGACCATTAAAGTGCATTTATTAAGGAAAAGTTAAACAGAGACACACCTTTGCTATAATGTTGAGCAAACAAATAATTGTTTTTAAGTGTTAATCTTGTTAAATTCTTTGTCCTCCCGTGCACACTCCTGCAGCTGCCATTTGGCAGCCAACCGATTTTTGACAACACCGGCTCATGTTTCCGGGTTGTCAGCGGCGACTCATAATAGATGCGACTTATACGACAAAGCGACTTATTTTTGTTTTTTTCCCACTTTATTAGACATATTTGGACTGATGCGACTTATACGGCAGCAAGTACGGTACTTAATAGAAACTTAAAGCAAAGGTTTTCACAGGTTTTGTGTTCATGTCTGCATTTCTCCTGTTTCAATCAACCATTTCAACTGTGTTACAATCTATGCAAACACTTTATTTTACAGAACCATATATTTTCATGGCAGCAGCTGTTCTTGAGAGAGGTAAAACAGTAACTGTACATGCAGTGTGGCTGAGAATGATGAGCTGGTGTCTGGTTCGTCCCCGTCCACCTCCTCTCCTTTCAGTTTGGACAAATCACTGCACATTTTCCGCTGAGACAGAGACAACTCTGCCTGGACGCACACACAAAAATAAGATGAATTAAACAAAATTAAAGACATAAGTCTGACGTTAAAAATTTTTTTTTGCATGGGAACAACAAACACAACCACAAAGACAAATGAGCACTGGTGAAAATAATTGTGCTCGAGTGTACGAGGTCTGAAAATAAGATTTTAACATGAATTTGTACATCTTTTTTTTTTTAACTGTGCAATAGTACACAGACACAAGCACGTTTGGTATTTCTCACCTTCACTTTTCAGTATTCACATTCAGTTGGGGGACATGGGACAATATTTGACAATATATAAATTGTCAAAAAGTAACCAGATTTACCTACTGGCAGTCTACATTTTACTATTTAACATGTAAAATCCAGTTTGTTGAACCTGGAACAACTTTATTAGTCTCATTTAGTGTGAAGAAGTGTCTTGTTGCCACTTACCAGCCGGCTCTGGACTGCGTTCTGAGACTGGCTGAAAGATTTCTGCAAATCCTGAAGGAGGGCCTCTGAAGCCTGAACCTGAGACTGGAGCATCGATACCTGAACAAACGATCAAACAGCGATCTGTGTTTACGATTCACTTCATCTAAAACAGAGTAAAAGAGCGCACACTGCGGGCAGAGTAGCCCACCTGTTGGTGTGTGTGGTTCGTCTGCGTGTCCAGTTCTCTCTCCAGCACTTCCTTCTCCGCCTGCAGCCGACTTACTTCCCCTCGCATCTCTGACAGCTTCAAAACAAGCGGCTACCTCGTTACCACACAAACTCAGCAGGAAAAGCTTCAACTGGAGCAAAACGCTCAAAATGTAAAAGTTCAGTGTTTACATATCAGATGAAGCATTCTGAAAGCTAAAGGTTTAAAGTATCCCGACCTGCGCGTTGAGCGAGTCCCAGTCGCTGTGAGTCACGAGCCGGTGTCCAGCCGGCGGCAGGTAAATGGCTTCAGGCACCAGAGTTCCTGTAGAAACCAGAGAGTCCGTATCTTCCTGAGCGAGGAGTTTTCTGGGCAGAGAGGGCGTGTCCAGAGAGAAGGAGGACAGCGAGGCCGAGTCGCAGTGCTGTAGTGAAAAATATCCCTCCGTCGAAAGCGCCGCTGGTTCCCCCTCTGCCGCTGCCTCCAGCTCTGCCGGTCGACTCTGCGTTCTGTGCGTTGACGCTTCGTCCTCCATTAAGCTGTTGACGACCGATGTTGGGGATTCGTTAGTGGAGACGTCTGGATCTACCCTGCCCTTCCTGTTACTGACCTAACAGAAACAAATGATGGGAGTTGAGTCCAAAATACACAAGAGTTGTATATAAAAAAGGAACGCAGGCGCACACTGACCATGTTCTGTCCACTGGATCTCCTCCAGTCCACAGGCTGGGACTGCAGCACAGCGATCCTGGCTTCATACTGAGCTGCTGTCTCTGGAAACAGTAAAGGATTTAAAAATATATACAACTAATTCAATTTTCTAACCTTTGGGAGCTATCACAAAGATTATCTATCAAATAGTTTTCTGGATTCTATAGATTCAACTTTTGCTAAGTTGACGTCTCAAAGAGGATATCCATTATCTGAAGGACCCAAAACACCCAACCTCTGACATGTCAATATGCTCCTTGAGTTTCCCTACAACTATCAGATTGGAGCTACCGCTGACCAACAACCACAGGCTGGTTGGAGACCAAACAGAAGTGGAAGATTTTCAGCAAAAACAAATATATGCTCAAAACCACTTTCTGGATTTTCTGTCTCAGCAAAGAATCTGAAAAGAAAAAAAAAAAAAAAACATTAACGTAGTCTGAGAGGACAGAGCAGAAGAGGGTTAAGTGAAGAGTACTCTAGCCGGATGGATTTGGAGATGAACAAACTATGAGTACTGTATTTTCTGGACTACAAGTCACACATTTTTTTCGTAGTTTGGCCAGTCCTGCGACTTATTCACGTTTTTTTCCATATTCATGACGCAACTTTTGACCGACGCCTTAAATGTTCATTCATATAGACATGAACCAAAGAGTCAACATTACCATTTGCAGCTGCAAAAGGGCCCTCTAGGCTTTTGACAACTATATGTTGTTCCTCTACCTCTAACACCCACTCCCCACAAACATTCACTTAAGAGACAAATAAGAAAAACTTAACACAAGTAAAATGTCCCCAAAAGGCAGAGTTGTTCAGAAGTGACAGAGGATGAAGAATTCAATGAATTCAGTGATGTGGAATGAGATTGGAGAATTTACTGGTAACATGCTTGTCAGACTCGTTGGCTTGTTATGTTAATTAAACCTGTTCAGGATCCCACGTATGTTCTGAGTGTTACTGTTATTTCAGACTAAATGTCTGTTCTTGCACTTTGTGTAATACACTTCTAAATAAATGTGACTTGTACTCCGAAGTGACTTATAGTCCGGAAAATACAGTAAAATTTTTGTGTGACAAGAACTGCAAGACAGCCGATTTAGGATCCAACAATAAGACAAAAATGCAGAAAGAGACGAGCATCAAATAAAAAAAAGCTTAACATCTGGTAAGAAATGAGACGGGTGAGCTTGGAAGAGCCGCTAAGTGTAGAGATCCTTCAAAACAGCCCGTTCTTTCAGTCATGAACAGGATTAAATGGCTTCACGAAGGAATGACATCAGAAGAGAACAAGGACAAAATACCGATGGCAACAACCAAAGAGGAAATGCAGAAAAAGCGTCAAACACTGTTCAAGCTTCAATTCAATAACTTTCCATGGACTATTACTGTAATTTAAACCTTAGAGTTTCAGCAGAACCAGCAAAGTCAAAGTGGGAATCTTCACATGTACTGTCTCTCGGATTTTGTTTGAGCAATGAACAAGTTGATAAAATCTGCTGAAGCAGAATGAAGAAGACCAAATTTTAGAACCAAGATCAACCGTCTATTAGTGCCTTTTTGAATGAACTGAACTTGACCACTGAGTTAGAGTTAAAAGGCAGGTGGATCATATAAAGGACTGAAGAAGTAGACAAGCTAGAATGTTGTAAAACACAAAACTAATGACCTAACTGGCATTAATAAACCAAACAGTAGAGAATAGATTTTAATTTTACATCTCTGAAATGCCAATCCCAACCTGTGAAAAGTCTTGGGAATGACTTTGACAGCAGCTTCAGCCACAGAAACCCGTGAGGAGATGGAAAGCCGGCTAAGAAATGCTGAAAAGACAGACCTTTTACTGGGTAGATTCAAAGCATTGATTTCCCTTTAAGGAATCATTATGATACAAGTTGCCAAATTGAACCATTTCAGACCTGGAAAGGGCATTTACTATCTTTGAAAATGGCTAGGATTAGAGCCCGACTGGTATATCGGTAGGGCCGATATAGGCGTTTGGAGACATATCGGTATAGGTGATAATTGTCCCACTATACGCTGATATAAATACTTTCACCCCTAAAACGCTGGGAACGAGTCATGTCCATGAGGCTCAATGAGAGTAACCTGTATAAATAAAGGTTGAATGAATGTCCTTACTTGCACAAGGTGCAATTGTATAATGTATCCAGCAGAGGGCGCATGTGGACTACTTTCAAGTCATGGCCATGAACTTTAACTCGGCACAGCCAAGCAGGGCACAACTAAAAACTGTGTGTAGTGTATTTTGCTGAACAGAGCATGGCAAGTTTATTTTAAATGATCTATTAAAAAAAAAAAAACTACAATAATAAATTCCCTTCAATCCTCCAACCCGCTTATCATTAGCTACATGCCTCTCAAGTTAGCAAGCTAATGTTTAAATAACCTCGCATATTGTATGTAAAACTTTCTCCAGAACAATAAATCTCATCTCGAGGTAAAATATTTCAGTGTTAGTTACATTATCGTTGTTGTTCTCAATGAAATGCATTGTTTGCCTGAAATCTTTGCTTTTTTTCAAAGAAATAGAAAAACCACTGCAGTTGATACTAATTAGACCTTCACCATACGAGACTGTGTTTAAACAACAAACAGGGATGGGCGTTTCTTTGTTTAAGTTATATTTTTGTAACACACTTGGTAACTATGATGAATAGTGGAGGATAGAAAATGTGAACGCACGTTAGGAAGACAGTTTCAAGACTTCAGGTGTTAAAACAGGTTTAAAAGTAGCTGCTTACTTAGATTCTTGGGGGTGGACAAAGCTAAAAAAAAAATTCAGCCAGTATATTGATTATCAGCATTAACCTTCCCCTCCCAATATTGGTATCGGCGATACTCAAAATTTCCATATCGGTAGGGCTCTAGCTAGGATTACTGAAGGGTTTAAGAAGCATAACCCTGCATGAAAACACTTCTAAACCAAGACTTCCCCACTAAATTTTATTGAGCAATTCTAAGTCTTGCGTAAAAAATAAAAAAAAAAGTGCAACAGCTTAGAAAATCAAGAAACCTATAATTTTCTTGAGCAAGACTGGTAATCGAGACTGGCAGGAAGTACATGATAAAAGGTTCTGTGAAGTTGAGACTCATTAAAATGTCATGGGGGCCTGGTAGGTGTGGTGGCCAGAGATCTGACAACATATTATGTCAGAGTCCATGCGAAACCTCGTCAAACTGGAGCGTATATTGACATGCATGAAACCTAAGCCTGGAAGAGATCAAAGTGTCAGGACTGTCACTGATGAGGCTGGATGGTGCTGACCAGTGAAGGTGGAGACCTGGGAGAAAGTCTCTCTCTGCAAAGTTTACACTGTTGTCTGTATCACATTAAGGATATTTTAAAAAAGTCATTTTAAAAGTAAAAAACTCAAGGGTCAAAGACCATGGAAGAATCCTGCTAAGGTGCAAAGCTAAACCCAGATGAAGATCAAATGTATCATCAGAAAGAAACTTTCTGATGCCCATAAGACTCAAAGCATCTGAATGTCACTGAAAATATACTCCAACACTGCATCAGAAAATTAATTTATAGGACGTGACATCTGAGAATGTTAAAAAAAAAAAAAGTAAAAAGTTGAACTTCTCTCAAGTTTTGTAAAATAAACCAGAAACAAAACTGATAGCCGTTGCTTTAGTTGCAGAAAATTACACAAAACTCATTTAAAGCTTGTTCACATTTCAGTAAAACTGTCAGATCTTACTTCGTGCATACAGTAAGTGGAACATGCACAAGCTTTGCATCAATGTTTATTCATATCAAAACCAGAGCTCTACAATAGTTCGAATGCTATTATGCTGCATATATTATTTTTCTGACTTAAAAAGAAAACCTAACTACTCTGGTGCATATGCATACTGAGAATGACATTTTGCACAATGCAACAACCACCACTGCTGACCTCTGAGAGCCTCCTGCAGGGACTGGATCTCTTGATCACATTGTTTTTGCAGCTCTGCCAGTTCCTCCTGTTTGCTCAGCTCACAGATTGTCGCCACACCCTGCCAGTGCTCGACCTGAGCTTGGCACTCGGCTAGCTGGGCTTGCAGGCTCACCTCTGAAAACAGCACACAGGTTGCAACGTTTATCCCTTCTTTCAGGATGTTTAGATGAGCAGGGATTACACTCAGTTGGACATAAAAGGTTTTGAGCAAGCTGCATAGTTTGTAAGTCTTTTAAAAAACTGCAGTACGGTAATAAAAATAATCTCTATTAAAAAGCACAGAGACTTTTAACTTCTAAAATCTAGTTATATTTTTGATTCATTTAGATTTATGTGAACTATTTAGTGCCTCTGTGTGCTCAGATTTCCACACTAATCTCCACAAATCAGTCCTATATGTGATTGTTAACTTGGTTACATAGATCACAACATTTGTTTTTGTTTGGATTTCTTCACATAAGAGCAATAATACATTCATATCTGAATTTGTACATATGTGTAAATGGGAAAGAGGATCAATCCGAGCTATTTATCTTTACAATAAAAATGCTGCCAGACCTGAAACTAAATTTACATTTTTGAAGTAGACAATGCCAGATTTATTACATTTTTATATGGTTTAACCCAATGAGATACAAAGGAGATCAGCATCAGGAAAAAAAGACTCAAAAAAACTCTGATTCACTCCATGAAAACAATTTCAGCTTCTTATTCAACCAGCAGCACCAAAACCTAAAATATTCAGTTACCAATAAATAAATAAAAGCTGATCACAATTCAGTTTGTGAGGTAACATCTCCAATAAGTGTAAACAGACATACTTGCACTTTCATCATGTCTTTTCAACCATATTCCATTTTTCAATTATCGTTTGTTGTAGCAACTTCAGATGATAAAATTACAAAGATTTTCAATCCATTACATCAACCCAAAATGCCACAGTTTTACTATACCATACCATACCATACCATTTTATTTATAGAGCACTTAAAACAGGGACAAGGCCAACCAAAGTGCTGTACAGACAAAACAACAAGTAACACACAAAGCAAAATACAAAATGAAGTAAATCAGAATATAGACATAAAAATGATGCAGATAATGATGACAAACCAGTGTGGAGCATACAGGTTCAAAACACAGATCATCTGGTGTTGAAAGCTACCGAATAGTAGTGGGGTTTTAAACGGGACTTGAAAACCGAGAGGGAGGGGGCCTGTCTGACAAGCAGAGGTAACTCATTCCAAAGTCTTGGTCCTGCTACAGAGAAGGGCCCTGTCACCTCTGCGCTTAAGACGAGTTCCTGGAACTGTGAGGAGCAACTGGTCCGCTGACCTCAGGGAGCGTGGTGGGACATACGGCTGTAGCAGATCAGAGAGATGGGGGTGCGAAACTGTTCAGTGATTTGTAGACATACAGGAGTATTTATACTAGTAACCGGTGCTCCAACAGGATTTTACCCTAAAGCACAATTTTTAAAATAACTTTATATTTACATAACAAGAGTAGAGTTTAAAGACATGTATGAGATACTTTTTTTAATTGAAAAAAGTTAAATGTCATAATACGTTATATTTAATCTCAAGCCCTTTGATAGAAACTTTCATTTTTCACCACTGCATTGATTTTACAGCAAAACCCAACTATTTCAGCTCGTAAAATTGACTTTATTATTCAAAAGAAGTGCAAAAACAGACAGGAATGGGTTCCAATTCATAGTAAAAAATGCTAATGACACGAATAACCTTTCAATAACATGTCAACTGGGTTATTTTCACTTTTGTTAACGAAACACAGTGTTTCTACTTATAACTCAGCAGATAAACATTTAGCGACACTTTTGGTCGTTTTGCGTTAATAAAAACTTTGAAAACTAAAACTTTATTGACATATTTTACAATAACAACCAGTGTTAAAGCTGTAAACAAGAAAATTAAATGTATTAAAATGAAGTAACAAACCCTAAAAAGTAATTTAAAACTAGTTTAGTTTGAATTTAAAGTTTGAGCTGAAGATTTGGACCGAACCGAGTTGTTAAAGTGTTAGCTTGTGGCTAGCAGCGCCAGTTCATTTCTCCGGTAAATAATGCTAACAGGCCGTTTATCCGTTTCAACACCAACAGGTTTCCCTGAGCAAAAACTTTATGAACACGAACATTTCAACAACAATCGGTTCGTAAAGCGCTCCACGTCGTCGTGCAGTCGCTTGTTGCTGTAAAGCAGATTAAAGTTTAACCTGTGTGTGTTTTATTTTTACTACCTGAGTCTTCCTTTAAGCTCATCCTCTCGTCAGGCAGCTCCATCGGAGCCTGGAGACCGGCGAGAAGAAAAGCGTTCACAAGTCCAGAAAATCCGCATTAGTCATTTTTTGTGTGCAAACACAATGGTTTGGTGTGGAAACCATCAACACTGTGAACTTCAGGAAGCAACTTTCCCCGGTTGAAGCCTGCGGAAAACACGTCAACCTCCTTCCTGTTCACCGAGTGCCAGCAGGCAGACAGGACGAAGTGGGAATTTAATACAAGAGATTAAAAGCCTAAAGTCATTCATTTCTTTATATTTTGCTGACAACAAGCCAAAAATTGTAGTAATTGTTCAAAGTAGTAGATCTCCAGGCCGTCTGAAGGGTTTTTAGTCATTTTCTTTGTACTTTTGCATCACAATTAAAGTTAAAAATTAGTATCTGGGTGCTAACTACTCTAACATCTTTCTGTTAGTGCCTCCAAACCTTTATTTAAAAAAATATGTATCATCAAAGTTCAATTCAATTTTCAATTGAATGCAGTTTATTTTTATAGTGCCAAGTCACAACAGAAGTCATCTCAGGGCACTGCACAGAAACAGTCGTATATAAAAACAAGTTCACAGAAACATTCATGTACATAAAAAGTAAGTTAATACCATTATTTATCTGAGAAACAGACTGCTTTGAGTTTAACGTCATCGCAGACTCTCATCTTGAGCAAGCACAAAGGCGACAGTGAAAAGAAAAAACTCGAGGAAGAAACCTTTAGCAGAACCAGGCTCAGGACAAGTGGTCATCTGCTTCAACCAGCTGGGTTTGAGAGGAACAGATACACAATGGCAGGTCAAGAATCACATGTTAAGATAGAAATAGTATCAAATGGAAACTACTCAATTTTAATAAGTAATTTAAAGAAATAAGGGCAATTTGTCCTCCATTAGTCTAAGTTCATAGCAGCATAACAAGCCAACCCTAACTATAGGATTTATCAAAAAGGAAAGTCTTAAGTCCAGTCTTAAAACTGGACAATGTGTCAGCCTCACGGACAGAAACTGGAAGTTGGTTCCATAAGAGAGGAGCCTGATAACTGAGAGCTTTTCCTCCCATTCTGCTTTTGGAAACTTTACTCTCAGACTGCAGGCTTACTTGCGGTTCCTAAAGTGTTCTGTTGGGAAAATATGGAACAATAAGATCTTGAATATAAGATGGAGCTAGGTTGTTGAGAGCTTTGTAGGTTAGAAGTAAGATTTTGAATTCAGTTCTGAATTTGACAGGGAGCCAGTGGAGAGAAGCTAAAACTGGAGGGATCTGATCTCGCCTACTAACTCCCATGCAAAACATTTCCTCTCTGGGGTCAACAGCTGCATGTATCTTTGTTCATGCTCAATTATCCAGGTAGAAAAATCCAACAAAGTTAAGTCAGGTCCTCTGGACGGTTTCTTTTTGTTGAAACGTTTCGTCCATCATCCAGAAGACTTCATCAGTCCGAGGAGCCACCACAACGAACTCGTCAATTTGTTTGTGGCTCCTCAGTCAGATAAGTCTTTTGGATGAAACATTTCAACAAAAAGAAAATGTCCAGACTTAACTTTGTTGGGTTTAATCTGAAAATACCATTTGTAAATATGTAAATGGACTATAGCGTCTTTCTGTCTCATGAAGACACTCAAAGCGCTTTCCACTACAATCTGTGTCCTCATTTACCCATTCATACAGCACTCTACTAGATCAAAGGGAACTGAACAAATCATTCTAATGAGACTGATCAGAGCTTTATCACATTCATACACCGATGGGAAGCACATCAGAGGCAATGAAGGGTTCAGTGTCTTGCCCAGGGACACTTCAGCATGTGACTGTTGGTGGATTTGAACCCCCAACTCTTGCATTGGAGGACGACTGCTCTAACTCAGCCACAGCTGCTCTGTGGATGTACTAAACCAAAGGAAGGAACATTAAAAGTTCATGTATGTGAAATATTTCCCCTCTGGGGTCAACAGCTGCCCATAGTCACAAGTCTTTGGTTGTCCCTTATTTCTTTGTATTTTGCTTCCATGGAGCAAGACATCCCTCCGCTGCTGCCCTCGTGTTAAAATGACCCAACAGGCCTCAGCAGCAGCGTTAAAGGGGTTGTTGTCAGTATTTATTGGACCTTTCCTGAATGGTTTTTTTTAAGTATTTTCTACGAACACCTACTTTAAAAAAAAAAAAAAAAATTTGTTAAATTCTTGTACTTGCCCATTTCTAGAGAACGTTTTTTTATTAAACCTTTATACATTGATCTTTTTCAAGCATGAAATCCTACCAGTTTCTCCATCTACACACAACTTAGTAAAAAAATAAAAGTACTCTTAGATTTGTTTATTTTTGTCACCAGCCGCCTGTCACAAAGACAATTTGTTACCTAAAGTCAGTGTAATGATAAATCATCACCTTTACAAAATAACATTACCCTCTGGTGGAGGATTACTGGTATTACTGACAAGTGTTTAAGATTTGCAGCTTTGGGTTAAAAGTGCATGAAGGCAACCAACAGGATGCTTCTGGAGAAGAGTAGATATTTTAGTTTTGTGCGCTTTAATTTTAAGTTTGCTGCAGATTCCAGCGAGCAATCATCGCTGCACAAGATTTAAGATGAACTGAATGCAGACAGAGGCTCTGTGGCTCGGGTGCATGGCAGAACTCTGCTCTGATCAAAACAACCACGGACCACCGAGCTACCACAGCCCTCTGCGTGGAGCAGGGAGCTTCCATCTAGGATGCCCAGGGGAGCAGATGGTGGGGGTTGAGGGCCTTGTTTGAGGGCCCAGGGTGGGGCAAATGAGGGTGCTTCACCATTCCCACCCACATTTTAATGTCGGTCTGGGAAGTTAAACCGGCGACCTTCCGATTTTCTCTAACCTCTGTGCCACCACTCAACCTTAAAACACAAGCTAAAAACGAAAATAAGCTAAACCCATAGCCAAAAAGTAGCAAAAGACCAGCTAAAAGCCAACAGTATCACAGAAGCTAAATGTATCAGTAGCTAAAAGTAAAGTATTGAAGGCTCAAAGTTTCAAAAGTCTGGCTAGAAGCAAAACGGTGACTGACATTTACACCCCATTTGAATCAAACTACAGGTAACTGATGAAAACAGAAACTTTAACAAACTAAAAACAAATAAAGGAAAAATTCAAACAAAAGAAAGAAAAACTGGACATAAATAAACCAAACTGACTCGTTTCTCATGACGAGATGATCGTAGTGTAAAAGTCTGGAGTCAGAATGAAGTTACTTGAAAAGCATTTATTCTCTTGTAACGAAAACATAATCTCAATAAAGACAAAGTACAGACAGTCGAGTTGGTCACTGATGCAAGTTCTAATTGTTGACAAACAACCAAACCTGCATGATTCGTGCACATAATTACATATTCATAAACCGACTAATTCATGATAGTTACAGAACTGGAAATCATTGTAGAAAATGCTGGTAAATGTCTTCATACAAAGTGACTCATGGAAATCAGTGCTTCGTGTTAGTATAAATAGTTGGGGAGCTTTTTTTGAAAAGTGGCATTTTCCTGAATTCCTTAGAGTTGAGCAGAGGCACAGGATACAAGTGCTAACAAGAACTAATCCGTAACAATATTCATCTGGTCTGCAGGTAGTGTTTGTAACAGCTTCAACATGGTCCAACAGGTAAACTCTGAAAACGATTTTAATAAAAATTAACAAATGGCTGGCTGGTTTTGTGCGACTTGTCATTTGGTGTAAAACCGTGGCTAATAAAGGTCCCAGATCATGGTGGGAATGTCCATCGTTTTCCTCACAAGTCCATGTCGTGATCGCTGACGCTCTGGCGTAAATATTCTTCATACAGCTTTTTCTACGGGGAGAGAACAGACCATTAGAAGAGCTCATTTCCTGTCAGAACCGTTTCAGGATCGGACACAAACCGCGGTACCTTTTTGCTCTTCACCACCTCCTGAACATATTCGAGCTTCTCCTGAAGCTGCCGCTTCTGTTTGCCCGAAAGAGTCGAGCGAGTCCTGTGAAGAATCAGAGTCACAAAGTTTGTTAAAGTCTGGAGAAAAACATGGAAAACACCCTAAAAACAGAAGGACTGTAATTTATTAGTGCAGCTGCTAAACAACAAACTATTTACAAAAAAATTAAGCAATTCTGAGGGAAAAGCCTTCGGATGCTTCTGTGATCTAAAATGTGTTACTGTGAAAAGCAAAGAGTAAAAGTGGTCTTCATTTATATGGGCTCCTGAAGGACTTTTATGGACCAACAGTTTGACTCCAGGGCTCATGTTTCTGGAAACAGTTTTTTTTTTGTTTTTTTGTTTTTTTTTACATAACGGACATTAAAAGTCACAAGCACCCAGACGCATTCTTTTGGTTTGTTTCCCTTTGTTTTAAATGGTTTTAAATACACAAAACACTAAATGTGTTTTCTATTAACTTTATGCGTATAGGACATTAAAATCCATTTCTTTTCACTAATTTCTTAATGCTCCCTCTGAAACTAAATGTTGAAGTCAACCCACATAAAAGAAGAAATATATATAAAAAAAAAGTTCACTTGGGAAGGACGGTAAAGTTAGGTCAGAGATAAAAACAAAAGTATCACAAATAAAAACGTGTGAGCTTCTGAGCAGACTGACGTCTCCCACCTGAAGGAGAAGCGTGCCAAGATGAGCAGGAGGAAGGACAAAAGGACCAGGCCGCCGCAGACGTAGAGCTGCTGCTCTCCAGTCAGGGACTCGTATACTCTCACTATGGGAGTCTGAGTGAAACAAAGGCACTTATTTTAGGTCCAATGCTTAAATAAACACAAGAGATCAGTACTGAACACTCACCAGGTAGAGTGAGAGGGCCTCAGTGCCTTCATGGCCCAGTGCCATCTCCAGAAGCTCCCGAGACACAGAGCCAAGGATCAGCAGAGCCAACAAAGCCAGAGGGACGCTGAAACCCAGCAGGGTCAGGAAGCAGCTCTTACAACGCGCTCGTCTGTTCTCCAAACTGGTCTGTCTGCAAGATCAAACAGTCGAGGTTATACTCTGATAGAAGCCAGCTTTTGACATTATGAATTAAAAAAAAAAAAAAAAAAAAAAATCAAGGGTGTGTCCATTATTCACCGGTCATTATTGAGTTTATCTGCGACGGCCTCGCCAATGAGCTCACAGTCCCTCTCCAGAGAGTTGAGCGTATTCTGAACCGTCTGGTTGATGGTCTTCTCGATCGTACGACAAACGTCCTCGATCTGGTTCACACAGCGGCTGGGCTACAAACAAAAACACAAAGGAAGGAAGAGGGAATGAACAGACAGCGACTTTAAAACGATCCACGTGGAGCTCCAAGACAGACGAACTCCTACCTTGTTCGGGTTGGGAATGTAGATGGTGGGCATCTCAAACCCACATTTGTTGAGCCCTGGCCGCTTGCAGAGCTCCTGCACAATCTGCATCATTACTCTCTGTGATGCAGAAAGAAGACAGTCATTTTCTCTTGTAGGTATTGAAACATGAATTCATCAACTATCAAAGAAAAAACAATTACAGTCTCAAGGCTCTAATGGACACAACACGGATGATAGTGTTAAACTTAAGTCAGATTGTGAAAACTAGACAGAATTTCTCACAATTTTAATCCACATTTAATTTTCCTAATTGACTTTGACTTTACACTATACTACAGGTGCATCTAAAAAAATTTTAATATTATTAATGGATAAAAATATCCTCTATTTAACTTAAATAAAAGAACCACGCTCGATGGCAGAAGATTTTTAACCAGTTTTACTTGCAAGAACTCATTCAAGACAGATTACATAGAGATACACAATGCATGGAACATGCCATGGAACGTCATTAGGCCTGTCACGATAACAAACTTGGCTGGGCCATTAATTGTCTCAGAAATTATTGCGATAAACAATAATATTGTTTGAAATTTGAGAGTTAGTAATTATTGTCAAATTTATTTCATTTCTTCTTAAATTTGACAATAATTACTAATTATTGTCAAATATAAGAAGAAATGTTGATTAATTTTGTGTGTAGTATCTTTTTTTGACCACTGGATGGCAGTAAAAGATTGTTTGAACCGAAGGATGGATAGTGAGGGAGCCAGCAGTGTGTCCCTCTAAAAAAAAAAATGGGAGGAAGGCCCCTTGACATGATGGCTGGCTCGCCTTCCTTTATTCGGTGCTCAAAATGGCAGGTGCTCAATGTGGTTTGAGCTCTTTAGCATAGCATTTTCACACAAAGCTTTTAATAAAAATAAATCAGTAAAGTTCTCAGCTTCGTTTTGCAGAGAAAAACAACTTTTTAGATGAAGGCACAGGTTTCAACCGTGAATTTTGGAACTACGACAAGACGGATGTTTTTCCCAGAGGTCGGTCTGTTAGCTTAGCTAAGTTAGCTCCTCAGCTTAGCTGCTTTTAACGATCCATAAATGTGATTTTGGCTCGTTAAAATTGATTTTAAAGAGAAAAGAGAAAGGGAGGGGTCAGTGAAGAGCACCAGAGTTGAGCCTTTTGTCGTCCAGTGTCTTCAGTAAAGAGACGCGAGTAAACGATAAAGCCGATAAACAAAAATTATGTTGATAATTTTCATTTATTATGAGATTAATTGATTTATTGTTTATTGTGACAGGCCTAAATGTCATTGAATGTGTCATGGAATAAGCATCAAACAGAGTTTGCTGCAGACTTTTATACAGCCGCAGAGTCTATAAGGCATTCTCCACTCTTCCTACAGACTCTGGGACTTTGATTTCCAAATGATATGAAAATTAACTTTCATCTGAAAATAGGACATTGAGCAACAGTCCAGTTCTTTTTCTCCTCGGCAGGTAAGTTGCTTCTGATGTCTCTGGTTCAGGAGCGGCTGGATTTGAGGAATGAGACACTTGTAGCTCAGGAGTTAACCAGCTGATTAGGGTGTGACACCAATTTACAATACAGAACCACCACACAATATTCTAATTTTCTGAGATGCCTGTTGTTCTGTTCCAACATTAACCAATCACAACTAAAGGTTGTTTCAGTCAGACTGATCTTTGCATTTATTTTTATCAATCTGTGTTTTTTGACATTTCCTTTCATCATTTCACAGTCTGTTTAATGAATCATTCACATTTTTAATTTGTGTTACGAAACAGAAGCACAACCAGATCTGTTTACCTGTCTGTCTGACTCTCCGCCGGCTTCATCAGCTTTGCTCAGATAAAAACGCAGTCGATCGCTGTGTTTTTCATTCAGGCTTTCGACGATGTTGAGCGTGCGCTTGCACAGGGCCTGACCCATGGGGTCAAAGAAGACCAGAATAAGGTCACAAAGGTCACCTGAAAGCAAGTCATGGAACAAGAATGTCAAACTTATTACCATTTCTTTCCCCCTTTTTTAAGCACATAATTTAATGAACTGTGACAAACGGATTCAGCTGAAATGATTGTTTTCTTTGGAAAAGAAAAATAGATGGTTCTGTGCTAAAGAAGATTACTGAGCAGCTCATACTCAAGTGGAGAAAATAGCAGTAGGTACACAAGTGTTTCACATCGACTTCAGCTAAATAAAATATAAAAGAAGTTGCCTTCTTTTTCTTTGGTAACATCAGCGCATCAAACAAACCGCTGCCTAAAATCTAAGTCTTAACATCACAGCAGTCAAAAAGAACAAAAAACTGCAACCCACCAAGCCACAGGATAACTTCGTCCACGTCAAATGGATATTTCATGTCACCATCTACCAAACCTGGGGAATCGGCAAACGTCACCAGGCTGAACCGTTTCTGTCGGGACGTGCAGATCTCTGTGCTCAAATACTCCGTTACACCTAAAAATTAATTCAGAGAGTTAAGAGCATGACAGATAAGCAGTGATCATAATAAGACAATTCATCTTTGTTGATTATAAAAAATAAAACACTTTAACGTCACATAATCAAAATATAATCTAATGCAACAAGAAATACTCGTCTACAAGTTATCCACAGTGTGACTACAACTTAAATCGTTTTGGTACATTATGAGTTCCAGTTGGCGCAGAACTGGAAAAGCAATGAGTGAAAAGTGTCAAGTTGTGTTGTTTTAAGTCTTTAAAATGTGCAGCTAAGAATAGGAATATTCCACCTAATTTCAGATTGGTGTAAGTCTAACTTAAAATGTCTCACCTTTAAACTCTTGCAGAGCCTTGAAGTGAGGATATAAGTGAAGTGTTGCATTTCCCTAAAGAAACCACCAAAACCACATTTTGTCAGAGATTGTGTGCAAAGCAGATGTTCAGTATAGAAAACAAGAAAAATAAATAAAAACATTTTAAATGACAAACTTGGAACAAAAGCAGTTTGAATCCCAGTTTAGTAATTATAACCAATGTTAAAAAAATAATGACGTGCTGCTGTGCTCACCGTGAGAGATTCTCTCTTGCGGCCACTTGTGACAAAACTGAATCCCTGGGTCTCAATGGCCACTCCAGTGCGCTGGATGTGCTCCTCCACGTACCTGAATAACCAAAACAAACAAGTACATAATAAATCAATATAAGTATATCATTGCAAGAGGAAAGAAACCAAAATAAATTTTGACATGCAAAAACAGGAATAAACTCTTGGGGATTGTCAAGATGTGCAGCCAGACTTCTGGTATAGCCCTACAGAACCTCACTGACCTACACAAGAGGTGGTCAGTGAACAAGGCCAGGCTGATTCTGGCAGATCCTGATCACCCACTCCATGGTGAGTTCAGGTTGCTTCCATCTGCACGCAGATATCTGCTGCCCAGATGTATGATGAACAGCGTGAAAAACTCATTTATCCCTGTAGAGATCAGGCTTCTCAAGGAATGATGATTTCTGTACTATTATTTTAATGTCTCAATGTCTTGTCTAGTATGGATGTTTTATGTGCCTACTGACTGTGAAACAAATTGTCCCTTGGGGTAATAAAAGATTCTTGAACTTGGAACAATTTGTACATGCTGTTCAAAACCATAAGCACGAGGGAGATAACTGGAATCTATAGGTCAATAAAGTTTTATATTTCCATCTTGGTGGCTGCAGTTAATGCCATGTTGCAGATAGTTTATTTACCAATTAATGAAGGAACTTTTCCCAGCCGAGTGGTTGCCCATCAGCAGCACTGTGATTTTTTTCCTGGGTGGTAGCAATTTCACACCAACAGATTCAGCCACTTGAATCAATCCTGCAACAAAGGAAACAGAAAACAAAGAATAAAACACTTCATGTACTCATTGTCCCATTTGTTTAAGAGTCAAGCTAAACTAATGAATGAAGAGGGACTAATTTTTGAGAGACAGATTTGAACTTCTCACCAAACAGTGACACAGACTCAAAGATAATTCAAAGGATAATAACAGAGGGTGACTTAACTTTGACAAATCATGCAACGTCAGCCAAGCCACAAAATCCCTGTTAGCTAACACTTAGCCCCCTGCGTTACCGCACCTGGTTAGCAAGCTAACATGTAGTCGATTAAATAAAACTTCAAACCTAAGCTGTATGTTCAGACTGACTGAAGAGTGTGTTTGAACCATTCAGCTCACCGCTCTCTGAATCCATGTACATTTGATGAATATCCCGTAAGATGCGCTCATCACAGGACACACCACCGGCTATACCGTCTGCGTTTGCGGCATTTCGGCTCTTCACCTTTCCCGACATGGTTACACCGTGAGGTAGTCCAAGTGTTTAAAATAAAATACTTGTTAGAGGCGTTTGAAGTCTAGAAGCAGCTTTAGTTTAAGTATAGCGAGTAGCGGGTTTGTCTGTTTGAATCACCCCGGTCTGTTGAAACCCGGTGTTTCAGCCACGTCGCCAGTTAGGACGTCGCGTTTTTGTCGCGCAGGCTCTTGGGAAATGTAGTTTAATGTGAACGCAGCCTCCAGACCAGCATTTTGGAACCAACCACTTTAAAATGAATTAAAAAGAACATAAAGTGGGTTTTCAATATCAAATTACAAAAATTATGATTTAAAAATCAAATCTACTACAGAAAACAATAGCGATAATGCAATAAAAATGTTTAATTATTTTTCTCAGTTGTTTAATTTCAAAGATCCAACAAACCGAGAACTCGATTGTTAAAAAATAAACAAACAAAAAATAAAACCCAGTTGTATGAGTAATAAATATACAGGCAGCCATGTGCTACAACATTAATGTCTAGATCAGGGGTCTGCAACCTTTACGATCAAAAGAGCCATTTCTGCCCCTGTGTTCACTAATTAAATGTGTCCAGAGCCACAATACCTGCTACAACTGGGATTCTCAACTGGTGGCCCACGGAGCACTTTAAGTTTGTTGGAGGGCGCTTTTTGGACAGTAGGGATGATTTTATAAAACTAAAAATATCTAACAATTTTTAACATTTATTAATATTTTTACATTTTAAGACAAAATAAAAGACGTGATTCTTGTAAAGAAGGACAAAATAACATAGATTTTGCCCAGTTTCTAAAAACTAAAACAATAAACTATGCATTATTATGTGATTTTTTAATTGTAGAAAAATTACATAATTCTACTTTGAAGAAATGAAGCGTCAAGTGAAAACGAGTATGTTTTACTCTTTGTAATGTTTCTAGTATTCATATATTGGCTTAATAAATTACAGGAAAACAGCTAAAACTGGCCCTTTTTTGTTGTTGTTGTTGTTATAACAACCAATAAAATTTAGTTTTATTTCAGTTTTGGTCAAAGCTTGAAAGAGCCGCTGCAGAGGGACCAAAGAGCCGCAAGTGGCTCCAGAGCCGCAGGTTGCAGACCCCTGGTCTAGATTTTGGCAGTGGAAGTCATGATGTAAGCTGCTTAAAATGAAAAACTGTTCATTTTATCATTTCAGTTTGCTACTTGTTTTTAACAAGTCACAACCTGCAATCAAACTACTGTACAGTATGTTCAGCTTTAAACTATTCTTTTGAACTTCTCTGTATGTTCTACTCATCTTTACAAATGCACAAACATTTTACTCAGTAACTGTTACTGAGACGCTGTGTGAAGAAAAAAAAAACTAAACTTATTGAAGGATTTAAAACAACTTATTCAAACTAACAAAAAACAGAGTACTAGTTCTGTAATGGTAAAAATCACATAATAGAACAGACTAACTTAACTTTATATGACTACAAATAAATTGAATTTGCTTCAGTAAAATCAAACGTGCATGAATTGTTTTTATTGACATGTGACACAGATTTCTACATCAGACATTTGATTAGATTTTTAAAGACATAGCATTTGGTTAGCACATACATCTGAAGGTTATTGCTTCTATGTTTAAATGTTAGACATACGATAAGACTATTTCTAAAGTAAAACTGGAACAAGAATGGGACTTTATAAATCACTGTACTAATAAATTAATACAACTTAATTTAACCCTCCACCAAAGAAGACATTCTGCCATCAAAAAGTCAGTGCAAGTTTAGGAAACATGTCTGAACTAATTTTGGCATCACACCCTATTTATAGTCACTTTAGTTCAATGAATGAAGTCTTAATAATAATTTAAAAAAAGATATAATCAGTTGACATTGACATTTCGTTTGTATTTTTGTCCTATTTCCCCAAAAACGAAACAAGTAAAATAACTTAAAAACTGCCAGTGTAATTAGAAAAACTCTCTTCCTTCAGGTCCCAACTAACATCATCTACTTCTAAAGTGTTTCTGCAGTAAACGCTGTTCTGGTGATTAAAAGACACTTCAATGCCATCTAATGGAGCTGAAAGTGCGGGTCGAAGAATAACGTCCTACCCTTTCATTGGTGCAGGGATCAAACCTGACATCGCATGAATTTCAAGTCATGCAGGCAAATCTTGTAGGCTGAGACGCCGCAAGAGCAAATAAAGAAGGCTGATTGGATTTGTGCCGCCTCCTTGGGACCGGCTCTAATTTAATTAGAGTTTTTCTTGTAAGAGGTTCCAACTTAATAAGCCCAATTACAGCCAGAATCTTCATCGCTTCCTGTAAGAGCCTCACTGGACACCCTCGGATTGAAAACAAAAATACATATTACTGCAAAAAAAAAATCTAGTTTTGGTCTGGAGATGCTCAGTCTGAAGGAAATACTGTGTAAAACAGTGATAAAGTGCAGGAGGACCAGTCAGACGTTGCTGCTTTCATGTTAAATTATTCTCCTGTTGCTATAATTTCAGCATATATTACACCCAGAATCACATAATTTGTTAATGCATTATAATGCTAATTTAATAAATGCAGATTAAGTGTCTAGTATTACATCAGATTATTATAAATAAGTTAGAGAGGAGGGTTCACATCCGAGTTCATGCTTACTACATACAAACGAGATCTTAAGGCTCTTGTTTGTGCGATTATATCAGATCCATCTTTTGCCTTTGGCTACCAGTGAGCGTTCCTCTCTTTGGCAACCAGCTGCAGGAAATGAGAGTGATTCGCATAGAGAGTGAAGGACGAGTCGATGTCCACCCACTGGACTTGGCCTGCGTCATCACCAGCTTGCAGCGGCAGCTCGCTCACACTGTTACCTGCAACAACACACACATCTCAGCAGTCGCGAAACAACTCGTGTCCGGATTTTTTATTATTATGCAATTGCCTATGCATGTGCGTCCACAGGCGTGTGTTTGTCTGTCTGTTAACAAAATATCTTGTGACCCACTGGATGAATTTTAATGAAATTCTCAAGAAATAATCATTGGATATACATCTACAACTGATTAACGTTTGGAGACAACCTGATTCAAGATGGCCGGCAGAGCTAATTGACATAAAAATGGTAGTTTTACAGATACTAAGCTAAATTTTGATGTAGTAGTAGCCGAGACATACAACACATACACTGATCTGCTTTTATAACTTTGTCGTATAAGGTGGCACAAATATGCATACCAGCACGGAATGCTACTGCCAAGCTTTAGAAAGAAAAGTGAACATGAGGTAAAGCAAACTGCAGGTAGAAAATACCTTCTTCATCATGAAAGTTGACAGCAACTGTCTCCATCCAAGCACTGTCAGTGTTTCTTGGATCGTCGACGTAGCCTTTAAATACCTGAAGGAGAAAAAAGGGAAATTTTACACAAGCTCAAAAGTTATCTCTTAAATTGCTTTTCCATATCATTTTTCAGGCCATTCGATTAACGTTATAAAATAAGAGGTTAAAAAGTCAGAAAAACCATGTATTTTGAAACATTTATTGGAATACACAGGCTGTGAGAGACAGTTGAAGAGATAACTTTAATGTTTTTTAAGGTTATTTTGACTGTGGCTCATTAAGAGAATGATGTAAAGATGCATATAGCATTTGATTGCTTTAAAATAAAAACACAGACAATCTGGACAATACAAAAAAAAAAATGCACGTTTGATGTCTGTATCAGCGACTGACCTGAAACCCTGGAGACTGGAAGAGTTTGGTGACGCGTTTGTGGATTTCTACTTTCTCTGCCTTTGCGACTGAAAGTGAGTTGAGAGCTTCCTCCGAGAACTCCCGCTGCAACGTGCTAGAAACCTGCTCCCCCGGATCCACCATCCCCTGCAAATCCAGCAGACAACGAATGAAAGCACAGGACCATGTGAGCGCTGTCTGGGATTTAATCACTGATTTCTGGTTAAAATCTGGTAAATCTTAGGTCTAAATAGGCCAAACTTCTTTTTGTCCTATTTTTTTCCAAGTAGATTAAATGCAGCCACAACGTGAACAAAGCAGCAGATTTGTTGGCACAGTCATGGAAATGAAAGAAGAGCAAAGTGATTAGTGAGAAACAATTTTATGTCAGAAAATGAAATAGTAGATACAATAAAAGCTAAAAAGCCACAGTGAAAGAGAACGTTTCACAAACAAGAGAAAAACAAGTTTAAATACACCCATATGTCAATAAATTATCCCAAAAAATGTAATTTATTCTGTTATTTATGTTTGCATTTCCCTTCAGTTTATAACTAACAATGTTTTCCCCCTCTTTTCCTTCTTTTGGTCATTTTAAAAAAGTATTTTAACTAAGCAATTGTACTGTAATGAGAGAGGGGAAAAAAAAGAAAAAATAGGCAAAGATGCATCACAAATACAAGAAAGCAATAACGTAAAAAATGCATAAAATTGTAACAATTTTTTTTCTTAATTTAAATATAAATTGTAAAATTACTAAACAATAAAGACAAACATAAATGTAGAGAAATAAAGAGAAAATTGATCAAATAAAATAAAATATTAAAATACCTTATTGTCACATTAATATATGATGGAGGCCTTTTATATACATTTATATTGCTACATGAATAAAGAAGTAAAAGAAACCCACCCCAGGAATGGCCCACTCCCCACAGTCCTTTCTCTTGATGGACACAAACTGCAGAATGGGCAGTTTGGACACTGAGTGATGGATCTTTGCTCCACTTCCATCTACCTTCCACCTGCCAGACAGAAAAATATGTCAACGTTCAGATGTTAATAAGAAAGCACACAAGCAAAAACTGCTTAGAGAAATTTGAAACTTGAAAAAAAGTGAGCATTACCAATATATCCCATACATTTACAGTAAAAATTACCTTGTGACGATGGGATCAGCTGCATGATTGGGTCCCCACCGTCCTAGAAGACCTCTTCCAGTCAACCCTGTGCGTCCGAGAGGATTTCTAAAGAACACAAAGTAAATCTGCAAACTTACATAACATACAGCTTTGAGAAGATAATTAATGAAGATGACAGAATTACTAAGAAAGGTGTAAATGAGCCTCAGGCACTATGTTGCAAACACAAAAACTATTCAGTAAAGATATCCTGATGCATGCTCAATAATCCAGGTAGAAAACTAAAAAAAAGTTCAATCTGGTCCTCTGGAAACTCAAAAAAACAAAACAAAAAAAAGTAGATACGTTTCGTCTCTCATCCAAGAGACTTCCTCAGTCTGAGGAGCTGTATTCAGCTCAGTCTCTTAAATAGCACCGTCTCAGGGTGGATCAACCAGTTTTGCTGCTGACAACCAAAACCAGCTGATCACATGCTCCAGAAGGACCATCAGCCTAACAATGGATCATTAGCACACTGATGGCTGTTTACTGTTCACAGAGAGCTGAGTGATACTAGCAATCACAGCATTGTAAGAGGGGGACAGTTGAACACGGAGGCCTCCACCCCTGTTTAATGATGGACGGTTTCTTTTCACAAAGATGGCCTCCTTTACTCCTCTCTCAAACCATCGTTCCTCTCTGTCCAGGATGTGAACATCTTCATCCCTGAAAGAGTGACCTCTGGCCTGGAGATGAGTGTAGACCGCAGAGTCCTGGCCTGATGATGTTGATCTTCTGTGCTGGCCCATCCTTTTGGCCAGTGGCTGTTTTGTTTCCCCGATTTAAGACTGATCACCCTCCTGACACTGAACAGCATACACAACATTACTCTGTTTGTGTCGGGGGACTGGATCTTTAGGATGAACCAGTCTTTGCCGTAATGTATTTTGGGGTTTAAAAGTCTCTGGGACATTGTGTTTAGAAAATAAACGTCTCAGTTTCTCTGATACTCCCTCAATATATGGAATGACCACTGGTCTGGGTCTGGGTTCCTCCTTTTCACCTGATGGCTGACTGGAGTCCTGTTTGGGTTTCTTCTCTGCTTTCAGGAAGGCCCAGTTAGGATATCCACATTGCTCTAGAGCCTGTCTTGTGTGGGATTTCTCCTTCTGCCTGGCTCTTGAGTTAGTGGGGACGCTGTCTGCTCTGTGGTACAGAGTCCTGATGACTCCTAACTTGTGCTCCAAAGGGTGATGGGAGTCAAACTGCAAATACTGGTCTGTGTGTGTGGGTTTGCAGTACACAGGGTCTTCAGTAAAGAGCATTGAGAGGAACAGCAAATCCTCGTTGTAAGGCTGCTTTAAAGAACAAGTGGCCACAAACTGCTCTGTTGTCCTAATGGTTTTGCACATTAATATTAAAAGACCCATTAGATGTTTACTACGACACTAATAGATAATCATTTATTATTTTAATATGCAGCTCTGTACAGTGCAAAAGCAAATTGAACAATGTCACAGACTTAAAGTGTTATTGATCAGAGGTCATAAAAAAGTGGCAAAATCAACTTTTTATTTTTGTAACTTACAGCGGCTTTCCATTTTCCACTCGATAGCTTCCCTCAAAGCTTGTCCTGTCCACAGCACCATCCACAGTGTTGAACTTTGGGGAGAAAGAGCTGCTAAAAGATAAATTTTCCCCAAAAATGTTATTATTAAACCCCTTCTCATTTTAAACAAAAGTATACAGACACTCTCAGATTTCATTGTTCAACTCCTAGTTTTATCAAAATGCACTCAGCCTGCATTAAAGCTCACCCAATATCAGGATCTGCCCAGACTGGCTTCTTCAGAACTGCAGGGTCTGTGTAGTTGACTGGATCATACTCGGCCCACTTCTGACTCCAGTCCACCTTGTCATCAGGTACAGGGAAGCGCTTGATGCTGGACCCTGGATACAGGGGGCCCCTGGACTTTACATGTGGAGCTTTTGAAGATGGCATTGTCCTGGCACTGGTCGTGTAAAGGCTGCAGTAGCTGGCACTGAAGGGTGTGAGGTTTTCACAAGTTCTGACGGAATCAGGAACTGAACAAGAGAATCCAGGCCTGAGGAAGAAAAAGAAACAGGATGGACGAGCCATTAAAACTCCACATATTTCAAATGTTTTCCTCCATGCAGCTCCGTGGCTCATTTTCCAACAGACATTATCAGCTCCATGCAGACAAATACCTATATTTTATAATACAAGTGTATGAAGCTGAAAAAAACAAAACATAAAATGTACAGCTTAACAGGGTCAGGGTCTGATTTACGTGTACATTTTTAAAGTAAATCCAAAAAAGGTTAAAGACAATAAACATTTACTTTAGAGTAAATGTTCCTTAATATCCATACCTTAATATTCCGGAGGTACAGGTGGTATATGGTAGTCCACAAAGAGTCAACGCCAAACGAATCGTCCCAGTCCAGTTTGGCCTCGAAGCTAGTACCATTACTTGAGTACTGTACTGTAATATGCTAACAACACAGGATCCAGGAAGTGCTTCGCCTTACGTGATGACGTAGGCAAAGGCGCGTCTTTACGATGGCTGCTGAACTCGTTTCCATAGTAACAAATTTTCTCCCCTGTAAAATTTGTTTTAGCTTTTAGCATTACGTCTGCACTTCAATACTATAAACATTTTTTTAAAATAAACTTTACATTAAAATCACTCAAGATCACAAACATGTTTTACGCTAAAAGATGTTAAAAGAGAACCACAGGAATAAAATAAATTTTACAGAGTAAAATGTTTAAACATTTAAACATCGTGGCAATGTACAAAACCGCTTTTCTTGTTGTAAACATGGTAAATACTTTTAGGTGAAGTATTTTAACTTTACGTTAGCTCACGTTTGTGAGCGTATATATGTCTATGTGGGACTCTGTTTACACAATTTCATTCCACCTCATGTACCTACGGTGACCATATACGATACGAATGACAATAAAGAACCTTGAATCCTATGATTGTGAGTGCCTTTCAAGTTTGTGGGAAGCATATTATAATTAGTTTAAAAAAAAAAACAGATATCAGTAAGAAGCTCCCTAGTCAAAAAATAAAATTTCCGACCTTATTAACTTATTTCATAATTACTGGGCTGCCAAATGTATTTATTTAAAAATACATTTTGCCTATCTATAATGAAAATTAATATCTTAAATGTTATTTATAAGAGAAATTGACATTTGAGATAAAAACAATTAAATAGTTTTCTGTAATAGTTTTATTTTATATATCCAAATTAAAAAAATATATATATACAAATATATCTAAGATTATATAAAACGTGGTTGTTGTTGTTGAATTTGTGTGATTATATGTTATAAGGATGTGCCCAACCCCTTGCGGTCTTCAAAATATGCAGCATGTAGAGGCGGCTCATCATGCAGCAGCATACGCCTACTTGTAGCTGCTGCAAACACGAAACCGCCCCGCCCGAACAAGCCATCCTCGTAAACATATCTAACGCTCCGATATTACCCGTAGTTTGGCACGCGCATTACGCTCACCGTTGAGAGAACAAATCCGCGCTCGCGCACGAAAAATCCACTTGGTAGTATAAAGAGACGACCGTTGTCGCTTTGCGCCACACGTTCCGCCCGCGTTAAGCAGCTTCTGTCGGCGGGTTTGAGAGCTCGGTGAGCCGCGGCGGTCCCTCGGTTCGAGCACACTCTGTCTGAGCGGAAGCGGCTCGGGGAGAAGAAATGGAGAATTCTCGCAGGAGTGCGGCGGCCGAGGCCGCGAAATCGGGCAGCGCTCAGGCCGCCGCTGCTGCCTCGGAGGGGGCTGAAGCCAAAGACGGAGCTCCGCGGGATCCCTCAGCGCCGAAACCCCACAGTCGTACGGTGGAGACGGTGAGGGGACAAGTTTTTGACGTGGGCCCTCGCTACACGAACCTATCTTACATTGGAGAGGGGGCATACGGAATGGTGTGGTGAGTACGAGCTATTTGATACAAACCGCTTGTCAAACGTCGTTAACTGTAAAAATGTAATGAAATTAGCCTTAAAGCAGCCTGTTCGTGGTTAGCAGACTAGCTGCTACAGGCGTGGCTACAACTATACAGGAAATGCTAGGAGTGATTCTGCAAGACTATCTGATCAGAAACCTGCAAGATGATGCACTTCACCTCAAATCTACTGAAATATATTTGATGTCCGGCCTCGAGCCCCTCCAGGTGAACGCATCCTGTCTGCTGCAGAGGATGCAAAGAGGGATTTGCCCCTTGTAAGGCCTTTTCCTGCTGTGATGTCCTGCTGTGTAGACCTGTGTCACAGTCAAATAATCGCTGTCCTTGTTCATCCAGATAAGCGGAGTGAATGTTAATTTTTGCCCCCACACATCCATTTCAAACAGGAAACACTGGTTAGTTTCGTATATAAGCTGTGTTTGTCTGATCTTGCTTTATCTGCTGTTTGGTGTTTTACAGGCTTGTTGAGGACTGTTGTGCTGATGTGCAACAAGTATCTTTATGTTGATCTGTAACCAGCAGTTTGTTCTTGTTAGTGTTTAAGTGAGTGAAGGACTTGTGAGAACATGCCCAGTTAAACCAGCCTGTCCTGCACTTAGACACTGTGACCAGGAGCAAAGCTGTGATGTAACGTTGCTGTTTAGAAACTTGGATAACTCTCTTTCTCTGCACAACAAAGCACTTTGATACAACTCGACACTCCGCAGCAGCGCTCCCTTTGGTTTCTGATGCGTCATTTTTGTGTGTAATCTGACAATCGTTTCTTGCTCCTCTCCTCATCAGCTCTGCCACGGACAACCTTGAGCTCAGTCGTGTGGCCATCAAGAAAATCAGCCCGTTTGAGCACCAGACGTACTGCCAGCGCACGCTGAGGGAGATCAAGATCCTGCTGCGTTTCAACCACGAGAACATCATCGGGATCAAAGACATCCTGAGGGCGCGCCACATTGAGGACATGAGAGATGTGTATCCTGTCTTGCTTAACAAGAAATGTTCACACTCGCCTTATTTTGAATTGTTTAAAAAAATTTAAGCTTTATTAAGAGCAGTTTTAACTTTTGAGGGGAGCTCAGCCGTTGCGTCTGTGCACGCAGCTGTAAGAAGCAGCTCGCCGGTCGGTGTTGGCTGAGCTGCCTAATTGTTGCTCGGCTTGGTGCGGCTCGTTCACAGTAGACGTTGTCAGTAATGTGTGGGCACAGCCAGCCTGTGAGTTGCTGTCACCGAGAGCTGCTCTGGCACTTTCTTTGTGAAACGCTGCATTGTTTTCAGAAAAATGGGAAGTATGTGAGCGCTCGTTTTATTTTGTCTCGTTAAGCTCGCCTAGTTTTATTTAAAAGCACCGTGTTGGTGAGGATTTTTTTTTTTAAATTAAGCCCAAAAAGCAAGTTAAGTCTGTGGCGTCATTTAAAAGATGAATCATTGGAGCAGGCGTCGGATGCCCTGATAGAAAATGGCACATTGAACACACGGGTGATTCCCCTTCCTGCTTGTGGATGTTTCACCTTCCGTTTAAGAGATGTGTCATCGTTTATCGGCTGGTTCGTGCGTGTCAGTAGGAAAATGAGCAGATGCAGTGAGAGATCACTTAGCAGAGAGCTGAACGTTGTTGCCTTTTATATCAGGAAGCTGGCCGCTCATGAGCAGAATGGTTTTATGTAAAAGGCAGGAATTCATAGACAGACATACAGATTGTCAGGCTTGGTTTAAAGTGAGACGACAACCTACGTTTATGTGTTTGACAGAAAGTTTACTAAAACTCCAGAGAGGTTTCTCTTAAAGTGTTACTTAAAACAATAACAGGAGTGTTTCCTTCAGTTAATTCGGTCCAGACTTCAAGCAAAACCAACGACGAGACAAAATGAATAAAATGTGAAACATTCAAACATCTCACCTGAGTTCTAATGAGGAAATAATTTGATTTCAGGATTACTGAATAAATATACTAATGTCTTGCTGGTACACCCTGGACCGGTCACGAGTCCATTTGATTTTATTTAGTAAAATGTAGTTAAACATCTGCGAGCAATGACGTGTTCGCTCTCAGTTCACTGTACCCGTCCAAACATCTGTACCGGACCGTCACCGTACAAATTGCATCCCTAATGTTATTAGGTGTAGAATTTTAAGTCTTGTTAAACATACTTTCATTTACGTTAAGCAGTTATCTTTTGTTAAATCATTTTTTTTAATGCATATTAGCCAAATATAAAAAATAAATCAGATTTATATCAACTATCAAGATCACCATTGACCAGTACAAAAAAAAAAACTAGTTTAAGTTGACTTCTAGGAAAAAATGTTTGTTGCTACTCATTGCATTAAAAAAATGGACCAAATCTAAATTATTTTAAGTTGTACAGATGATTAATGATGATTATGTGAAAAATTACCATCTTTATCATCAAAGTCCATGCTCAATAATCCAGGTATACAATCCAACATTTTTCAGTCAGGTCATCTGGACAGTTTCTTTTATTGTGCTGAAATGTTTCGCCTTCGGTCCGGAAGGCTTCATCAGTCAAGGAAACGCACAACAAAACTGATTCTTCCTCCAACAGCTTACTCCAAAGTGGAACAAACCAGTTCTGCTTGTGATAAGATGGTCTCTTTGGTACGCCCCCTCCTCCATTGCCGGCCCTCTTCCTTGTTGACAGTCTTGTCAAACTGGTTGAAAACAACAAAGTCCATACTCAATAATCCAGGTATGCAATCCAATATTTTTCAGTCAGGAGACCATCTTCTCACAAACAGAACTGGTTTGTTCCACTTTGGAGTAAGCTGTTGGGGGAAGAATCAGTTTTGTTGTGTGTTTCCTTGACTGATGAAGCCTTCCGGACCGAAGGCGAAACGTTTCAGCACAAAAAAAAAAAAGATGACATCTTTATCGTGACAGTGTCCACTTCGTTGTTTTTGCCCGAGGCTGCCGACTTCCAGAAATTGAAACGGGGAAACGCAGATCATTACGTTCTTTATATTATTTATAATGTTATTTTTTTTAAAATGCAATGACTTTAATTATTGAGCTGACTATATACAGTCCCAGTTATAAAGATTGAAATTAATTTAATATAAAATTTAGGTTAAATTTTAAATGTTGTGGAAAAGGAATTTGTAAAATTCTATATAAATAAATTGAAATGAATTGCAAATTATAAATGAATATATTTATTATGTCTAGGCAAAAAAAAAAAAAAGCATGAATGTTTTCTTTAAAATTAACGAAAAACGAAGCCATATTTAACGAAACCTTTGTCTTGCAGAAAGAAACAATGTATCAAGATGCATTTTTTTTTTAAGCCAGTGGAGAAAAATAAATATATATATTAAAATCCTGCATCCAATAATTGTACAGTTAATAAAAATGCACCACAGTACAAATTACTACAAACCTACAGTCTGATTTATGTCATAAAAATGAAACGATCATAAAATTTATATCTGTAATTTCAAAATGGATGATTTGTCAGAGCAGGACGGTCACTCAGGTTTTATTTAACTTTGTGGTATTAATTCACTCTGAGTCATGAGTTCATCCTCTGATGATCAGGAATGATCTGTATCTGTTGTTCCTGTGTTCATTTTGTTTAACTGCTCGTTTCTGCGGTCATTTCTTTAGGTTGGCTGGTGCACGATTGGAGGAACAAAATCGTTGCCAAATATTGTTAACGTAACAACCAGCCTCCGTCTTCTCTTAAAGAAATGAAGACGGATGTTGCCGTAATAACAAAACGTATAATTTAATATTTTAATCAAATTCTTTAGTGTTTATACGGAAGCTGTCAGTCTTTTTGTCGTCTGCCTTGACTCGTGCACCTCCCCAGCTACATCGTGCAGACTCTGATGGAGACGGACCTCTACAAGCTGCTGAAGACCCAGAAGCTGAGCAATGACCACATCTGCTACTTCCTCTATCAGATCCTAAGAGGACTCAAGTACATCCACTCGGCCAACGTGCTGCACCGCGACCTCAAGCCCTCCAACCTGCTCATCAACACCACCTGCGACCTCAAGGTAAGGCCTCTACGTTTGTCCTCATCGTTAACATTTACTACCATGATTTGAAAAATTTAATGTTAAAAATTATTCAAACGCATTGAGATTTAAATAAAGTAAACAAAATAATGAACAATCTACATTTTTAATTAAGTTTTCTTGTATGTACTTCTAAAAAAGTAATAATTTTTCTTTGAACCTTTTGGAATTGACAGTTTTTTCTCTGCCTGCTGCTGTAGCACCAGGAAATCCCTTTGTATAATGATGTCAGTGTAGCATGGGATTGTGCTTTTTTTTTTTTTATTTTTTTTTTTTTTATAAAAGGGTTGATTTAGACCAAAAAAATAAAAGTTTAAAACTGGCACTAGTAAACAGAACTAGCTTGTAGCCAGTCCAGGTGATATGTCTATGTATCATTTTGAATCTTCTGAGATGGAAATTTTAAAAATGTAAACAAATTTCTCATTGTAACTCAGTTTGCCAGCACAGGTCACATTTTGTTGAAGTTTACAACAAATGTGGAGGAAACAATAACTGTTTGTCTCTGTCAAGAAAAGCAACTTGTTTGCTGTACAGCTCTGCCTGTATAGAACAAATAAATGTGTGTTGGGTGACGCATGGTGAAATTGTTGGCTTGTAGTGAGAAGTTGCCAGATTGAATCCCAGCAGGGGCCTTTCTGGTGGAGTTTGCATGTTCTCTCTGTGCATGCGTGGGTTTTCTCCGGGTACTCCGGTTTCTTCCCACAGACCAAAAACATGCATGTGAGGCTGATTGGTAACGCTAAATCAGGGGTGCCCACACTTTCAGCATGCGAGCTACTTTTAAAACGACCAAGTCAAAGTGATCTACCTACTATAAGGTCCTGTTTACATGAGAACAACTTCTGGAAACGTTGGTGGTTTTTTTTTCAATGTTTTACTGGGAGTAATAAACAAAATGAGTGAGTTTACATGAAAATGCTGTAGTTCCCATGTCATTTGGGTTGCCAGATAAGAAATTATGAGCTTTAACACTGTGGCTTTGAAATGGTAATATATTGACCTAAACTGCCTATGTGATGAGTAAAGATATTGTAAGATGAGGTGTGTGTTTGTTGAACATGTTCACAGAAAAGGGGGGGGGGGGGGGGGAATAAGACATTTTAGATTTATCTGGCAACCTTGATGCAGGGCTGCATGATCACAGTCGCGTCCAAACTGGTGAACACACTAACGTCTCTTTGGAGCCTGGATTTTATTAGTTTTGCTCCTACGTGCTGAAAAAGGGGGAGTAGCACAAAAAACACTCAGCTCTCTGCCATTTATTATAACTGTTGTTCGTGCAGAAAAACTTTTGATCGCAGCCGCCTGTAGTGTGCATGTGCCACTTCACAATCGTGACCATTTCACACCACCTTGGGGGGGTTCCACCAAAAATTTCCACTCTGGGACCTGGATTCAGAAACCTTGAGTTTTTTGGAGAGAATGAGGGCTGTTGTCCGTAACCTGTCCCAAGGTGTGAGAAGGAACAGTTGTTTGTCTCGTTTGTCTCTCTGTGTCCCTGTGATGGACTAGATGTCCTGTCCCTCGCACAGTGATGGCTGGATAAGGGCACCAGTGAACTCCCCCCTCCAAATCTGGCAATCTGGAAAGGAACAAGCGAGTAAAGATAATAGAGTGGCTTGAAGTTTTGTTGAGAAGAAACTTTATCTTTTTAAGCCTTTCTGTGCAGTCTTTTATGAAGTAAATTGGCTGTAATGTATTTAAACTTTGACCCATTAAGCTTTCTGCTGTACAGCTCCAGTCAGACAAAGCTACAAACCACTTTTTAAGATAAAGTCCAGCCTGCTTTGTGTTCGCCTCAGCAGTGTGTCAGCTGTCATCCAAACCTTTTTAAAAAGAGAAAACGCTCCGTTTAGTTCCTGTAATGAGTCTAGCTGCAGGATATTAGTGATTGATACTTGTGGAAAAATAATTTGCGTCAGTCAAAACAAAAGTGCGTTAAAGCTGGTATAACTTGTTTTAAGTCAGCAGTAGTTAGATATTTATAAGCTCTTAGTCAGATTCTGTTTTTTTTTTTTTTTTTTTTTACAATTTGTAGTTTCGAGCGTAGTAAAAACCTGCCATTTCCTCTTTCCTGTTCCACAACACTGGAGTCTGAAAGTATTTCTATTTTAGCTAAATGCTGTTCATATAGTTTATTCCCACTTCTCCTTTTTAAGTAAACAACCAATAAGCACAATATGTTAAATTGTGCTGAGTATTCAAATACAGGTGAAGAGTTGCACAGCAAACACAAGGCCGCTCAAGACTGAAAGTACCGTTTCAGGTTATTAAAGAAAATGTGTTGCAAAGGTTGCGGTATTATTTTGAAAGCTGATCAGCCAACGGCGTCAAGGCTGGTCATTATTGGAGTACTGTAATCCAAAGCTGTACTTTACTGTGGAGGAACATCTCAAACCATCAGGTGCTGTGGTGTACGACTGACGGCAAGCAGCCATCAATCCCTGGATTAGCTGATCTCATGTGAGCCGTGGCACGTGTGGCCGAGGCTTTCTGATGCATTTCTACTCCAGGAGAGAGGAAAAAAAAACTAAACTACAACATTATTGGTGCTTCACAGTGCAATGTCTTTGTTTCACTCATTAAAATGAAATGCTTACTGATTTTAATTGATACATATAATATAAATGGTCAGGGGTTCACGAGTCTCTGCAACTTTGATTTTGTGTTTGGAAACCAAAGTTTTAGTGTACAGCTCTTCTAGGTTTAGTTTGAAGAGGATGAAGTTTTTTTATTTTAGACTCGCTGTCTCTTCCTCAGATCTGTGACTTTGGCCTGGCACGGATAGCCGATCCCGAACACGACCACACTGGTTTCTTGACAGAGTATGTGGCCACTCGTTGGTACAGAGCTCCAGAGATCATGCTCAACTCGAAGGTACTGGTGGAACTAGCTGATGGGAGGCGTGTTTTTGGACAGACTTGTTACACAGTTTGACTGTATGTGTTTATGTCTCAGGGCTATTCAAAGTCCATTGACATTTGGTCAGTGGGCTGCATCCTGGCTGAGATGTTGTCCAACAAGCCAATCTTTCCTGGGAAGCACTACTTGGACCAGCTCAACCACATACTGGGTAAGAGCCAGTAGTTCTCTTTTAGTCAAGATGTAACAACATTGAGTTGGAGGGTGTAACTCCTCCATGTCTGCAGGCGTTCTTGGCTCACCATCCCAAGAAGATCTAAACTGCATCATTAACACAAAGGCAAGGAACTATCTGCAGTCCCTCGCAGAAAGACCCAGGGTTCCCTGGGATAAGCTCTACCCAAGGGCAGACCGGCAAGGTACATATAACAAATCATAGGATCTTCTTTTTTAAGGAATTCAAAGAAATGGAATAGGTTTATAAATATTGCTGTCAGGGTGGGTGGGGAAAATGTGTTTGGGAAAAGACTCATTTTAATAAGATCTTATCCTAAATTTTGATCTGGAGATGCCAAAAAAAAAACAAGCGGCTTTGACGTTCCAATAATATTTGTGATTTTCTTTAAGAGTTTAGTATCCCTAAAACTATTACTGTATTGTGCTGTCCAGGATCCCGGTATGACAGCAACATTAACAAGTTGTAGCTAAAAATTAAAATACATTTTCTATGAATGTACAATCAGCGCTGAGCGGTGAATGAATTTGTTGAAAATTTCTAAAGAAGCTGAAACTGTGTTTTTTAAAGCTAAAAGAAGCAAAATGGTAGCTAAAAGAAGCAGAATCCTAGCTAAAAGTGAAAAGAAGCGAAGGGCTAGCTACGCTACAAGCTTTAAAGAAACAAAGTGCTAGCTACGAGCCGAAAGAAGCAAAGTGCTAGCTACGAGCCGAAATAAGCAAAGTGCTAGCTACGAGCCGAAAGAAGCAAAGTGCTAGCTACGAGCCGAAAGAAGTAAAATGCTAGCTACATGCCAATGGAAGCGTAAACTTGGTTCTGTTGACAGGGCGGGGCGCCCTCCTTGGATAATAAGAGAAACGCTGCGTTTTGATATATGAATAGTTCAAATAGCACAAAATATGCAGAACTAGTAAACTATAAAATAATAAAACAAAACAAACCTGTAAATCAATAATGTGAATGCTGACTACATTCAATAATAACTATTTAAAACTGTCTGAAAACCTGTCAACTTACTGAAGCTTAAACCTTTTAATTACTGCAGCCCTGGATCTGTTGGACCGCATGTTGACCTTTAATCCCAACAAACGCATCACTGTTGAAGAAGCCTTGGCTCATCGTTACCTGGAGCAGTACTACGATCCTTCAGATGAGGTAACAACACGTTTTACTTCTTCCTGTTATGCTTCTGGACTTAACTCGACTGAACTGTGGTGTACTGTAGAATTTATTTGAACAGTGGGAGAAACGCCCACGTCTTTTTAAAAAGGTGTGCAAATGTTGTACGCAAAATGGCTTCTTTAAGAATTTGTTTTCTGCCCAGGCTCAAGATTTAATCATAAGCCATTCTTTGTTTGTGGAAGCCTCTTAGCAGTGCAGTTGGCATGAAGTTTGATCAGTGAATCCACTTGTGAAAGAATGTGACTTTTAATGGCATCTCAACACTTTAAACCAGTGGTCTTCAATCCTGGTCCACTAGGGCCACTACCCTGCATGTTTTAGATGCTTTCCTGCTCTGCAGCAAGCCTTCCAAGTTCTGCAGAAGCCTTTTAATTACTCATTTGTTCAAACCAGGTGTGTTGAAGCAGAGAAACTTCTAAAACATGCAGGATTGTGGCCCTCAAATACGTGTTTTTAGATACTTCTTAAGAGTCACAACATATATTTGAATGGCAAGCGTACCCCTCGCATACTTAAATAAACATTTCAGGGCTTTAAAAGAGGCTTTCTGTGTAACAATGTATGAACAATATCTTACCTGCTGTAGATAGCTCTTTGAATGGCATCATTGTGGAGAAATAGTTTAATTCTGACCAGATTAACAAGCTAACTATTTTAGGAGGGGCCAAGACAAAACTGGACTGATGCCATCTTGAAACGACTCCAATCTAAAAATAATTAAAATGGTTCTCACAAAGACTATTTTATGAAATCTTTAAATTATTTTAAAAAGTCATAGCTCTTTAGCAGCTGTTGATAATTTTTATTTGTTTGTTTGTTTGTTTGTTTTTAGCCTGTGGCAGAGGAGCCCTTTACGTTCTCCATGGAACTTGATGATCTTCCAAAAGACAAGCTGAAGGAAATGATCTTCAAGGAAACGGCTAAATTCCAGGAGGTCGTATTGATACCTGTGAGACGCTGGTACGTAAGAAATACACAGTCGGCACAACACCATTGTTACAGGCAGGTTACAAACTCAAAAGTGTATTTTAGATGATCATGCTAGGAAAAATATTTTTACAAAAGATCATTTTATGCAAGTGATTTATTCAGGGATGGCTGGAATGGACCGGCGGGGCTAAATCCTTCCTAATATTTACAATAAAGATTTTAAAACGTGTTAAAACTTGTCGTTTTACTTTTTGCTGAAGTCTAAAGCAGCATCGTCCCCAAATACAAGAAAAACACAATTCCTCTAAACGGGCAAATCGGTTTTTACAGCCCAAATTGAGAAGCACAAGTTTTAAGTGATTGACAGCTGTTTGGCCACACCCCCTTGATCTGCTGCTTATTTGGTCTGATGGTGTCCAGCCTACAGACCAAACCTTCAGCCAGTGAGAATAAACAAAGTGACATGTGCATACTTCACACATAGTGGCGAGCATTAGCTTGAATACGGTGGATTATTTCAGGATTCCCAATGATTTGAAAAATCTGGGAAGATTCAGGAAATTTGAATGTTATGATTCAAATATGACCTTTCTGAGAGTTTGACATGTACATTAAGGCTGGTTTTCTAGCGTCATGGAGTCCATGTTCAAGGATTCAAGGTTCTTAATTGTCATTCACATCACATGTGGTACATGAGGTGGAACCAAACTGTGCACAGGGTCCCAGTTACATCCAACAAAAATACAAATTGTAAAGAAAAACGGTAATAAGATTTAAAATATGAACTAAGAAATACGCTAAACTAAGAATACACTAAGCACTAATAGAACAAAACAACGCGCCAAACAGCAGCAGCACGAACATGAGTCTGTGTGAGCAGGTGAGTACAAATGAACACAGCAAGATGAAATAAATCGGCAGCATGAGATCAGCATCATGGATATTCAGCAGCACATATCAACAACCAAGTGACATTTTCACTGTGATTTTTTTCACAGTGATAATCCTGAGTAGGGAGTCTTGAGTCTAACAGCTTCAGGGTAGAAGCTGTTCCTCAGCCAAATGGTTCTGCGCTTAATGCTCCTCAACCTTCTGCCTGAGGGGAGCGGGGCAAAAAGTGTGTGTGCTGGATGAGTGGGGTCCTTCATGATGCAGGTGGCCTCATGATCGTTCTGCTTGTACAGTGTGCATGTATTACTGATTGGCTATAATTCTTTTTAGTATCTGATGGTATTCAATATAATTAATTATTAGGAATTGGTTAAGTAAAATATTTATTTCCATATGCACATCCGGTTGGCTACAGTATACTAGTTCTGAGTGTTTCGTGTGTCTGAAATATCTCCTCAAATTTCAAGATGTACTCGAGGGAAAATCAGGAAAAACTCAGGGAATTTTGTTCTTATGAAATGCTGGAACCCTGTATTTCCTTTCTCATTTGTTTTTTTATCATCTCTTTGAAAGTAAAGAAGCTGGGAACACAATAACCAAACAAAATGTAAATGGAAAAACTGAATATTGTTGCTTTTGTCTTATTTGATTTCAACTAAAGAACGGTCTAACGGTTTTCCCATCCAGCAATCTGCTAAGAAAACACTGATCTAATGATGTGCAGCGAAGTTTGTGGGGTAAATGCACCGTAGCTGTAGAGGAAACGGAGTTCAGATTTATTTTTTTTGAAACGCTGAAAAGAGTCAAAACAACCTGGTCAGCAGAGTCCGAGAGGTTTTCAGTCCACTGCAGAGGATCAAGCTGTCCCTCAGGCAGACTGAATGGACAGGTTGTCTACTTGAGCAGGATTTTATCCAGAATACATTGAAATGGGATTAACCTTTTCTTCTTCCTTTCTGATTTCCAGAAAAGTCGTTGGTGTGAGCTTCTCTTTAAATAAGGTATTTACGTCTTGATCGTGTCTCATGCTCCTGTGTTGTTCATCTAACCTAGCTTTTATTGTTTGTGTCGAGGCGTTTGTTGCAATGTGCTTCAAAGGAGCTGTAATAAAACCACTGCAGAGCTGAACATTGTCTGACTTTGTACGTCTTAGATATGGTGTAAAATTTTTGATTTATTTTGTTATAAATGTTTGCCCTCCAACCTAATTTCACTACCACTGTTAACTATATCATATAGTAAACTGAAGAAAGTGTGGAAATGTTATGTATTTGTATCAACTTTTACACAAAACTAAGACTTGCATTTTTATTGTAAACTAAAAGGCAGTTTTTAAATATGCAAAATTTATCGTTTTCTTTTTGGTCCTCATTGTTTTTATCTGCAGCGTCAAAAATTGACTTAAACTGGCTATGACGTCAAATTGTTGTAATGGTTATGAATGCATTTTTGGAAAGATAATATAATATTAATATGCTGGTGAAGATTCTCAGTCATCCAGGTCATGTAAAAAAAAAAAAAGTTAAACAAAAACAACTGGACTTCTATTCAGAGCAAATGCAAAACAGGACAGTAACAGGAAGTGATGACGAGAGGAGGCCTGCATGTGAACAGAGCATTGAATGGCCAACAGAAGAGAATTTGATGATTCTTTAGATCAGGGCTATTCAACTAAATTGTTCAGGGAGCCACAGTTACTGAAAGCCAAGAGCTCCGGGGCTGAACATTCAGCAGTTATTGTCATTAAGTAAGGTTGTTTTACCATTTAAGACCTAGTTTTATTTAAAAACCAACCCATTGGTGGGCCGAACTGAGCTCACCTGTGGGCCTGATTTGGCCCCCGGACCGCCAGTTGAATAGCACGGTTTTAAATTATTTTAAGTCCCTATCAGAGGGAGACAAAGAAGAGTTCAACGTTAAACAAGAAAATTTCCCTATTTAAAGAGTTTCCCTTTGATGTCACTTCCTGTTTCACTTTAGCCTGTCCAGTTAAAAATATGCCAGTTATGCAACAAAATGGTGAAAGTGATATTATGCAACATTTTGATGTTTTCGCACTTTAAGTGCTGTTAAAGTTGGACAAATGATAAACTACTGAGCTGGAGCAAAGACTGTTTACAGCTTTTCTCTCCTGAATTTCTCCTAATGGTTTTAAACTCGTAATAATACAAACTATTTTTGCAACATTGCAAAAAAATAATAAAGATCCAGATGCTCTTCTTCTTCAAAAAAAATTCCTATGAGGTTTTAACAAACAAAAAATACTTTTGAGTTTAATAGCTTTATGTTTGTTTTAATATGAGAGTTGGTAAAAGGAAACCACAGTTCCCGTGTTGGATAAATAGTTTTAAACTGCTACGGAGTTTTACTACACACTACAATTAAACGAGTAAAAAAAGATTTAAACTGTAGTTTTGATTTTAAGTACAGGATAAGAAAACGTTGCTTTAAAACAGTAGCTCATACGACGTCTTTCTTTTACTAATTATTTATCTTTTCTTTAGGCTTAAGCACTGAAACTGCACAAAGGCTTGAAACAAGAAGACCCCGAACGACACGCTTCAACAAAAGAAAACTGCATCTTCAAGAAACCACAATGTCAAAACAGGAAATATGAACATTTAACAGCTTTTCTTTGCATTCCTGCTGCAAGAGCTAAGTATACATTTGATTATTTTGTGGCTGAGTGTGGCTGTGAAGTCCGTTTTGTCCTTGTTGGACTGGATTAACTTCACTTTCCTTGTTTTTCTTTAAGCTTTGTTCAGTTGGCCTCTTCATCTCTTAAACTCGTCTTTCCTCTCCTCATCGAACCCCTTCTGTTCTGTCGCCGAAGCGTTTGAGCTCTGTTCAAACTACTGTATTAACCAACTCCATAACTCTTATTCCACGTGAATTACTACTCACTTTCTTCTCGTTTAAAAGAATCGAGGGCTAAAAGAGCAGGGATGCTAACAGGGTGTGTGCATGTAAATACAAAATGTAAAAGCTTTTTTTATTGTGATTGTAAAAGTTTTTGTCCGTAAAAGTGGTTTGAGTTGAGTCGAGTTCATTTTTTTTTTTTTTTTGAGCATTTGATTTTCAAACATTCAATGGTTTTAGTGGCATGTTGGCAGGATTTCTTACTGTTGCTCCTTTTTAGTTTTTCAGGACAAAAAAAAAAAGTTATGTTTATATAAAGCATGCATTCCTTAAAATTTTACCAAAGTGGCAGAGTGATGGAAGGGCCTTGGCTGGGGGAGACGTAGGAGATGCTTTTAAAAATCCACCTTAAACATGGTTCTTGTTTTTAGAGCAAACGCTGGAGACTCGTTTAACTTTGAGCACGTTGAATAAACAGAGGCTTTATTGAAAATTTGACCCTAAAAGTCCCATTTCTGTGAACCTTTTTTTGGCGTTTTGTGCAATTTCCTATAAAAAATTAGAAAAATAATTTTCCAGCTGCACCCAAATTATCAGCAAGAAGCAAAGAGCACACAATTATCTCAGAAGCTCCTGTGATTCCGAATGTTTGAAGTAATCTTCTGTACTTTTAGATCCTGATGACGGGTCCGTTAGTAAACTTTGAACTTCTGAGTCCTCGAATACACCTAAAACAAGTCTTGAAACAAAGTGCAAGTTATTCTGGGTGATTTTTTTTCCAGCTTATGAAGTGTTAGAGAAACAAATGCATCCCTCTGACTCATTCGTGCACGATAACCTTGGAGACGTTAATTTAAAAGGAATTCAGTTGTTGTTGCCTGTAGGGATTTTCATGCTGACACACGCCAAGATGTCTGCTCCAGGAGTTATGACAGCCGCCCTGGAAAGCCTCTGTTTTATTTCACCTGCTCGGAGCTCAGTCCAGTTGTATAATCCGTACACGTTGGCTCCTTTCTCTCTGCGTCGTCGTGGTTACCTGTTAAGCAAACAGGGCTGTTTGTTGACCGTGGGTGATGTGGCGCTACAGCTGTGCTCGTTCCTCGTGTGTCTATTATCTCATCAGTCATTAGTCGTCCCTTTTTCTTTTCTTGTTTTGGGTCAGGCTCTACTAAACGCTGTTTGGTGGAGCACCGCTCAAAGGTTCACTTCAGTTTATTATTTTCCTGCTTGGTCAGCGGCGAGGTGAACGGCAGCGGATCACCGTCTCGCAGCGACGCCTGTAGCTGCCGTTCTTTAGCCATAGCCTGCACCGTGGGATTGATGCGAGGCTTTTTGGTGCATGTGCGGTCGTCGTCGTTCGTGCTTCTTGTTCAACCTCTCACCACGCTTTACTGAAAGGGCTGCCTCCTCCTCCGTTTTTGTGCACCCACCTCGCTTTAAAATTGCTTCACTGACTTTGCCGCCACGCTAAGAAAACCCTTTTTCTCTCGGCGCACGTTGGATCATGAACAGGAATCCCATGACTCAATCAGCACGTCTGCACTTTGTCTTTGAAGCCATGCGCCCTGCTCCCCTTCTTTGTCTTGAAATCGTTCCTCCATGTCTTTATATCCTGCTTGTACAGCTTTAAGTTCGTCTGTGTAAGACTGTATCATCCCCATAAAGCCAAGACTGTTCTTCTGTGTTTGCTTTTGCAAGTGCGTGTTGTTTTGTCGCTTTTGTGCTGACACGGCGACACAAGATAGATTCTGGACCTTTCATACGCAGCCACTTGACCTCTTAGTTGCGTTTTTTTTTTTGCTTTCTGTTATCTGCCACCAGACAAACTGGGTAAACCAAAAGAACGTCATTCTGCAAATCTTCCTCACACTCTCGCACACCCTCCGTGTCTTACAGAGGAGTGTGTTGGGGTGTTTGTGACAAGTTGCACTTAAACACCCACGTCTACATTCACACCGAATAAACGAGTCTGACGCCCTGGGTCCAGATTTGTTTTTAAATGGCTGTTCTTATTATTGCTATTGTCGTTATATTGGTGAAATGTTGTATTTTTTTATGTAAAAGGGAGTTTAAAATCTTTTTTTTTTTTTAGTATGTTTTTATTAGATTTTTCTTCTCTTACGAGCATTGTTGGTGTCGGCAGTGTTTTCAATTTTTTTTTCTGACACTTGAATTTTGTTTTCATTTTCCCCTACAAAGTCTTAAAAAGGTTGTTTTTAAAAATGATTTACTGGGATTGTCTAAGATATACGTTCTCTGAAGGTTAAAGTCTGTATATTCTATAGGTATTATGAATTAAACGATTAAAACAGAATTCTATACATGTCAAATTAAATAAAACTTCCTCATACGGTAAAATGTGTTTTTGGTGTTAATTTTTTGTACTGTTTTTGTTTGTTCACACAAAAGTCTTGGGATGTTTTTAAGGTTTGTCTACATCTTGAAAGTCTAAATGAATGGAAGGAAGCCTAAAGATAAACTTGTCCAGAGTTGGATTATATTAAACGGTTAGACATGGCAGGTCATCTTCATTTTAATCCAGGAAAAGTTCAATTAAAGCTAATTAGGGCTGTCATGATAACAAATTTTGCTGGGCGATTAATTGTCTCAGAAATTATTGCGATAAACTATAATATTGTTTGAAATTTAACAATAATGAATTATCAAATTTTAGAAGAAATGTTTTTGTTTGGAGTGTAGTACCTTTTTTGACCACCTGATGGTAGTATAAGACTGTTTGAACCAAAGGATGGATACAACAAAGTCCATGCTCAATAATCCAGGTATACAATCCAACATTTTTCAGTCGTGTCATCTGGACAGTTTCTGGATTGTGTTCCTGGATTATTGAGCATGGACTTTGTTGTTTTCAACCAGTTTGACATGACTGTCAACAAGGAAGAGGGCCGGCAATGGAGGAGGGGGCGTACCAAAAAAAACATCTTGGCACCAACAAAACTGGTTTGTTCCACTTTAGAGTAAGCTGTTGGAGGAAGCATCAGTTTTGTGTGTTTCCTTGACTGATGAAGCCTTCTGGATCGAAGGCGAAACGTTTCAGCACAAAAAAAGAAACCGTCCGGATGACCTGACTGCAAAATATTGCAAAGGATGGATAGTTGAGCAGCGCGTCTAAGAAAAATGGGAGGGAGGGCCCTTGACATGACATGGGCTGACATGGTGACATGGCGGATGCTGGTGATTTGAGCTCTTTAGCATAGCATTTTTCACACAAAGCTTTTAATAAAAAATGGGTAAACAAGTTTTCAGCTTCTTTTTGCAGAGCAAAACAACTTTTTACTCAAAGGCACGGGTTTCAACCGTGAATTTTGGAGCTTGACAAGATGGAGGTTAATTCTTGAGGTCAGCTTGTTAGCTTAGCTCATAGCTTGGCTTCTCAGCTGAGCTGCTTTTAACGATCCAAAAATGTGATTTTTGAATTATTAAAACAGATTTTAAAGCGAGAGGGAGGGGTCAGTGAAGAGCGCCGGAGTTGAGCCTTTTGTCAACCAGTGTCTTCAGTAGAACGAGAGACACGAAGAAACATTAAAGCCAATAAATGAAAATGAGGTTGATAATTTTCATTTATCATGCAATCAATTGATTAATTGGTTTATTGTGACAGGACTAGAGCTAATAATAATATAATAGTTAATAATAACCGCCTGAATAATTTTCCTTTTTTGTTGTAGATTTTGTCTTACACAGAATAATTAATTCAAAATGACATTTTTTTACATAGCTGGGAATCAGGGTTTTCTAAAAATCAAAGAAGTCATTCATCTATTTTTCACCTCATTTGTTGTCAGATCAGGGAGGAAGGAGGTCCAGAAAGAAAACCCAGATGTCCTACTCCCCAGTGAGGATCCTGAGGGGTTTCCCAGACCAGGAGTTTATAATAAAGTATTTTTGAATTGAATATACCGTTCTCCCTCCTGAGAGTTCTGGGTGTTTTCTATAGAGGGTGCAATGTGACAAAATTAAATAAATGCATTCAGGGGTCTCCTCAGTGGAACCCCCTCCAGAGAGGGAGGCCTCCATGGGGAGGAGCAGCAGCTCTCTGAGCTTTTCATCATATCTTTGAACCTGCCCTCGCTACAGAGGAAGCTCATTTCAGCTGCTTGAGTCTGAGATTTTGTTCTTTGCCATGATTTGAGGTGAGGACTGGAATGTAGGCAAACCAGTAGATCTAGAACTTTGTGTTCTGGATCAGACCGGAGCAACACTGTCATTACTCCAGACCTGATCAGTTCATTTATGTCTTGCTTCATTCTGTCATCACTTGTGATCAGGACACCAAGAAACTTGACCTTGAAGTTGGACGTCATCTGCAAAAGGCAGAGAACCTGAGTCGAGAGGAATCAGTTTACTGTATTTAAATGGTAAATTCTGTACTTGTATAGCACCTTCCTATCTTATCAAGATACCCAAAGTACTTTATAGTCTGTGCCTTCCTTTACCCAGTCATACAGCGCTTTTATCACATTCATACACTGATGGGACACACATCGGAGGCAAAGAGGGGTCAGTGTCTTGCAGACTGATAAAATTGAACCCCCAACTCTCCCAGTGGAGGGCGACTGCTCTAACCACTCAGCCACAGCCGCCCATTTATGTGCTAAGGCATTTAAACTTCACAAATCAGTCCGAACCTTCGCCGTTCACCTTCAGAAGTGAATTTTGAGCCACGCAAATACACATTTCCAAAGTCGACGTGTCTCAGCATGGCTGGATCCCCCTCAGAGCTTCCTAGTGCAGAACAACTCTGTGGGGAACCTACATTTAAAAACGTATCCTAACAGAGACTACAGCAGGAACTCTGAAACGGGCTGTATGCGAGTCCGACCCGTGAAGTCTCTTTCATGTGTGTTGATGGTCCAAAGCCGAACGAGACAATGCTGGGGGCGTCAGATGAATAGACTCCTCTGTTCTGGTGTTAACCAGGGCCGCTGCGGCATTTCAGAGCACCGTCTAGTTGTCACAGCGTTGCTGCATTCCAGCTGAACAATGAGCTGCGCTCTGCTGACTTTGACTTTTCGTTGTAGACGCATCACTGCCGTCATGTTGTCTGAGCTTTGAGGAATTTTCTCTAAACTCAAAAAAAAAAAAAAAAATCTGCTCGCACAACCTGCAGAGGGGACTAAGAGGTGTTCGATATGGGCTTCCTGCAGTGGAGCAGGGTGGAAAGAACACGTGTAAAAGTGCAACCATGCCTGCCTCAGGTATGCACAGCAGGTTGAGGAGAGGGAGAGGCCGGACCGAGTGCAGAACGAGTTATGAGCTGGTGCTTCATTAACCTGGGTTTACAGCTCTGATTTCTGCTGTCTACCTGGAATCAGGAGGAGCGACAGTAATATGTGAGAGAAGGCTGGACACATTTCTTGGCTCATAACCAGTTGGTCCTGTTCTTTTTTTTTTTCTTAAGGACTACATTTGTACTGATACAGTTTAGTCACCCTCAGACGGGCTTTCAGATCTGGTTAATTGCTTGGCTTGATTGGCTCGTCACCTCGGTGAGAACTTCCAGAGACACATTTTGCAGGAAAGGATGAGCAGCTTTCTGTATTTTGCCCTCCCGGTGTTGGGAGGATACACTCTCTCCTCGCTGTACCTGCTGAAGAACCCGCACATTCTCCACAGGAAGAAACGCACAGCTTTCTACTGCACTCACATCTCGCACAGAGGAGGTAAGAGGGGCGTCTGCCAGTGGGAAGAATTCCTGATCCAGTTTGTGGGATGTGAAACTTCCAGTCAGCAGCATGTTGAGACATCGTGGAGTCTGAGGGAGGAAGAATCCAGACATAGCAGATCTAATAACGTTCATCAGGCCGTGACGGTTTGCTACGACGAGCGATTAGTGCACAGATCTCTCATGACTTAATGTTTCATATTATAAAAATGGCAGCAGTTAGTTGAGTTCTGAATGCAAACATGTTGACCTCCAGATGTCAAGTGTATGATCGTATCAGAAACTTGGTAGGGCATTTTGAATAATTTGACATTTATGGCTTTGCTGACATGTTTGGTCATTTTTTTTAAAGCAACATTTGTGCAGCTTTCACTGTGTGTTCTGTTCATCAGCTCTCCCCTGCAGCCATCCTCGAAGCTGACTCTTCTCTTTGTTTCCAGGATCCGGAGAGAGGATAGAAAGCACCATGGAGGCATTCACACAGTGAGTGCTTCACTCATGAGGCAAGCTGCTGTAAAATATATAAATAAGATATTGCTCTCAGTTAAAATGGGAAAACTAACACGTTGGAGCAAACTATGAGTTTATTTTAAGTTCATAAATATCACTAACCATCCTTCGAGCAACATACACAGTACCAGTAACTAGAACTGGTCTATAAGCTCTGGAGCCGATTGTGCTGAGTGATAATCTGCCCTAAAGTGTTTCAAGGCCCCTCGAAAAGTAAAAAAAAAAATACAGTACTTCCTGCCTGTGCCTCAGACAAGTCTGGGCAATCTGACAGAATCTTATAAAGGTACAAAAAGTACAAAGGTACAAAGTTCTTTGTTTGCCATTTGTACACAGACCAATAATCCAGGCACGCTGGAATGGAGCAGTGAAAACACTGAGACAACACTAAATAAATAGAATAAAAAGAATAAAGTAGTTTATATCTACACTGTACAGAAAGTAGGTACCGTATATTCCGCCGTAAACGTCGCACCACCCTATAAGTCGCATCAGTCCAAATATGTCTAATAAAGTGGAAAAATCCATAAATGCGTCGCTTCGCCTTATACGTCGCATCTATTGCACGTCACCGCTGACAACCTGGAAATGTGGGCCGGTGTTGTGCCAAAAATCAATTGGCTGCCGAAGGGCAGCCGTGGAAGCGTGCACGGGAGGACTTTTAACAAGGATTTAACAAGATTAACGCTTAAAAACTATTATTTGTTTGCTCGACATTATAGCAAAAGTGTGTCTCTGTTTAACTTTTGCTTAATAAATGCACTTTGACGGTCAACTCAGCTGCATTTTCAAAAGCTGATTCACAGAAACGTAAACGTGCAGAGGGCGACTCGTGCATTTCTTTGAAATTTAACAAGATAACCACGTAAAAACAATTGTTTGCTCGAAATGATATCAAAGGTGTGTTTCTGTTGAACTTTTATTTAATTAATGCTCTTCATTGGTCAAATTGGCTGCATTTTACCAGGGTGGTGCAGCAAAATGAAGCTGATTTGACTGTTATTCCTAATTTGGCAAGCCGATTGTGTCATTAATAGCCATTTTTACTTATTACATGACACAACGGCATGCCATACACTCGAATGCCATCTAGCCCTGAGAATGGTAGTGTTCAATTTTTTCAGTCAGAATGAATGAAAACAGTCGTATCTCAGCCAAAAGTTGGTTTATAAATATGGGAAAAAAATCCATAAACGCGTCGCTTTGGCGTATAAGTTACAGGGCATGCAAATTATGCAAAAATACATGACTTATAGGCTGAAAAATACGGTAATATCTACACCTTCTGTTGTCATTTTATTTTAAGTTTTTCATTTCACCTTTATTAAACCAGGCATAAAAACTAAGACCAAATTCTTATTGACAGTGCTGGCCTGGCAGCACCAACAGGTAATTGTAGGGTCAAGGGAAGGGAAACAATACAGTCGGGTAAAACTATAAAATGTAGAAGTCAATGACAAACAAGGAAATCACAAATTACATTAACAGTTCATTGTCAAAGTTAATGGCCACATTACTAAGCATCAAAACATTTGCAAGTATCTTTTAAAACTGCTTTAAAACATTTTTTTTTTAACTAGAAACTGAGACAAGTGAGGTCAGACCCAAAGTTTTTGGAAGCAGATTCCAGTCAGATGGAGCAACATAGCCAAAGCAAGACATGGTCTTTAGAGTTGTTAACCACAAATACTGAAAGGATCGGGTGTTATACTTTGAAACCAGTGCTGGTAGATTAGTTAAATATGGAGGTGACCAACCCAGCAACGTCTTATAAATGCGGGTCAACCAATGAGTTTCACGACGAGTAGAGAAGGCCATTTAACGAGAGAGTAGAGGTGACGATGTGTATAAGGAGCATTTGTAACAAAACCAGTAGCAGAGTGATAAATTGTGTCCAGCTTACGAAGGACACCATTACAAGCATGTCTGTAAATTCTGTCTCCATAATCCATCAGAGTTAGAATGGTCACATGACAAGTGACGTTGGGTAGTGTAGGGTTCTTATTGCACCAGATTCAGGGGTTTTGTCATCAGTCAGACTGTGGCAGGGGAACAAACTATTAAAAACCTTGTACTGCGGGTGATGATGCTATCAGCTCTATTGTCTCAGGTTGTATGAACATTTACTGTGTCTGATAAGAGAGTGAGTCCTTGATGATTCCTGCTGCTCGTCTTCGACAGCGCTGCTCATACATCGAGTCTAAGGAAGGAAGTTTTGTCCCTGTGATCCACTCCGCAGTCTCTGACTCTTTGCAGCGCCTTCCTTTCTGCTCGTGTGTAGGCCTGTCACGATAACAAATTTTGCTGGGCGATTAATTGTCTCAGAAATTATTGTGATAAACGATAATATTGTTTAAAATTTGACAATAATTAGTAATTATTGTCAAATTTAAGAAGAAACGTTGGTTAATTTGTTTTGTGTGCAGTACCTTTTGGTAGTATAAGACTGAACCGAAGGATGGATAGTGAGGGAGCGAGCAGCGTGTCTCTTTGAGAAAAATGGGAGGGAGGCTCCTTGACGTGACATGGGCTGTCCCTCTTCGGTTTTCAAAATGGTGGACGCTCGGTGTGGTTTGAGCTCTTTAGCATAGCATTTGTCACGCAAAGCTTTTAGTTTAAGTTCTCTGCTTCTTTTTGCAGAGAAAAACAACTTTTTACACGAAGGCACGGGTTTCAACCGTGAATTTTGGAGCTTCGACAAGACGGAGGTCGTTTTCCCCGAGGTCGGCCTGTTAGCTTAGCTCGTAGCTTGGCTGCTTTTAACGATCCAAAAACGCGATTTTGGACGGTTCAAACAGATTTTAAAGAGAAAGGGAGGGGTCAGTGAAGAGCACCGGAGTTGAGCCTTTTGTCATCCAGTGTCTTCAGTAGAAAGAGAGAGACACGAAGAAACGATAAAGCCGATAAATGAAAATGAGGTTGATCATTTTCATTTATCCTGCGATTAATTGATTTATTGTTTATCGCAACAGGCCTACTTGTGTGATGTTCCCATACCAGATGGTGATATCTGTGGGTGAGAGGGTGCTGGTTCAGACCCGCTTTCCTGAGCAGCCTAATGAAGTAAAGCCTTGGCTGGACTTTTTTCACTGAAGCTGTGGTGTTGAGAGACCAGCTCAGGTCCGATGTAACCTGCAGTCCCAAGAATCTGTCTGTCAGCCCTCCTCTAATGATGAGAGGCTGTAATGGAGAGTTCTTCCTGAATCTCTTTTACTCAATAATTTGAGTAAAAGAGATTCACACCTTGTTGTAAAATCTGTCTCAGTAGCATCATCAGCAGAACCTTATTTCACACATGAGATAATAACATTGATATTCTTTCTCGTTTGTTTTTAATCGTCTCCATCTGCAGCGCAGTGGAGCAGGGCACAGACATGCTGGAGATGGACTGTCACCTGACGAAGGACGGACACGTGGTGGTGTCTCACGACCAGAACCTGGAGAGGCAGACTGGACAAGACGCCAACATCCGCTCCCTCAACCTCGAGGTGGGAGAGCCCACCGATTAGCATGAAAACTACGCAGCAGAATATGTTTACTGCAGAACTGCTGTTGTGTTTTTGTAAGAAAAAAAAAAAAAAGCTGGACGTGCTGCTTTTTGTTCACATTTCAAGGATGTTTTTATGGCCAATCTAATCTGAGCTGAAGAACTTTAAAGTTTAAACGGCACGAGCCCTCCAGTGTTCCTCCTCTTTGTTTAATATTCTGGGAAGTGTTTGCTCATGTGCTGGATCACATTTAGGTAAATGTTTGCATTCACTGCTGTCAAAAAAAAAGATAACCGAGCTGAAGCAGCTGAGTTTACCAGGAATACTCCACAGTGCACGTGGATTTTTATTATTTTACTGTAATCATTAATGTCATGGCGATAAAATGTTTGTTTGGCGTTTCTTCTAGGATTTGCCTCTTTATAAGGAGAAACTGGAGGTGACGTTTTATGCAGGTCAGCTCCCTTTTTTTTTTACATTTCTTGATCAATCATTGACTAAAATGTGTTTAATGAAGGTGTGTGTGCATGTGTGTGTGTGCACGCCTCTGATCCTTCAGGTCGCTACAGCAGCGGCACGGACAGGAAGATTGCTCTGCTGGAGGATGTTTTCAGGAAGTTTCCTAAGTTGCCTGTGAGCGTTGAGATTAAAAAGGATGAAGACGTACAGCACAACCTGCTGCTGATCCAAAAGGTGCAGCGACCCTCAGAACAAACAGACGACGACTCTTGCAAGACTTTTTTTCAAAATAAAAGGCAAACTATGAAGCAGCAAATGTTTATTTAGATAATTTCTGCAGGTTTCGGACTTGGTTAAACGATACAACAGAGAAGACATCACTGTGTGGGCCTCTGTGGAGTCCTCGGTCCTCAAGGATTGCCGCAGAATCGTACGTTCACCAGCTGAGGGAGACAAAATCCCCCAAATGACATTTACAGCTTCCTGCAACAGCAACACAGGTTTGCCCTCTTATGGGCTTTCTCACTTCTGCTTTATCACCACTTTTATAATCATTTGTGTTTCTTGTGTGTCTCTTAGCAAAATATCTCATGAACCCCTGAGCAGAATTTAATGAAACGCTCAGGAAGGAACTACTGCATATACATCTACACCTGATTAACTTTTGGATTCATCCTGATTCAAGATGGCCACTGCAGCTACTCAAGCTTAGCAAACAGTAAACTGGCTATAACTCGGTCCATTTTCCAGATATTGAGATACAATTTAGTGTGGTAGTAGCTGAGCGTCATCCTCAACATGTAGTTTGAGTGCTAACAGATTGCATGAATTTTTAGTTTTAAACTTTAGCATGCAAGATGGTGGATAATGGATACTTTTTCAAGGAATGCTCCTTTCTGATTGAAGATCCTTCTTTGTATCAGTGTTTGCATCCATCGTGTGTTTGGTTTTGCTTTTTCTTGTAGAACAGCTCCATGCCCTACAGTTTCTCCATGAATCGAGGCCTTTTGCTTCTGTTGCTCTTCTACACCGGCCTGCTGCCTTTTGTGCCGCTGGGAGAGAGCTTACTGCAGTTTTACCTGACGCGCGTCATCAACAGGTGAGATTAGAGTGTTTTGTTTTTTTTAAACACAAAAAGGCATATTCTGGTAAAATACTCACTGACTTTGACACTTAATGTGGCACCTGTTTACAATATTTTGCTGTTTTTATTCACATGTTGTCTTTTCGTCTCTGAAGGACGTACATTCCTGATGAGGGCATCTTGAAGAACAACCTGGTTGGGTTTTTGTTAGAAAAGTATGTCAGTGGAAAACGTCCGTGTAACTTGAAATTATGAAATTTATGTTGAAATTCAGCAAATACTGGTTTGTTTTTTCCAGCACTCTGTATGATTGTTTTGTTTGCTCATTTTATGGTCGTCTTTTCAGAATCACTATGAGGAGGAGTCTTTTTAAACACCTGGCAGCTCGGGGAATACAGGTTTGAATTTCACCTTCAGCACAGAGCTGTTTCAACTTGAAACAAGAAAAGCAAAACTAGAGAAATTGCATTTCCTATGAAAATGCAGTGTGAATGATTATTGCTGAAAAACAGCTGAAATTAGCTAAAAACGTGCTGAAATGTAGCTGAAATGGAAGAACAAGCCTAAGTTAGAAGAAATAACACGTTTGCTGAATTATATTTAAAAAATCAGAAATTACCATAAAACTTAAGAAACGTGTTTTTTTTTAAAAATGGTTAATTGGCAAAAAAAGTAGCTGAAAATGCATAAAGAAGCTTAAACTACCAGAAGGAAGCAGAAAGAGCTGCAATCAGCCCAAAAATGTGGAATTAACTGAAAAATATTAAATTAACATAAAAACGGCTAAATAGTGGTTGAAATACCAGGAAAAAGCTGAAAGTAGCAGAAATATCTTTAAAGGAGTTTAAATTAAGCTTAAATTGGAAGAGAAAAGTTAAATTAGGATGAAATAATCATTAAAAACTTGAATTTATCTGAAAACAGCTGAAAATACCAGTAGCTAAAAATTGCTAAAAAGGTTGCTGAAAAGGTAGAAGAAGCCTAAATTAGCAGAAGAAATCAGAAAGAATATGTTTTACCAATTAGGCTGAAAGAAGCAGAAATTAGCACAAAAATTTCAAAATTTTCTGAAAACAAGCAGAAATTTGAAAGAGGAAAAAAAATGCTGAAAAGTACCTTTAAAAAAAAAAAAAAAAAAAAAAGGCTTAAATTCCCAAAAGGAAGGGGGGAGAGAGCACATTTTTGCTGAATTAGGCTAAAAAATCTGAAATTAGTGCATAAAATGTGGAATTAGCCCATAAAGCTAAAATTAGCATAAAAACAGTAGCTAAAATAGCAGAAAAGGCTGTAATTTAAATTAGCTGAAAGGAGCATAACAAGCTGAAAGTATCTGAAAGTAGTTAGAAGCTCAAAAATATAGTTAACAGAATCAAGATCACAAACCATCCGAAAAAACATCTGAAAGCAGCTGAAGCAGAACAAAATGTGAAAGGAGCAGTAAAAGGTTGTAAACGGATCTAAAGATTTGAAGGATGGAAAATGAGCTCAATTCATTTTCTATAAGAAAATAGTGGCAGAAAAGACTTAAATAGTTCAAAAGCCAAAGTTGCACCAATAACAAAATAGTACCCTTCTCCAGAACGAGCTGAATGTTTTGATAAATGATTTGTTGAAATGGCACAAAAATTGTGGAACAAGAAAGATGCTGAAAAACGTGTGGAAGAAAAATAGATCTCAATAGTGTGAATGCTTCATAAGAATTCACACAAAAATGTTTCTTAAACAATAATGGAGTCGACAAAGATAAAGACCAGCCTCTTTGATTTCTGGTGTATTTTGCATCGACACAGTAGAAATGGTCTTTTCCAGGTTCTAAAATTATTCATATTGTTATTTATTCAACAAAAAGTGATTCTGAAATGGAAAAGCTGTGCCACGTTCATCCCATGATTCATCAGTTTGGAGTTGGTGTTTTCTGTAGGACTTTCTCACTCTCTCATGGTTGTGGAGGAATTTTGGCCCACTTTTTCTTTAACGTTGCTTCAGTTCCTTGAGGTTTGCTTCTGCGCAGCGTTGCAGTCAGGCTGAGGGCTGGACTTTGACTGAATCATTGCAACACCTTGATTATTCCTGTCGGCTGTTCTGATGTGGGTTTGCCGCTGTGCTTGGGATCGTTGTTTTGTTGCATCATGACCCAGTTCAGTCCAAGATTCAGCTATCAGACAGATGAGCTCACATTTGACTCCAGAATCCTTTAGTAAACAAAGGAGTTTGCTCATCAACTGACAAGGAGCCTATAGCTGCAAAGAAGCCCACATCATCAAACCTCCACCACCGTGCCTGACAGCTGGTATGACGTGTTGCATACAGTTTTTCCATTTTGGCTTTGTTTTTGTTTAATAAGTAATGACAAAGTGGAATCTGTTGTGTTTTTCTACACTTGAACTTGGATGTGAATCATTTTAGAACCTGATAATGACCGTTTATATTTGTCATAAAATTAAACTTAGGAAGCCCTGTCATTAGAAATGATGAAAATGACAGGGTTCGTACAACAAATGCAGGTGGTTTCCCGTGGTGGTTTTCCGAAAACTCATTCAGTAGACACGATACATGCTTGATAATCCAGGTAGATGAATCTAACGAGGTTGAGTCGGCTCCTCTGGATGGATTCTTCTGGTTGAAACGTTTCTTCTTTTATGCAAAGACTTTTTCAGTCTGTAGAGCTGCAAATAAACTCTGTCCTATAAATAGCAGCTTCTCATAGTGGATCAACCAGTTTGCTGGTGACAGACAAAACTAGCTGTTCACATGATGGAGGATCATCAGCCTAACGACCGATTGTTAGTGCCCTGATGGCTGCTTGCTATTCACAGAGAGCTGAGTGATTCACTCATTCAACCTTTGTTTAAACAGGTTAATCCCATTGAGCTTTGGGGACTCATTTACAAGAGAGACCTGATTTTAACAAAGAATGATGATGACAGTGGACAACAAAGGCAACAATAGACAATCATAAAGGATGCGTACAAATTGAGAATAAGTGAAAATAAAATGGTATTTAAAAGAAAGTGTAACAAAAAAAACAGCTAGGTTGTAAGGCGATATAGAAAACTAAAAACAATAACATGTCTGCATTGTTTTTTTCCCAGGAACTTAACAGATGTTAATGATACTACTAGATGAAGATGATACCAGCATTGGAAGAGGGGGACAGTTGAACATGGAGACACCCCCCCCCCCCCCCCCCCGTTTAATGATGGATGAGTTCTCTTCACAAATATGGCCTCCTTTACTCCTCTCAAACCAGAGTTCATTATCCAGGATGTGAACATCTTCATCCCTGAACAAGTGACCGCTGGCCTGGAGATGAGTGTAGACCAGAGTCCTGGCCTGATGATGTTGATCTTCTGTGCTGGTCCATCCTTTTGGCCAGTGGCTGTTTTGTTTCCCCGATGTAAGACTGATCACCCTCCTGACACTGAACAGCATACACAATATTACTCTGTTTGTGCCGGGGGAGTGGATCTTTGGGATGAACCAGTCTTTGCCGTAATGTATTTTGGGGTTTAAAAGCCACTGGGACGTTATGTTTAGAAAATAAACGTCTCAGTTTCTCTGATACTCCCTCAACATACGGAATGACCACTGGTCTGGGTTCCTCCTTTTCAGAGGAAGGCCCAGTTAGGATATCCACATTGCTCTAGAGCCTGTCTTGTGTAGGATTTCTCCTTCTGCCTGGCTCCTGAGCTAGTGGGGACGCTGTCTGCTCTGTGATACAGAGTCCTGATGACTCCTAACTTGTGCTCCAAAGGGTGATGGGAGTCAAACTGCAAATACTGGTCTGTGTGGGTGGGTTTGTGGTACACCTCAGTTTGCAAATGTTCTCCATCTGAAACTGAGACCTCACAGTCCAAGAAAGCCACCCTGCCTCTTTTCAACAAAGAATAATCTGTCCAGAGGACCAGACTCAACCTTGTTCGATCATTCACTAGACATATTTTAAAGCAGCTGCACTGAAGTTGTTGGCAGAAGTTAAAAGTGAAAGTTAAAAATTATACCGCTTTAGCAAAATCCAGAGTTAAAGCGTGAGTGGAATGTCTCAACTTGCTGTGTTATCTGTAATTGTAGGTGCATTTATTTGTTTGCAATGAAGATGAAGACATGAAGGCAGCATTTGATCTGGGAGCTACAGGAGTGATGACCGACTATCCATCTCGCCTCTCAAGCTACCTCTGCAGAAACCGAAGTCAGGAATAATCTCAAAGTCAGATTTACTGTGAAAAGGCATTCGTACAAACACAGACCTTCTTAAGGCAACAATGGACAGTGTTCGATTCATTTCTTCAGCCTTGATGAGATCTGTTGAGATCCTGAACAGCAGAGAACAAAGCTTTCATTCAGCTCGTATACTATGAAGAAACCTTTAATCATTGCTGACACGGTCACTTGCTTACAGGGCGGTCCACACTTTGATCACTTTCTCTGATCACCTTTAATTGAATCAGTACTTAAAGAAACAGATGAGTGCTTTTGTCTGCAGAAAATCACAGGAGTGAATATATAACCAAGTGATAATCGATGAGACTAAATAAACCTTGTTTTGACTGGCTCTAAAGTTTTGCTTTACTGAAAAAAAATACAAGACTGCTACTGTATATGCACACACACTGTGAATGTACTGTATGTAATAAGAATGTCTTTAATCTGTTTTCTTTTTCCCAACTGGTAAAGGTTTACATGTGCAGTGAACCTCACCTGTGCCCTTGGTTTCCCAGGCAGCTCTGGTCAAAGTCCGGCCACGCTGCTGTGATAATAATCGACCAGTCTGTTGGAGAAACAAAGACTCTATTTTTCTGGCCTGGTTAGCTGTGTCAAGCGGCGCGACAGCTGAGGAAAATGAAAAAGCAAAATGAGCTCTTTGGAAATCAAAATTTTGAATACATGAATCTGTAAATGAGTCATTAATACTTTTTATAGGAATGCAAATTGGTTGAAAATACTGGATTTATGTTTTTAGGGAAAACAAGCTTCTTCTTTCTTTTTTTAATTCCCTATTATTTTAGTACTGGAAGGCTGAAACAAATATACATTTAATCAATCTATTCCATACAATATTTTTTATATGGATGTAAGCTTTTCAATTGTAAGCTTTCATTATTTTTGATCACTTATTGATGTTATACATACGCATACATGTCTTTCTTGTAAACGAGGCCCTGAGGCTCAATGGGATTAACCTGTATAAATAAAGGTTGAATTAAAAATAAATGTTATCTATGTTTACTATATTCTAAGTGTGACAAGATTATAAACTAAAGTGTAGCTCAGCTTGTAAAAAAAAAAAAAAAACTATGATTGGTAATTTATAAAAATGTGACCTAGTTGTGAAATGATTTGGATTAAAAATGCCATGCAAACGTGTTGGGGAAGGAAAACTAACTAAATGAAAACTAATCCAGAAAAAAAACTCTGTCCTTGTTAAAAAGATATTCAGCATTTGATGAATCTTGAAAAGTAAATTTCGTTTGGTCTACATGTTTTAGTCTTTCGTATGACTTGTTCTGAACCAACACGAAGCGAAAAGAAGAACTCTTTCACACCATTCCTGAAACTCGACCAAGAAGCATTGCCATAAAAGGTTCATGAGAGCTCGAATCTGATTGGTTGACCCACATTCTAAACACGAGCTCTGATTGGTCAGCGGGGTTTTGTTTTGCACTTTTCGCACTTCCTCCATCTGTGTGTGTTTTCATAAACAAAACATTTTTCTCCCGCCGGAGAAACGTTTTGCTCTCTCTCGTCACCCTGCCAGCTTTGTCGTGTACAAGCGAAGGCCGTGGACGAACTTCGAGGACTCGCTTTTTTTTGGTCTGAACTCTTAAGCAGAAACGGGCTAACTGAAGCTCGACGCTTTTTTTTTTTTTTTTCAACCCATTTTTTTGTCTGAACCGTCAGCGCGTGGTGGTGAGCTGTTGTTCCACCGAGCCGACCTAAACGCTAAACAGCGTCCTACCTGCGTTTTATCGGTTAGTTTTACATTTGTCACTCGTTATAAACTCAGAATTGCTTTGGTGTTGTCAGGTGGGTGAAGATAAACGAGGAAGTTCCTCGCAGTGCTCGTTTTAGCTGCTGTGTTGACACTGCGGGGCTAGCATGCTAGCTGTTTTGCTAACAGATTTATCTGCTAGTTTAGGGTCGATAATGTAAGCAACTTGCAGAACAGGGCACAAACAAACATTGTAGTCGTCAAATTGAACTACCAGCGATATCATGAATTGGTGAAGCAAGCTGTCAGGTGAACCGAGTCCCTGCTGAGACTATTAAAAAAGGTTTACAGCTCATTTGTGTCTATGGCGGAATCTCAGAGTGTGGCAGGCAATGATTATGTTTTTATCAGGGTTTTCAAAGGTTCAAAGCTTTGATTACCACACATACGAAGTGAGCAGGAAGTCACATTTCCTCACAGAAACAAATTGTATTATGCAACACTTACACAAACAACTCTTTTGAGTTTGTGCGGGTAAAACATGGTACTGATTGTGAAATCTTGGGTCTTTTTATGGACATCGAGCAAAAACAAAAGCTATTTTCAGTTCTGACAGTTTGGATTGATGGTTTTACATTGCAGTGGTTGCAACCAATCATGTAACCTGTTTGTCAAAAGCCAGGACTTCCTTAAAGCAGGACTACTCTAGTAGCTTCTCACTTATCTGGCTCTACCACTTACAATAATTATTGTTTTTTTTTTGTCCTATCTGTTTCCCTCTCAGACATGGTGAAGCTAACAAAGGCCAAGACTTTTCAGGCTTACCTGGATTCCTGCCACCGCCGTTACAGCTGTGTGCACTGCCGCGCCCATCTGGCTAACCACGACGATCTCATCTCCAAGGTAAATATGCTACCAGGCTTTGATGATGAGGATCATGTTTGGGTGGCATGTAAACCGCTTCTCAGTTAAGTGCTGGATTAGAGGCAGAAATAATGAGACGTTAAAGTTAAATTTATTTTGGGGGACACATCCTGTTCTCTTCTTGATATTCTGTTTCATCTTTGTCTCCTAGTCTTTCCAAGGCAGTCAAGGACGAGCCTACCTGTTTAACTCTGTGTGAGTATTTAAGTAAAGTTTCACAAAAAATGTTGCTGTTCGTGAGTTTTCAAAGGACACGTCCCTTACATAATCCCATCAGTCAGTTCAGTAAATCTACAGCCTTTATTTTCCCAGCATATTGTGTCTAAAAACAAGTTTATTATCTTTGAAAGTTCCTAGAATTAGAGGTGTTGATACAAATCATGGTGTCAACACGTCATTAGATTTTCTACAAATTGGACCTTGATGGTGGTTCGCTTCACTCGAGTCACGCTCCGCCTGGGTTAGTGGGTCAGTAATAAACACAAGGAAGTGAGTGGATTAAACAGCAAGTCCTAATCTGATACCTGCTTCTGTTTGATCTTTTCACTGTTTTGGGAGCTTTTCCCATTAAAAACAAAACTTGGGACCTTTTATAGAAAAGCTGTTATTGTGGGGGTTTTTTTTAGTATGTAGAAAGCATAGTTTAATTTTTATCAAAACTCCATAATCCAGAGATCATTTGCTCATTTCTGACCATGCATTTTGTTTTTTTTAGGGTCAACGTCGGCTGTGGTCCTGCCGAGGAGAGACTTCTGCTTACAGGACTTCACGCAGTGGCCGACATCTACTGTGAAAACTGTCACACCACTCTGGGTTGGAAATATGTAAGTTGCTGACCCTTCACAAGCTCTGATGTTACGTTTCTGAGTGTTTAAGCCCATATATCTGAAATCTATTAATGTAACTTTACACAAAAGAGGGTGGTTTTCTAAAGTTTAGGTTCATAAATTTAAACCTTTGTACTTGCTTACACCAACTGCAATTTTTTTTTCTTTATTTATGAGGGATATAGCTAAAGACTGCATAATCTGTGTGATTATGATTATGATCACACTTTAAGACTTTTAAAAACTCTGGCATTGTCTTCAAAACTGTGCCAGGTTTCGAAGACTTCCTTTGTCTCAGGAAATCACATTGCTACACGTTTTGTCACCTTTTGTTAAAAACAGTGGTGCCCAATCTTGGTCCTTAACGGCTACTATCCTGCATGATTAGATTTTTTTTTTTCTGCTTTGACACCAATTTAAATAAATGGGTGATTAACAGACTGAAACGCAGGGAAACAAATAAAACATAGTGACCCTCAAGAACCAGGATTGGACACCACTGGTCTAAAATGTTCAGTTTCAGCTTCTGTTTCTTTAAGAAATTAGTTGACTCTAATTGGCCAGAACTATTTGCCTGCGAGGAAGCCAATTGTTTTTGTTTGAGACCTGTCAGCAAAGCTACTTCTAGTCTATTCAAGACCAATTTTACTGTGACAGAAAATAATGGATGGTGTGAACTATGCAGATAATTCGATGCACCATTAAGCTGCCACATTTCTGTCCACATCAGTCCATTTTTGATGTGGCATGTTAGAAAAGGTGAATGAAACGGGAAAATTAAGGGGGAAAACAGTGTCGCATCACCACCGAAACATTTATATAGACACCTAATGTGTTTTTAAAGAAATGCAGCGCATAGAAAAGTCAAAATTAAATCTGATGTTACTTGCATGACTAATTGTCTCCTTGTCTTTGCAGGAACAAGCCTTTGAACTCAGTCAGAAGTACAAAGAGGGGAAGTACATCATTGAGCTTTCCCACATGATAAAGGACAACGGTTGGGACTGAAGAAGGAAAACCTTCTCACTTTTTGACTTTTTAAAGAAAAAGGTTGCATGCCCTCAGATGTTAAAGGGTTTAAGTGTAGCTTCCTCATCCAGCCTTCAAGCCATTGCCGTGCCACACTTTTCACTTCGTACAACTTCGCTAAGAATAGCATGTGATGCCTTATCTTCGTCTGTTCATGCTTTTCCAGCAACACATTTGCTGATATTGTTATTCCAGTTATTAGTTGGTCTGGGACTGAATAGCTGTATGATGTGTGTGTGTGTGTGTGTCTGTGGAAGAGTGGGTGTTGTTACACAAGAGCCACCACTGTGGGTTGGATTTTAAAGCATTTAATGCAGTAATAAACTTTCTAGTGATCACTAAATGCTCTGAAGTGAGGAACAAATGAAAGTTAACGTGATCTTTCACTTCCTGTTTGAGTTTCAGATTCAGTGTCAGGGTTCGTTTAACGGTAAATAGTTTTTAAGTAAACTTTGTGGGGTATGGGAATACATAGAGCAGCAGGCAAGCTCTTTTTTTTTTTTTTTTATGAACAAAATTATATTTTTATTGTACAATCAGTAGTCGGGGTGCTGAATTTATGATTTTAAAGGCCAACAAATATCTCCTGCGAGAAAGATTGAATCTGTAGTTTGGAGTCTTGTTCAGAGGAAAGTTTTTTTTAATTTTATTATTATTTTTAAGATGCTTGTTTGCAGTGTGTGCTGAAGTATCGTGAGCTGGACGATGTTGTGAAGCATTAGTCTGAAGCTGATTCACTTCTAGGACGTTTCACTGCACACCTGAGATGGCTTTGCTTCCATTTAAAGCTGCGATCTACGTTTTATACATTTGCATCCTACCTAACACGGAGCTGCCCGTTCAGACATGTTAGCTTGACTGTGTTTGTGTGGTTAGGATAATGTAGCATATTTATGGTGATTTTTTTTTTAATGTCTGCTTTCATTGAAATGTTTTAATTTTAACCTGGTCTTTCATTAAACTGTTTGCCAGTAATATGTGTGTTGAAGTTGTGTTTTTTCTTTTGCTTTTCTAATAGCTTGGGTATAATATACGCCAAAGCAATTTATAAGGTTACTGTATTTTTTGGAGGGCAGCACGGTGGCGCAACTGGTAGAGCTGCTGCCTCTCAGCGAGCAGGTCCTTGGTTCAAACCCCGGTCCAGGGGCCTTTCTGGGTGGAGTTTGCATGTTCTCTCCGTGCATGCGTGGGTTTTCTCCGGGTACTCTGGTTTCCTCCCACAGACCAAAAACATGCATGTTAGGCTGATTGGTAACTCTAAATTGTCCCTAGGTGTGAGTGAGAGCGTGAATGGTTGTTTGTCTCGTTTGTCTCTATGTGTTCCTGTGATGGACTTGCGACCCGTCCAAGGTGTACCCCTCCCCTCGCACAGTGATTGCTGGACATGGGCACCAGCGACCCCCGTGACCCAAAATGGAATAAACGGGTAAAGATAATGGATGGATGGATGGCTAGTTTTTAAGTTTTGATAGTTTCAAAAAAAAAAATTTAAACGTAATTGTAACTTTTACACAGTTACCCATTCTTAATGCAGCATTTACTTTCAGAACTTTGTGAATAACGATAATGTTCAAATTCTCTGCAACCTCGTGGCTTTTTGCTCCATTTTCATTGTAGTTTCTGAGTGTTTATAATTTGCAGGAAGCCTCTTTGTTTTTGCAGACTGTGCCTCTCCCCGAGCATTTGAACTGTTTTTATTTGTATAGCTCCTACAAGTAGTGATAACCTTTCACAGAGCTTTACACAACATTAGGAGTAACACTATTTGTAAAAGCAAGTAGTCATAAAATGAAGATCGTTAAAAATGTACAAAAGACGGAACTAAATTTATTAATGCTTTAACTTTTACATGCAGACAAGTTTATTTTAGTTGAAACATTTGATCAGGTGCAATACCCAGCTAAGATAATTATTTTCCCATTTGAGCAAAAATGGTTTTGTTTATGTGTAAACAACTTCATTATTTTCTGCTCATGAAGTCAAGATGAGTCAGAAATGATTTATCGATTAATAGATCAACCATAAAAAGACAAAAGAATTGTAAAGATTTGGCCGAAAATTGATTTATATATATATATATATATATATATATATATATGCAGCAAAGCAAGCCTTTGGCATGATAACACCCCTCTCGTGCTTCTATGTAAATGTCTTTTTTTATTTATTCCCTGGCTTTTATTTGTTACCTGTCAACAAACTGATGAATAGTTTACCAAGCAGCCATGCAGGGTGTTCTTGTGTCCACAGAGTAAAATTAATTTTAAAATAGTGTCTGCAAACATTTCTGCACACAACGGTGAAGGAACAGTAGTTCCCTTAGGCTCTGTGTAAAATGTATGTGATGGTTTCAGTATTATTGTATCTGAGCTGTCACAAATAAAATAAAAACTTTAAAGCTTACTTTGAGGTTATCTTGTGCATTGGCATTGGAGTGAACTTCAGAGAATAAAAATCTGAAAACAAACTTCTTTTAAAAAAAAAAAAAGTCATTTCTATCAAATTCTTTTTTCAATCAGTATCTGCTGATGTGACATGTCACTTTACAAAGGTAATTTAAAAAAAAGGCTTAAATTTATGCATGTTTGAAGGAAAATTAAATGATTTTTTTGTGCTGATTTGTCCATAAATCAGCACCAGATGGTGCTGTCTGATCTGTTAAATCAAAGATGCATTGGTGCCACAAACAGAGGGTTTAGGCACATTTAAATACTTCATCATGCAGTCCCATCCAATAGGCCTCATAGTCATTCAGCAGGTCTCAACATGTGTTTATTGTGGAGGAAGTATGAAAATAGATTTCAAAATGTGCTCAGACTGACGGTCACAGAGTCGTGACCTCAGGGACTGTTTGAAGAGATAGAAGACACAGATACAGCCAAGTCTACAGAAAAAATAAAATAAATACAAACTGTGACAAGGTCAACAACATGCCCCAAACATGATGCCATTTTCAAATCTCTCTCACTGAATACTAACGTGATTTAGACTTTTGGTATTTGTAGTAAAATGTGTAAAATGAAGCCTTTAAATATATAAAAATGACAACATTTGTATGGAAACCCTCCTCTCTGTTTTGTTGTTTTACATCCACTTCCTGAAAAAAAGTTCCCACCTCTGTTTAACACTCGTTACATAAACTGCTCGAAGGAAATTTGTTCATTTCTTTAAATTTTCAAGTTTTACAAGGCGTCTGTGTCTGCTCTTCACAGGCCCTTCTATAAATTGTCCCTAACATAAATTCTGCCATATAGTAAAATGTAAGTGTTGGATTTGTTATCAGGTTGAAATGCCTGGTCAGTCTTCACTCGTTGTATTTTTTAAAGTATCTTCCCAATTTTTTATTATTTTAGTTATCTTTTTTATAGTTTAAAATGTTCTTTATGTAGTTTAAGTTTTATTTCTACCTAATAAAACTGTTTTGAATACTTAAAGACCATACAAGGAGTGCTAACACTATAAATAGATCTTAAAAAAGTGATTGTTGCATTTTTATTGACTTTTTATCATTAGTTTCAGCTTTGTCAATTTTACCAAGTTTGCTTTGCAGGCAAAATTTGTTATTAAACACAAAAAGGAGTTTTTAATGCTCTAAAAATTATACTTTTAGCAGATTAGAGTTGATCACATGAATGAGCTGCAGCACTAATGACACATTTATCTGTACATGTGGTAGTCATGTGTGCACATTCCTTTTTTATTTCTGAAAACTGCTGTTTAATCACATGACACAAAGTGAATATGAATATAAAGTTTAAAAAGCCCATGTTTTCTGCCAGTGTATTGATTTTTATTTAAAAAATTATATATATATATATATATATATATATATATATATATATATATATATCGTGTTTGATGAGAACAATTCAGTGCTTTTTTCTGGGATGTAAAGATAAAATAGTTTATCAAGTCCTGTGTAATTTCTGCCATTTTAAAAAAGCTGAAGGTTTTTTGGATACAAGACAAGTTTCAGCATCAGAAGTTCTTTTGTAGAAGCAGCAAAGAACCTAAAGATAAAGATCAGATATTGTGATGTTATGGGCGACCCAAAAAGGAAAAGTTGGTAAAAATGGATGGATGGATGGATGGATGGATGGATGATCATCCATCCATTAATTTTGACCTGATTGATGGCTAGTCTTAGCGGTGCAAAAGGTCTCACTAGGCTACACCTGTTGGGGAAAAGTTAGAGACATAAATTGTGGAAACACAAATTTACACTTAATCACACTGAGTGACACATTTGCATAAACTTCCGGTGAAATTCAGGGGAACAGTTGCTGAACGTTTGCCTCCATATTGATGAAAAAACCCACTACAGTCCACTAAAGTTAGACTCTGCTAAGAAAGATTTGTGTCTTGTTTCAGATGCCAGCGGCAGCCCTGTGACCATTTTGAGAGGCAGCTTGTATTGTGAATGTTTCTAACATGGTCAAAAATCCAGACAAAAGAGGGCGGCCCTATAACTTACGCAAGGAAAGTGCATTTTGAGACATTTTAGAAATTCCCTCACAAAAACATATTTTAACAATTAGCAGCTAACTAGCTGTCTTAGCCTAGCCTAAGAAAGCAAAGTGGATTGTTGCTGCTCTCTTAAAGCAGCTCCACTCTCAGAACTTTCATAGCGGGTCAAACAAATGCGGTTTTGGAAACCTTTACAGTGCCATCAATTTTGCAACACATTATTACATGTTATACAAGAAAAATATGATTGTATTCCTGCAGGAAGAGCTCCAGAAGTGCTACTGCTAGCTGCTGACGGTGCTATTTGTGTTTGCAAATAACCAGAAAATTACTGTATGTACAAATACCCATAAAAAACTAGCAGTGTTGAAAAAATGTATAAAACACTGCTAACCCTTTTAAAAAAGCTATCTACAACAGGTAAGACACTAACTGTGCACAATCTTTCTACAAAACCCCACTTAAAAGATGCTGAACAAGCTTGTTCAATTTAAAAGGCTGTATATTTTTATAACAGCAGATTCTGACACAAAACTTACTGACGGATAAAGAGAGAGACAGGTTTAAGAAACTGAATTGTGGTGTGATATTTCCCTTTATCTGACACCAGGAACACCCATTCCACTGGAGTGTCACCTTGACACAGATAACTAAAGATTATCTTTACAACTTGTTGATTTGCTCTTAGCACCAGTTCTTATACTGGTATATTGTTTTTACTTGTAGTGATAAACAACCGTCGCAATTTGATGTTGAATTTATTGAACATTTCGTACTAATAATTAATCTGACAGCGCGTGCCGTGTAGTGACGACTAGCGTTTCAGCTGCAGTCAGTGCACTTGCAGCAGAACGTACCACAATGGTTCAAGTTCACAAAACCCACTCGCCATATAGTAGTAATATAATATAGTATTTATATATAATATATGTAATAACACTATATAATAACTTGATTTAAGACAGCACTTTATTGTGAAGATTTTAAAAATAAATCAACGAGTCGACGTTAACGTCCGCACCCCTGCGTTTGCCCGAATGGTTCTTTCCGGGATGCTTGGTCACATGACTTTTTCCGTTTCGCCATTTTCCTCCTCTACGCCGGAGCTTGAGCTGGTTGTAACCTCGCTTCGCAGTGTTTAAACCTGTCGAGAGGTGACGGTGGGAAAGGAGACCCACCAGCTCTCTCATTACTCGCATAAAGAAAATAAACTAGCCAGTCTTGTAGCTCCACCGCCCGAGGAGAAGAGCCAGAATGTCGTCTGAGGAGAGCCCCGAGTACTCGCCTTTCTTCGCTGTGATGGGAGCCTCTGCGGCCATGGTCTTCAGCGGTAACTACACCTCCAGCTCCTTCATTTGACACCTCTGTTCTGTTTCAGACCGAGCCGCGTTAGTTAGTTGGAAACAACAGCTGCTTTCACAGAAGCTGCCTCGCTAGGCCGCTCGGGGCTCGCACACCTGCCGGGGAGGGAGAGGCGGAGGGGAGGCTAACCGAAGGCTCCTCGCCGTCGTAGCTTCCTCCCTCCAGGAGCCAGGTTTCATCAAATCAAATCAAATTCAGGATATAATCTTGTAGCTGGTTGGTGACGCATGCTATCACCGAGGTGATAAATCCTGCGTGTCCAAATCAAGTTATTAAAAGCACAAAAAGGTCATCATTAATCAAAGTTGTGATTATTTGTGATTATTGCGGCTACAGAACTGACTCATTTAACTGAGTCCAAAAAAACTTTCATTCATTCATTCAGGGGCGGCTGTGGCTGAGTGGTTAGAACAGTTGTCCCCCCAGTTGGGGGGTTCAATTCCACAAGCAGTCGCATGCTGAAGTGTCCCTGGGCAAGACATTGAACACGTCATTGCCTCCGATGTGTGTCCCATCGATGTATGAATGTGATCCAAAGCACTGATTATTCTTTGTAAGGGTGTAGTAGAGTGCTGTATGAATGGGTAAATGAGGGCACAGATTGTAGTGTAAAGAGCTTTGAGTATCTTGATCAGATAGAAAGGTGCTGTAGAGGTGCAGTCCATTCTCTACGCCACTTGTTGGGGGACATTAAATGATTTCTCCAACCTCTGAGGGGAAACCCAAAGCTTTCACTGTAGTGTCTATAGCCCCAAAGATTAATGCACAATAAGCCCACCAATTCAAGCATAGCACTCAATAAGATGATTTTATTTAGTTTATTTAACTCTGATCCAATTTTTTTTTTCTTTCGGCTGCTCCCTGTGTTAGGGGGTCGCCACAGTGAACGAACTTGCAGGAAGACTTGGCAATTATTTTTATGCCAGATGCCCTTCCTGATGCGACCACCGAGCTACCACAGTCCTCTGTGTGGAGCAGAGAGCTGCTATTTAAGGTGCCCGGAGGAGCAGATGGTGGGGGTTAAGGACCTTGCTCAAGGGCCCAGAGTGGGGCAAATGATAGTGGAGGCAGGTGTGGGTGTTTCACCTATCTCACCCACATTTTTGATGTTGTTTGTACCGGGAGTTGAACCGGCGATCTTCCGATCACAGGCCCACCTTTTCTAACGTCTGTACATTTTATAATTTGACTTTTACATTTAAAATCCTCACCATGCTGCGTGCTTTGCACATTTTCACACACCGTTTTAAAACCATTTGTAACACGGGATTAAATTATAATATTTTCATGGAATTGTCGTGTGGATAAATCCAGCACAACCATAATGTCCGTCTCATAATTTTATTAGTAATTTTTATAGCATTTTTTTTTAATTTTTTATTCTTTTTAAAGGTAGTCTCCTTGATTCACGAGGACTCCTTTTCAAGAGAAACTTGTTTGGGAGCAGATGGTGAGGGTTTAGGGCCTTGCTCAAGGGCCCAGGGTGGGGCAAATAAGGGTGGAGGCAGGTGTGGGCGTTTCACTTTTTCCACCCACATTTTGATGTTGTCCTTCCAGGGAGTCGATCCAGCAACCTTCTGATCACAGGCCCACCTTCTCTAACCTCTGCACCACCACTCCCAACTTTGACTTTTTTTAAAAGATACTTAGAAGTTGAATCAATAAAGAACTACACAAGTAGTTCTAATTACAAAAAAGTAATTTTAATGTGTCGATAATAAAAAAAATAACAAAACTTGTCAGTGCTGTAGTTTTAAGAATTTGATACTTTTTTTTTTCTTCACTATTTAAAATCTCTTTACATTTAATTGCGTTTTGGCCTTGGAAATACCGTAAACTTCTTTTTAGATACAGAAATTAAACAATGTATTATTGTAACACCATAGATATCATCAGCATGTGACAATAAAAGTATATTTTTTGTTTAAATTTGGCTTCTGGTCAGTGTTTTCAATCCACTTTTGTCTGTATTTGACAATAAAATGTATATTTGTGTGCCAAACCGGTCACAAAGTACATCTTTCTCCCTGTATGTGTGTCAAACACATTTATTTTTCAATATTATCTTCCTGTTTGGTCCATCCTGCAGAAAGCTCAGCATGTATTTGTTGTTTATTCATTTACGTTTCGCAAAGACAACACAGACGTTGAACAAAAAAAACACTTTTTTGTAATGCTTTTTAAACCGCTGGTATGGATTTAGCTAAAATTACTGTGAAAGACAATGGAAAAATAAACCGTTACTCTTGATAATTTGGGCAGCACTGCAAAGACTCAGCTATCTAGACTGTTTAATTAATTAGACAAGATCACAAACTGCAGTTTGTCTTCTCTCACAAACTGCAGAGTTGATGAAAAGTTTTCTGGCTCCTGTACAGATTTCCATTTAATTATTCCTTTTCTCGTTTCAATTACACTTTTATATCCAGCACTCACAATGCATGTGAACAGTGTTTTGTTAATCTAGTATTAAACATTAAATCTTGAATTATTTACACAAATAATCTCATTATTTCTATCTGAGTTAGGGTGCATCTCACTTATCAGTGTTCATTTTTCTAGACTTGAACACGTTTAGAAGTGTGTTAATTTACCAGTATTATATTTCTTATTTCAACATAAGGAACCTGAGATTTTGTCATTTGGTCTTAGCAAATAACTACAAGTCATTGCTCTTCATGAATGTTTTCCAGACATCTTTTGTTGGAAATGGAAGATGGCCCGTGAAATACAACCATCAGTGCAAATACTCCAATTAGCTCTTTATGTTTGAATAACCAGACACCCAGCAAGTCACCTGAATGCCTGTCAGGAGAAATGGTTTTAAAACAAAGCTTGGGCTTTTTAGCCTCTATTTTCAAGCTTGACGTCATTCATGTCATCGTTGTTTTATTTCTGCAAAACATTACTTACAAATAATGTAATGTTTTTAGGTATTTAGGTGTCCGAGACATGACAAAATGGCAAATGTTTGAGGGTTTAAAAAATAAAAAAACACAGTCCAAATGGCAAGAAAGATGACAGTCACATCATTTATCTCTGTAATGTTCAAAGTTTGAAACATTTCATGAAGCTTACTTGTAAATCAACCTTAATTATGATTTTTTTTTATTTTAACCTAAGCTCTGCAGACAACAAAGAACAGTGTCAAACACTTGGCTTGCATACATTTCTGTGATTTAAAACAGCGTGGTGGCAGAAGCACAGGCGTGAGAAAAACTGCAGTCTTTTTTTTTTTTTTTGATAAAGAGCCAGGCCTAAACAACAAAGATGATGCTCCCTGGGTTTAATACAGAGTGACTGTATTTGTGCTGATTTTTGTAGATTACAGTTTCACCAGGGATGTGCTGCAGAAGTTATAGCAACAAAATTCATAGCGTAATCAGTCTGTGACATGAAGTATAAGCTTAACAAACTAGCAACAAGAACAGGTATTTTTAATTGCCTCGGAGTGGAGCTATTTATAGTTTATTTTTTTCATTTTGGTGGGCTCATTTCTTTTGGGATGGTTTGTAAGAAAAAATACTTAAAACATTTTGCCTTTTAAGTATTGTCTGTTTTAGAAACTAAGTGATTTAACATCTTGTATACTTGTATCTTGCCTTTCAGTGACGCCCCTAATTGTATAAATAAAGCTGATGTATGGGAAATTCAAATTAACAGTGAATGTCTGCTCTGTCTCGCTCAGCGCTAGGAGCAGCATATGGGACGGCAAAGAGCGGCACGGGCATCGCTGCCATGTCTGTGATGCGGCCAGAGCTCATCATGAAGTCCATCATCCCCGTCGTCATGGCTGGTATCATCGCCATCTACGGGCTGGTGGTAGCTGTGCTGATAGCAAACAACATCTCTGAGACAGTCACTCTGTACAAGTAAGTTAATCCCTTGCTCATTCATTACATCACGCAGACTTGCATCATGAGAATATAAGTTGTCACAGACTAAGAATACAAACCATCCTGTTCCTATCAGGCCTTCAGAGTAGGTTTATAAGGCTAAAGATGAATACAACTTCAGATCAACACTAACTTGTGACATATTTAATTACCGTATTGAAAAATAATGGGGTATTTTTTTTGTAAAAATCTAGTATAGTGCTGTATGAATGGGTAAATGAGGGCACAGATTGTAGTGTAAAGCACTTTGAGTATCTTGATAAGATAAAGGTGCTATACAAGTACATTTACAAGTATAGTTTTATAGCATTTATTAGAATTAAGAGGTCAAGTATCGTCCTAATCTAACACACTGATTAAAGCAGAGATTTCATCTGTTTGGTCTGAAGCATTTAAATGTGTGTTAATGCAGTGCCAAGAAGAAAAGACATCAGCAATAAGCTCTGCTGAACTGTTGCTGTTTGTAGAGTTGCGAAGGGTCACGAGCCCATTTACAAAAGATTTGGAGTTCATGTTTTTATTGTGAGCTTTTTCACAAGTGGGAACATTCAAGTCCACTTACAGTCTAACAGGAGTCAAAGGCTCTGCAAATTCACCTGGAGGGCAGACTGTGCAATACTCAGAGGAAGAAATTAAACTCGAGCTACATTTCAGTCTTTACAGGCCTCAGAAAACAAGTTAAAGGCTTTTTGGAAGGGCCACAAGGAGAAAGTTAAGGTTTGCAAGCCATAAGTTCTGCAGAACCTTGTTCTCTGGAGCTGTTTGCTGCAATGCACAGATAAATGTAGAACTAATTATTTGTAGCTCGTTTATTCTTCAGTCGCATTTTTTGAGTTCTAAGCTCAACAGATGAAGCTTAACAAAGTTTGAATTGTGCAACTGGCCGATAAACTCAACCACAGCAGCAAATCTAGAACAGAATGACTGGAGGGGAAAAAAAAAATCTAATTAAAGAGTTACGATAGTCCAGCCAAAGTCCAGACCTCAGCCTGATTGAGATGATCTGTTAAAAACTTCTGTGCAAAAAAAACACTTCTTGGTGGTGTTTTTATGCAACCTCACTTCAAAAATGTTACTTTTTTTAAGCCAGTGTCTCTTGACTTTGGCAGTTGTGGACTCAGAATAAGAAAATACAATCTGCTGCTGTCTCACTGAATGTGTGTGTGTCCACTGAGCTGTGCCGACTTGTCTTGTGTGGCAATGATTAAAAATCAGTCTGTGTGCACAGCCCTCAAAACTGTGCTCAGCATGCTGCATCCTAGATTGTACCTACTTCGGCCCACTTTAGACCCATTTGACTGTGGTCCCCCTTGTTTATAATTTAATTCCTGGAGTTTCGAAGTGAAGGTAGGCAGATTTGAAAATGATGTATTCTTGGCATGGCTAGATCTGATCATTGGAAGTTGTAGCCTTGGGGCGGGAAAGGGCTCAGCCCGTGGCGACATGACCCGCTCCGAGGACCTGAACAAGTCGTTACTTTTAACTGTGGCGGTACACGTGTCAAATGGTCATTATGAGGAACCTGACAGGAAGATCTGCACCTTTTTTGTGTTTTTTTATTTATTTATTTACAGTAGTCCCTTGTTTATTGCGGGGGTTTGGTTCCAAACCTGCCCGCAGTGAAATTCTGCCAAGTAGCAACGTTATATTCATTTTAGTATTTGTATATATTTTAAGGCTTTAGAAACCCTTCCCACACTATTGCATTGTTCTAAGCTCTTAAACCTACACAGTTTTAACAACATATGTACAGTATTGTATATGTAGCTACTAAATTTTATTCACTAGCTCTGCGGAACACAGAAACGGCTCTTGGTTCTGGTCCAACTGTGTTCTGTTTCTGCAGGCCTAACCTGCAGCGATGAAGCTCACAATCAATGTTCTAAGCTCTTAAACCTACTCATTTTAACAAAATACTTATATGTAGCTACCAAATTTTACTTACTTGCTCTCGGGTTCACCGCTAAGTCTGGAGGTCCGGTTCTGGTCCTGTTCATTGTAGCTTTTGGGGGTCAGACCTTCTGTTGGCTTGTGTGGGACCGTTGGTGGTGAATTGATTCCAAGTCTGGATGAAAAAAGTCCCCATGGGCTATGGAAACGACTCCGGAGCTTTTGGGGCGCGTCTGCGCTTAGAAATCCTCGTGGGCCGGCTACCAGCTCTCAAGATTCACTGATGGGTCTGGAGGTCTGGTTCTGCTCTGGTTCTGTTCCAGTTCATTGGGTTCAGCGCAACTTCTCTGCATCTGCTGGGCACCAATCAGAGCAAAACTTTACCTCTGTTTTTTTTTTTTTTTTTTTTTCCCAGCAGAAGGAAACGGGGCTTCTGGGCAGGGCCCTGTTGCCTTCTGGGAAATGTGGTTGTTATGAGCGGGAATACAATGTAGGCTTACTGAGAGAAAACTAGAAAATGGCAGCGACAGTTTGAAATATTTTATTTTTTCGTTAACTTTTTACTAATACAGTACTGTATCCAGTACTGTCCCAATCACATGAGTAATATTAAAGTTGACAATCATGTGTCCTGTATAATTTTTTTGTACAATGTTAAGGACTATATGTCCACAAACCGCGATAGAGCGAGTCCACGAATTTCGAACCGCCAAGTAGTGAGGGACTACTGCATTTTTAATACACACAATCGATGCACTTTGTATTTTGCGAGTACAAACAGTGTGATGTTACAAATACACATTTTCACACAGTAGTATAAAAACAATTAACTTGGCAATACTGCAGCTCTAGTGCTGTGACAGAAACTAAGATGAGCTGCATTTGAGATGGGTTTGAGATGCTAACAGTGACTCTGTGACTGCTTTGAGAGAACATTTGTTTTAATTCCTATTTAACATGCTCAGAATTCAAACAGGAAGTTGATGCGACTCACGAGGACACAAAGAATGCCCCGTAAACATTTGGACACATTTTGAAGACTTCTTTACAAATACTGTCCACCAGTCAGGGTCCGTGGTTGCAGCCCAGTGTGATACTGGGTAAAGATGAATATGAAAGACCACAAACTGATGCAGCATTATTTTACAAACAAGCTATAATCCCTCCACAGCAATGTAGGAAAATTAAAAATGAGAACATGAATTGCTTTTGATGGTATTTGTACAAACCGTGGACTCCATGGGAACCATTTATCTGCTTATAGTAAAACTTTAAAATGATAAAAGTATCATTTTTACTGTAAACTGTACAACTTCACAAATTTTGCTGTCTGTATTTTCCTTTCTCCCCTCCCCCCCAACCATAAGGAGCTTCCTGCATCTTGGTGCTGGTCTGAGCGTGGGCCTGAGCGGTCTGGCGGCCGGCTTTGCCATCGGCATCGTGGGTGACGCCGGAGTGCGAGGCACCGCTCAGCAGCCTCGGCTTTTTGTGGGCATGATCCTGATCCTGATCTTCGCAGAGGTGCTGGGGCTTTACGGCCTCATCGTGGCCCTCATCCTGTCCACAAAATAAGTGTCTCCATCCAACCCCCCATCTCATTCATCCACATCAGAGCAGCAAGAACAAATAGGAGATTTTCACCTTCTTCCATGACACCCTGTGGATCTGACAGGATGGGATGGCAACAGAAATATGTTGGCGGTCGCCTTTGACCGCTTTGTTCTGAGTAGATGTGATCCATTCCATATTGTTTGAAGCCATCCGGTTGTGTCAGGTCTCGTGCGTGCAGAACGGGCATGAACATGTACTGTTTGTCGTGAGCTGATGTGTGGACAGTCTGCCTGATGTATCGTCTAATCTTAAAATTGTACAGTGATCCAGAGTCCTCCCACCCTCAGTAAATGTAGTAACCAGTCTGTGACGTGCGTGTGAATATCAACGTTTACCCCCTCGGCCCATTCCGCCCCTCCACCTTTGGATTCTCGTCTTTTGTTGGTGGTTTTTACTGGTAATCGTCATTCTTTGTTTTGAGACTGCTGAAAAGTTGTGCACGCTAGTATTTTATTTGTTCATGTTCTTTTCGGGGACCATTCTTGAATTTTTTTGTTTTTTTTCTTCACTGTTGGAAGTTACAAAGATTTTGAAACTGTCTAAATGGAAAACCCTATATACATAAAATATATAAATTATGTGTGTATAGTTAGATTATTTGCACTGTGGGTTATTGTTCTAAGTGCTCAGATCTCTGGATATCGTGTGAATATTAATGAAGAATGTTCACATGGAGCTCACACAGTGTGTGGGTGTGTGTGGGTGGGTGTGTGTGTCAGATATTTGAGTGCAGTATGTGTGTACGTGGATTTATGGTGGATATGACATTTTCAGACACTAGTATTGTTTACCTGTAGTGCTGCTGTCTTTATTTTTTGGGTTGTTCTTTTTTTGTTGTTTAAAGTGAGAGTTTACTGTTCAGCCATGCCTGTCAGATTTCCAAATAAAACTCAACCACCTCCAAAACAACGTGGCTATGCCTGTTTTTATCTTTTTTTTTTTTTAGATTTAGATGCCAACATAATGAGCTGGACTTAACTTGATAATAGATGAGCATTATTTTGGTTAAAATAAAAATGAGCGGGTTTGTATCTCGGTAGGTATGGAGCAAAAGATAACATTTTCTGCGATGGAATAAACGTTGAAGAGCTATTTCGTATAGCCTTCGCCCTTTAAGAGCTGTTGCTGGTGGGTTTATCCCCAAGGCGCTCAACGCTGCACTGAAAACTTTAGTACACGCTCACCTGCTGTGTGGGCCTCTCCCCTGGTCCGTATAAATTCTGGTGAGACGGGGAATCGGCTCCCTTTTTTTTCTTCAGCCAGCTAGCTAGTACTGTCGGGAGAACGAAGAAGGAAAGTTGTCCAGCTTTGACCGGCACAACCTTTGCTAAGGATGCCTGGGTCTCCGCCACGCCAACCTCCTGCCGTCCCGGTGAGCTCTACCTCCCCGAGGAGAAGCAGACGAGCAGCCTTGTTCAAGGTAAGCGCCGAGGAGTACTTTTTCGTGGCGAGCCGCTGGACGACGCCATCGCCTTTTCTAACTTTTTTTCCTTGTGGTAATCAAATGATTTCCTCGAAAAAGGCGATGTTGGTAGCAGCCCCGCTGAATGTTTATTCTGTGGCGGGCGGCTACCCGCTGGACAACGCCACAGCCTTTTCTAACGCGTTTGTCCTGGCGGTAATCAAATGTTTTCATCAAAGGCGATGTTAGCAGCAACCCCGCCGAATGTTTTTCCGTGGGGGGCCGCTACTGGCTGGACGACACCACCTCCTTTTTTAACGTGTTTTTTCTCAAGGTAAATCGGATGATTTCCTCGAAAAAGGCGTTGTTGGCAGCAGCTCCGCTGAATGTTGTTTTTCTGTAGTGGGACGCTATGTGCGGGACAATGCCACCGCCTTCTTTGACGCAGAGTCACACAATGAACCGAATGACTCTTCCGAGAAAGGCGATGCGGAGCTGCCCTTTCCCTCCTGGAGAGCGTAGTGACGGAAGACGAGCGGCCGAGCGGATGCTCAGCAACCTCGGCTCTTCCCACGTCGGCGACCACACAGCTCCCAGCAGTTGGTGCCCTCCTCTCAGAGCTGCCCGACATAATCCAGGAGGATTGAAGAAGGTTGGCTCTGCCCGGGCTCATCGCCCTGACCCCATCTGGCCTCGCTGTCCAGTTGTGACGTCGCACTGCTGGAACGAGGCTGCAGCTGGGCTGGCAAGCTGAAGACAGCCGTCTTCACCTTTGCCTCCGTCTCTAGAGTGGAGGGTTTTACTGATCTGTGTTTTACCCTCCGCCCCCCCCCCCCCCCGGAGCCAAGGCTGGCGGGTGGCACTTGGGGAAAACGCTTCCAGGATGGACCAGCAACCTGTCCCTCCAGGGAAGCGTGACCAGATGGTGACAAGGTCTCCAACCGAGCTCACCAGTGATCATCCCAGACGGCCGCAGTGAACAACGTCGCCCTGCTTGCCTATAGCATCTCGAAGAGGCTGGAAGAAGCAGACCTGCTGGAGGAGACAAAGCTCTCTCTGTAAAGCTGCTGATGACATCTTAAACATGTGTAACCTCTGCAATTTGCCTGTCCCGCATCGCCGCCTGGATGACCATGATCCAGAGGACCACTTGGCTCCACCTCTCGCCATGCATGTCCGAGAGGCTGCAGAAAGACCTGCTGGAGGGTCCCATCACCCCAGAGGCACTGTTCGGGCCAACTTCAGGACCATCCTTGAGGAATTGCAGAGGTCTGAGGAGGTCTCAGACTGTACACCGTCTGGTGACGTCACAGTCCATCTGCCCCTCCGGCTGTTGGAGGGACCGCCTTGGCCAGCAGCAGCACCAGAGGTGCTCCATAGCTGCGGCAGCGATTTCTCAGCGTTGGTGCACGGAGAAAGGTGTAGAGGCCATCTCATGTCCATTAGGTGGCATGCTGTCCTTTCTGCAGCAGCGGATGGACGGAGATCTAGCGTTTAGCACAATTAAGACTTATGCTGCAGCTATTTCTCCCAGTCACGAGGTTTTCGGTGACAGAACAGTTTTTAATCACCTGTTGATGAAGCGTTTCCTGAAAGGTGTACGGAGACGCAGACCGGTGTCACGTCCACTAGCTCCACAGTGCGATCTAATGATGGTCCTGCACGCTCTGATCAAAGCTCCTTCTGAGCCTTTAGATCAGGTTTTACTTACATTTATGTCATTTAAAACAGCCCTGCTGTTAGTTCTGACATCGGCAAAGAGAGTGAGTGTTTGTTTGCACTCTCTGTTACTCCCTCATGTCTCAGAATTCAAGCTGACGGCAGTTCAGCTGTACTGCGTTTTAACCATGCTCTGAAAAGCATCACAAGCTCATTCAGATCGTGAGTGATAACCTTGGATGGGTTTTTATCCTCTTCCTCATAATTCTAAGGAGGAAGCAACATCTCACCACCTCCTGTCCTATGCGCGCATTTTTCATGTTACGTGGTGCACACGGCTGCACTGTGCTGTTTTCAGCATATGTTCGTGCATTACTGGGACAGCTCTTCAGAACATCCTCTACCCACCCAGCGCCTCTCACACTGGTTGTGTGAGGCTATTTCTGAAGCTTACAGTTCATCTGGACTGGACCCTCCAGAGAATCTCAGAGCGCATTCCACCAGTGTTTTCATCCTCCATGGCTCTGCATGGAGGGATGACAGTGGAGGATATTTGTTTGGCGGCTACCTGGTCATCGCCATGTTCAGTTATTCGTTTTTATCTACGTGATGTTTCTACTTTCTCCATGACCCATTCTGTTCTCAGGGTTCTGACAGAATGATTTGTTTCATGGAGCTTTACTTTTGAGCTCACACCTACCTACATGCAGTCGCAGTGTAAGATATTTATTATCAGTCACAAGTTCATGACTGCTGATTTGATCGTTATTAATCGGTGCATCCTGTGGAGCTGTTGGTCTGCTCTGTTCATTGTTACACTGTTACAATTTGTATCCTCCGTTGTTCCTATTCACAGCAGCAGGTCTGCTATCTCAGCCTTTTTCCTCACCAGAGATTTTCTCCGGTGCGCTCCTGCGCATGGAGCACACAATTGCGCAGCACGTAATTACACACACAGAAGGCTGAGTGATGAAATGTTTTTTTTTGTGCAAGCAGGTGCTTCATGTTGTGTCTGAATGGACCCAGTGAGGCATAGACTACTTCCTGCTTCGCCTTTAACCCCACCGCTCTTAAAGGGCGAAGCCTATATGAAATAGAACGTTGGTTACGTACTGTAACCCCAGATTCTATGAGCAGCCTTTAAGCGCGGGGCCTCACTGGTTCCTAAATGGCTGAAGAAAAGCGCTATTTGGGAGCTGATTCCCGGTCTCACCGTAATTTATACGGACCAGGGGAGAGGCCCACACAGCAGGTGGGCGTGGACTAAAGTTTTCAGTGCAGCGCTGAGTGCCTTAGGGATAAACCCACCAGCGACAGCTCTTAAAGGGCTACGCCTATACTCATAGAATCAGGGGTTACAGTACGTAACCAACATTTTTAACCCAACAATATATTTGGCTCAATATTCACATAGAACATGGATTAAAATTAAGAGGAAGCCATGAAGAAGAGAAACATGTTGAGAAATAAATTCTTGAAGCTTAAAAAAAATGACTCTGAACAATTCAGCAGCTTTGATTCTTCATTTAAGATCTTGAGATGAGATTTAATATCCAAAGCAAAAAAAAAAAATCACATAACATTAACCCCAACATAAGAATAGGCATGAAAGAAAAACCAGTTTCATCCATATTAACTAAAAATCCATTGTTTTTGACCCATTATGTATTTATGTATGTATGTATGTTTTATTTATTCATTTCATTTCATCCAAACAACAAATATAATACAATTTAAAGAAAAGAAAAAATATATACAATCACCGAAATAAAATGAAAGGCAGCAGAAGAAGAATGAATTCTTATATCTGCCACTTGTCCCCAAAATATATTCCAAACAAAATTACTATACAAAAGCAAGATGAATTTATAAAAAAAATAAAAAAGTAAAAAATAATTTAAAAAACTTAGCTAAAATATAAGATCAACTGTAAACAATTTTTATGAACTCACATTATACTTAATATTTTTTTTAAAAAAACAAATTTTTATCATCCTCTTGAATATGTACATAGTTTTGGCATTTTTAATATCAACCTCCAGATCATTCCACAATCTAATACCCTGAGATATAGTGGATCGCATCTTCAGACTGACCGATCAACCATACCAGAAAAATTATAAGGCAGCACAGTGGAGTAGTGGTCAGCATAGTTGCCTCACAGAATTAAATCCTGGGTTCAATCCACAGATTGTGTCTTTCTGTGTGGAGTTTGCATGTTCTCATGTTTGCGTGGGTATTCTCCAGGTACTCCTATTTCCTCCCGCAGTCCACATGCATCCGAAGGCTGCCTTCAGGCCCAGACCTCCCTTGAAAAAGAGAGTGATCTCAATGGTATTTGTCTACTTACCAATAAATAAAGTTTATAATCTACTGTGAAACTGAACAAGATGGCTCGAAGGCTCTGTTTTACAGAAGGAATTGGTGTCTTTTTAATCTTAAAGTCCGACACAAAGGAGGTGCAGATCCCTTCCAAAAAATTAGAATATCATGGAAAAGTTGTTTAACTTCCATAATTCCAGTCAAAAAGTTCATCTTTAATAGATGATAGATTCAGGGCCCACAATTTAAACAATTTCAAGTATTTGTTTATTTTTACATAATTTGGGCTTCCAGCTCATGAAACCAGCATTTAAAAAAAATTAGAATACTGCGAAGACATCAGCCCACACTTCTCAGTTTGAGCAGAAAAAAAAGAAATTAGGATCACAACAAATCAATCAAAATATGGTACTTTCAAAACGATATGTTAGTCTTCAATACTTGGTTGGGAATCCCTTTGCCTTAATCACTGCCTTGATGCGACGTGGCATTGACTGGGAGTTATGAAGCCCAGATTTCCTTG